ATAGAAGAAGAAGAAGAGAATGAAACTAATTGTACTAGAAGATTCAGAAACTTGAGCACTAGATTAATGCATTTCTGGAATAGGTGGAGAAACGAATACCTTTCGGGGCTTAGAGAATATCATAAGAATAGGACAGACAAAGGGGAAAAGGTAGTACAGGTTGGAGATGTAGTTACAGTACAGGAAGATGATGTTAAGCGAGGCAGCTGGAAAACAGCAGTAGTGGAAGGCCTTGTGATTGGTAAGGACAAGGTTGTTAGGGGCGCAAAAATTCGGGTCATAACAAAAGGTAACCCAATTCGTATGAGTAGGCCTGTACAAAAACTTTATCCGCTTGAGATCCGGTGTAAGACCGAGCAATTACGAAAGACAGGGGTGATAGGCGGTGAAGAGTCCAAGTCGGGAAATTCGGCTAAAGGAACCTCTGAGAGAAATGTCCCTCGGAGGGCAGCGGCGATTTCTTCTGAACGAAAAACGAGAGAGATGATTGACTTGTAACCAAGTCAAGGGGGGAGAGTGTTATAAATTACTGAGTTAAGTATATAGTTAAGTAAAACTGTAAAAGTATATAGTTATTAGGGTTATAAAAATAGTCACTAGAGAAAAACAACCGAACAATCGAGGGAAGGGGTTTCGCCCTTGCACACAAGTATGAGGAACATGGTGAAACCACAGATAGTCAACAATGCATAGATACGCAAAGGAAATGGTATGTAGGTAGGCTGTGGTCAACCAAGCGAGGAACTAATGTAGATTAGGGGGAAATTATGGGCAGTCAAGTGCGTCAGCACTGACCTTCCTCTGAGAAACAAACATCTCATGGTTGAAACAGCAGACAGTATAAATAAGAGAGGGTTTTGAACGGAGGGACAGAGTGTTTACCGAACGTAGTGATCAGACTTGTAATGAGCTATTGTTAATAAAAGTTGAAAACGAATTGTGGTGTCGTGATAGTATACAGTCCCAACGAACGAGAACCAGCAACTATAAAATCTGAGGGATTTTATAACAATATATAAGTAAACGGAAACGATTAGAAATACATTGTCCTCTCCATTGTTATAAATACAATGCAGTTCAGAAATTAAACTCGGTTACGCAGTTCCTGGTCCCTATAGTACGATCGTACTTGTTATGAAAACCGTACTTCATAAACCTTTATCGCCGTGTTTACAAGTTGTTCGGCTTTGACTCGGAAATTCACGGAACTATATTAGGTGAAAACGAAACAGTTATTATATGCGATTAGGTTAATTTGACGTCCATATATTATCGAGCGCAAAACTTATGCTATAAAAACAAATCTTTTACACACAAATAAAGGTCGGATTTTCAAATGTCGGAGGCCGGAAGCCTTTCGGTAAGTGGCGATAAATAACGGCGCAACACGATACGAAGTTTACCGAGCTGTAAATGTTTCGCGTAATTAGCCTGAACACAGACATACGTTTCGCCCGCCTTAAAATTCGCGGGGAGACGCAAAGGCAAAACGGGCGAAATGGAGGTCTTTGTTCAGGCTGTCAACCCTTTAAGGCCATGTTACACGGTGCCATTTTTCTTGCAACTTGCAATGCAATTCTACTTTGAAGAGATGTAAATTAGTGGTCTTCAAAATGTAAGAACTAAGAAGCGCCATGGAGTGTAATAAAGACAGATTTTTGATAGTTGCTCAAAAGAAGAATTGCATTGCAAGTTGCAGGAAAGATTGCACCGTGTAACATGGCCTTAAGTTTCCTATTATCATGAGCAATGCTGTGGTTCTTGAACGGGTCCAGAACGGCCTATTACAATATCGAAACTCTCGTTTATATGCGATGCACACAACATGTTGACATTCCGCTTAGCTTGGTATGTTTTCAATAAGTGAGTGCAACGATAATTAAAATCAGAAGAACGCATGAGCTAGGGGAAGGGGGGGGGGGGTGACAACCTGTCACCCCATAAATTGAACAATTGTCCGAATTGAACAATTGAATAAATTGAACAATTGCCGCTAAATTGAGAACTGGTGATCTAACAGTAGGATTACACGTCGCCTAATTTCACTGAAGTCAAGGCGACGGTTCTCTGAAACTTGTATCTTTTCCCCAATATTTTCACAGTGCGTCACCTGCATTGGCTAAACTCACTCTGGTGGCAGAGGAAATAATCAGTGACGGAAGAATTGAAACTTTTAAAAATGTTTATATTGTTGTGTAAAACCAGGGTGAAACCTGTCGCGATATTCTGCGTATTGAAATTCCAAGTAATTTTAAAATCATATTGTTTGAATAATTTAGGCTGATTAAAAATAGATAGGATCTGTCTTGACTGGCGTTGCATGTGAAAACACGGAGTGGAGATCTGGAATATCTCATGCATCAAATAAATTGATCTTTCCTTAATCAATAAAGTGTTTGTCACGGGTCATTTTAACATATTGTAATATATAGATATCATTTGTTTATAGTCAAAGATCCTGTACTTGGAAAATGTACACTTCCTAAAAAGCTCACTAGTAAATTCCTCAATGATTTTATAAAATTACTGTTATCTGAATGGAATTGGAAAAGGACTTTGTAAATAACAATTCCTATGTTCGTATTTTGCTGCCAAATTGCAGTTGGCAAATCTCAAATCGATGGACGAGAAGTTCCGCCCAATATTATGTGCAGAACTTCCGGATTTCTCATTCCGCGTTTTAGAAATTTCGGTTTGCAATTAATAATATTCCCTTTGAAGCTTTGAGGTGGTCATATGATAAACCACACATTGTTTGGCTGCCTGACGATATTTTGCAGTTCAAAAAAAAATCTCTCTAAGACAAGGTTTTTAATATCTGCCTCATTTGGAGGCTACGATGAGGAAAGATTCGTAAATAAAGTCGACGCTAGGCTGCTTTGTCCGACCTGTTTTAAGGTTGTCAAAGACCCAGTGCAATGCCCGAACGAAAACCACTTTTGTCGCTCGTGTTTTCGTAGGATTGTCTGTGACGAGTGCGGAGAACAAGTGATATGGAAGTCGAGAGCTGTTCATATCTGCTTCATGCGGAAAGAAATCGATGATTTAGTCAAAGAAAGGAAGGAATTCAAAGAGAAAGAACTGGCTCAAGGTGAGATTAATCGAAAGTTGATGGCCGATGTTGCCGGTCAAATGTTGTCATTGACGTCAGAAGTGAAATATCCAAGCAACGAAACAAGAGAAAATGGCGATTTCTTCACCGGAAGACGAAAGATATTTGTCTGCGGAGGGCGGGACGATAAATATCCCCTTAATACCGTAGAATCGTTCAGCTGGCCTGAGAATACCTGGACACTAAAACCAGCAATGAACATGAGACGAAAAGTTCCTTCCTCGTTTCTATACGAGGGTCAAATATATGTCAGTGGAGGATGGACTGGACACGAGAATACTGACACTATTGAAATGCAGAGAATGGATCAAGAATGGATCGGGGCTCTTGTCAAGATGCCAATCAAGTGTCAAGGTCACGGAATGGTTTGTAACGAAGATAAAGCAATTTTAACTGGCGGACGTACTGTGTTCCCATACACTAAAGAACAAGTCCTCTCCAGCCCCTAGACCACCCACCCTCCTCGTCACATGAGCGCTGGGGTCTTATGTATAACCTTTTGAATGGTGCCGAGACGGCAGAGACCAAGGAAATGGCTGTGCTAAGATAGCGCTTTTTCATATATCAAATTTCTGGGACGAGCTATATAATGTCAACCTCGTGGACCAAATGTTCGATTATTGAAGAGTGTTGAAAAATGCTACTAGTGTTAGGAAACCAGTATTAATTTGTTTTGTTGACGAAACTGTGTTAAAAGAAATATTAGCTTTCAATGACTGAATTTTCAATTATTGTTTAAAAACATATTTATGTATTCATAGATTCTATAATTAAACTCCTAACGTGGCAACGCTTTAAAATTATGAATTGTGACTAACAAAAGTTCACAGTTTGATATCTTTCCTGCTGTGTTGTCTTAATTTAATTATCGATCAAATAAAACATAAACATGTTTACAGTCAAAAATGAAACTGTCAATGATGTGGCTTGTGCTGCGACAAAATCACCAACATTTGGTAGAAAAGTTTACTAAATGCGAACACAATACTTTCTTAAGAACTGGGAACATTGATTAAGAGAGATGAAGTTAGATAAGCTAGATGGTATTTACTTTCTGGTAATGTTTAATTAAAGACATTTTATACATATTTTTCCAGCGCTCTTGTTTTGTATTCGTGAAAAGGTTTTAACGCGTTTCATTTCTAATAAAAAGCAAACTGGGTTGTCAACACTCCAGTTAAAAAGTCTAATATTCCTTCCCCATCATAACGAAGACGAGTGTTTCATTATTATTGCGATCAATAATTTTGCAAATCCACCGGATGTCACATAATTGCTTGTTCTAGAAAGTTCTGCTTCCTTAACGCCATACTATATAAATTAACTCAAGTGCATAATTCAAGTCTTTATCTTTGACTATTTCCACATTACGAAGAACGAGTCTTTCCAAGACAAACGTCTGTGTTCTAAAAGCTCAGTCACGATCACAAGTGATCAAGTGACACAGAGATTGTTTTCTCATTGAATGACAAGATTTAGGCAGTAAGTCGGGTGAAAAAGCGTCACGGAGTACGAGAACTCATGATAAGTCGAGGAATAAGTCGACCTAAAGACGCTGTTACACTATGCAATTTTCCTTACACCTTACATCTTACAATTATAATTTTAAGACATGTTTTAAATTTGTAAAGAGTGTTTGAAATACTAAGAAAACGTTATAGCTGATCGTTAAAAATGTTCGCAGTAGACAAATTTAGATAAACATGGTATTTACTTCCTGGTAGCGCTTAACGACATTTTATGCATATTTTTCTTTATCCATCCTGGTCACGCTGAAATGATCAATTATCACTCACAAAAGAACACAGTTTGATATCAATATTAACTGAGGTGGTATGATGATATAGCGACAGGCTATTAGATTAAATTTTCATTGCGAACAAGAAGTCGTTCTTAGTGTTAGACAAATTTCAGATCTCGAACACACAGCGAATGTATTCTTCATTCTGTTTCGAAGAGAAATGGCGAGAAGAAGTTAATTTGAAGGCTACGATGAGGAAAGATTCGTTGATTAAGTTCAATTACTTTCAACCGTCGCAGACTGAGAGAAGAGTTTCAAACGCGGTTTTAAATCGATTTTATCGACGTTCAAAGCAAGGAGCTGGACGCATGAGGTACTACATTATAGTTTTAATGTTTCCTGAACGGTTTGATGTTAGACTTATTGTTGAATTTGTGAACATATGGTAGCCTGATGGTCGCTGTGAAGTTCCTGAATTATGGCGTAATATCAGCCGCGTCACACAGGAATTATTGCTCAGTTAGTAAATTACTTTCTTCTCTCAAATGTTGAGTGTATCCGTTTGTGCCCATGGCTTACTGTAAGAGAGTTATCACGATCTTACGTCGAAGCGATAGCTCAGCGTTACGACTGAGGAGGACTGTATTTTAGTCGTAAAGCTAAATTTAAAGCTCGCTCAGACTCAAACTCATTGAATGAGATCTCAATCACGTCCTAACGATTCCATGACAGTATTTCCGTTCGAATAACGCTTGTTTTACATTAAATCTTTCTGTTGAATAACAATGAACTTTCACATTGATCAGTAATAACAGAATTTAAATGTCGCACTCGGTGAGACTGTACGAGAGTGAGCTTTTTGAACACAGGTTAACTAGTCTCATGAAAGGTATCAATATATTTCCTGGGAAGTCTAAATTCGCTGCGGCTAGTGCTAGGTCAGGAAATTAAGTTCGACTACGAGATTTTTTCAGCCGCGGTTCCCTAATAAATTGATAGCAGCTGAGTCGAGGAGACAGCGTTCGTAGATTGTAAACCCTTTACACTAAAGAAAATTCAATGATGTGCTATGGTTCGACGACACAAATCCTAAGCTCTGATTCTCTCTCTTGTCTTTTAGTTCTGTGTCTAAAACGTTTCCTTGATGGCTGAAGCATTTTCCGCAGCTGAAGAAGCTTTACGAGCTACTGCATCGGTCACTGGCGGGAAATTTGTGATCACCATCAGCACTGATAGTCTAGAAGTTGCAAAAGAAGTGACAAAAGAAGTGACAAAAGAAGTGTGTGCAACAATCACTAAACTAGGATTGGGTCTTGGAGCTCTGTACTCTGGTTATAGTTTGTTAAAACCATTAGTCGACGCTGCAGTTAAAAAAGCTCTGGGTGGAGACCGCGATGATCAAGATCCCCCTGGTATTCGACCAGGATGTTTGCATGTTGACTTACATTGTTTCACAGACGAAAGGTTCCTGGAAGTCTTGGAGGATTACAAATCAGGAAAGATGAAGGAACGCTTCCAGGAATGTGGACTGTCAATGGTTGGAATTAAAGTGGCAGGAATGAAGGTGGAGATTGAAAACATGGAGGAGGTGAATGAAACAAGAAAAGTTATTAGGAAAAGGTACTTGAGACTTTTCATCATTAGAAATGACACTGCATTGAAAGTGTCTAAGATTCTTCATCTGTGTAAAATTCGTTAAATGATTCGTGGTATAACTTGTTAGCAGAGATGGGTTGAAGGGTTGCTAATGACAGCCCAAAAGAAATCCCTGTTTGTTTAAAACTACCAGAAAATTTCATATTTTTAATGAATCATCTGGCCTTTGAGATTCGAACGTCCAAAACAAGGTCTAAAGGTCTGTTCATACGATCCAATTTTGTCGCATCCAATTCACTTTTGATGGTGTTTTATGGACTCGACTTGACTCTTGACTTGCAATATATGCAGATTTATCAATAACAGACTATATTCCATACGTTAGAAGTGAAATAGACCCAACAAAATTTGATCGAGTGAACAAACCTTGAAGCGTCTTTTCCACAGCCCGGACCAAGAAGGGATGGAGGGATTTTTCCCCGCAAAACTTTGCGATGTTTATTTTAATAATTCAATTCAATTTATTAGTCACTTTGCGATTCAAATGTTTATCAAAAATGATCACACACATTCAAACTCGCACTAAACTATATAACTCGGGTGGTTAAAATGGATTTAATATCACTGACTCAGAAATACATGCAAAGAATCGCTGTAAGACAATGTATTTACGACCTGCCTTGCAAACAACGATATCAAACACATAGTGAATGTTTTTTTCATTTTGTTCCAAAGAGAAATGGCGAGAAGAAGTTCATTTGGAGGCTACGATGAGGAAAGATTCGTAAATAAAGTCGACGCTAAGCTGCTTTGTTCGATCTGTTTCAAGGTGGTCAAAGACCCAGTGCAATGCCCAAACGAGCACGATTTTTGTCGCTCGTGTATTCAAAAGTGGTTACAGGAAAGCTCCGAAACTTGCCCAACTTGCCAACACCATCTCACGGAAGAAAACTTGGCTAAACCGAGATTTTTGACGGAAACGTTGGATAGTCTCAAGATTCGTTGCGATTACGCAAGCCGTGGTTGTCGAGAAGTGGTCGAGCTTGAATTTCTTGATCGACATGTCGAGAGATGTGGCTATTCACCAACACGTTGTACAAACACGGGCTGTTCTGAAATCATCAACCGAAACGAGCAAGAACGACATGAGAACGAGCTTTGTCGTTTTCGTATCATTGTCTGTGACGAGTGCAAGCAACAAGTGACGCCCGAGTCAAGTCGTTCACATCCTTGTTTCATGAGAAAGGAAATTGACGAATTGACGAAAAAGCTGGAGAAAGAAAGAATGAAGAAAGAACAGAGTGAAGAGTTTATTCGAAAGTTGATGGCCGATGTTGCCCGTCAAAACGTTGTCATTGATGATCATCAGCGCAAAATGAACAGCATGACGTCAGAAGTGAAATATCCAAGCAACGAAACAAGAGAAAATGGCACCGGAAGACGAAAGATATTTGTCTGCGGAGGGCGGAACGATAAACATCTCCTTAATACCGTAGAATCGTTCAGCTGGCCTATAAATATCTGGGCACCAGAACAAGAAATGGGAATAAGCCGAGTATGTTCTTCCTCGTTTCTATACGAGGGTCAAATATATGTCAGTGGAGGATGGACTGGACACGAGATGACTGACACTATTAAAATGCGGAGAATGGATCAAGAATGGATCGAGGCTCCTGTCAAGATGCCAATCAAGTGTCGAGGACACGGAATGGTTTGTAACGAAGACAAAGCAATTTTAACTGGTGGACGTATTAACGAAGACGATATTTCTGATGGGATTTATGAAATTAAACTAACTCCCCCATACACGACGACGTTATTGACCCAGTTGCCTGAGCGAAAATATTACCATGGTTGCGAGATTATTGACAACGAAGTCGTGGTTGTTGGTGGACGAACATCAGACCTCAACGAGGACACTAAAAACACTGTGTATGCATACGATGTTAACAATAATGAATGCAAAACCCTGCCGCCACTGCCATTTCCTGTCGCTGAGATGGCTAGTGTTAGTTATAAAAGTAATATAATTTTGATCGGAGGTCATAACGAGAAAGGCAGAACATTGAACACAGTATTCATGTACGAAGTGAAAACAGGTAAAATTAAGATGTTACCTTGTCTTAATCATAAAAGAGCAGCATGTACAGCAGTTATCACTGGCAATTTGACTGTCGTCATGGGTGGTTTTGATTATGAAACTGAAACATGTCTCAGTTCGGTCGAGTGCTTAGATTTAAGTACCAATGAATGGAGAGAATTATCTCCGATGACAGAGAAACGAGGTTTTGCAACTGCAGTTCTATTATCGTAGACTATTTTCAAACGAACCAATGGGACATGAAGTCATGAACATTGTTAAACATGATGTTGCATTATAAATGTGCATTGAAAAGGATGATCATTTCACTTTGAACAATTAAAATAAATATCAGCGTAATAATTGATCATTGAAAAATAAGACTTATAGTAACCATAATTTTCTAAACCGCTTATACACACAATTATGAACTAAATAAAACAGAAGCACATGCTCAGTTTTAAAAGGGTTTATTTAAGAGTCTTAATACATCTTATGGATATAATGACGTAAGGCGTGACGCTTGCAGGGAATTCTGGTTTTAGTGGTCACGGCAAAAATTAAAATTGACTACTAAGACCAGAATTCCCTGCAGGTGTCACGGCTTGTTACGTCATCATGCATAAGGTCTATTTCAAGTGGATATCATACACTTCTCAAATCCAAGTCTGGAGAAAAATGTATCAACAATCGGTTCTCCGGCAAGAAACGAACCTTGCGACTTTGCGATGCTGGACAGACATCAAAATACCTCAAAATAGTCCACCTGTCTCGATTAGCCCTTATGGTTATTACAGGTGGCCTTCACTCTCATTTGTATCTTTCCTTTTTTTTCAAAAAGAATGTATTTATATATATTTTTTGATTGTTAATAAAACTTGTTGTTGTTGTTGTTGTTGTTGTTACCTCAAGGACACTAAAAATACTGTATTTGCATACGATATTAACAATAATGAATGCAAAACCCTGCCGCCACTGCCATTTCCTATCTCTGAGATGGCTACTGTTAGTTATAAAGGTAATATAATTTTGATCGGAGGTTATAACGAGAAAGGCGAAACATTGAACACATGCAGTATTGATGTACGAAAGAAAAATTAAGATGTTACCTTGTCTTAATCATAAACGAACAACAAGTGCAGCAGTTATCACTGCCAATATGATTATCGTAATGGGCGGTTATGATTATGACACACTGGCAATATGATTATCGTCATAGGCGGATGGAGAGAATTGGCCCCAATGACAGAGAAACGAAGTTACGCAACTGCAGCTACAATTCCCTAACATGATAACATCTATTTAAACGAACAACTGATACAAAACTCTTCAGTGAGGGTTGTCCAATACAATGATATAAGTTATAAGCACTTATATACAATTATATATACACTGATTAACTTGTTGTTATTTCGATAGTTTTGAGCTTGTTGTTATTTCGATAGTTTCCAGTTGTCAAAATGCTATCTTCTCACATTATAAATTTCACTGATCTATGATTCGAAACCAAAGTTCGAGTTAACCAGATATATTTGACCAAGGGAAAACAAAATTTGTTCGAATTAGCGAGGAGTTCGAGTAAAGCGAGTTCGAGTTAGCGGGGACTACTGTACTTTGCTTTTAGGTTATTTCAGGCTTACGTCGGGGGCCCTACTAGGTTGGGGCTCCCACCTACCCCCCTTTGAGTTTGGGGGCCCCACCTGCCCCCCTTTGAGTTTGGGGGCCCCACCTGCCCCTCTTTGAAGTTGGGGGCCTAACCTGCCCCCTTTAGGGTTGGGGCGCAAAATGCCCTGCGTACAAGTGGAGAAATAGATTATGCTGTGTTGGCCGATGTCGATGGAAGGGGATATTTCTATTCGTCGACCCGTACGATTTGCGAAATTGAACGTTTTCTATGTTAAATTTTGTGTGGTTTTAAAAGAACGAGGAAATTCTATATGTTTTAATTAGCTATAACAAACGAACGAACTCGTGTCGAGTCTATTTGACGGTATTGGACATGTGTGTATTTAGTAAGCATGTTGTAGCCTTTTTTCAACCTTTAATTTTCCAGTGCCGAAGTCATAATAGGTCATAGAATATTGTAGGGTGGTTGGCATGGTTGGGTCACTAGTTTTGCCACTTACATCCTTCACGAGACAACCAGACCAATACCAACATAAAAATAGACTAAGTTTGTGGTTCTATTCTATTTTATTAATCTATTTTCAGTTAATTAAGTAGTTTAAATCTATCTTACAGTGCAAAATGACATGATCGTGATTTCTTAAGTAATTCTTTTATTTTTATGCTAAAACACGTTCATCTCTCACTAAACTGCAAATTAGAATTCAATTTTTCGCAATATATTATTAGTTGGAAGAATGAAGATAGATCGGTGACTCTATTCGCCTGGAAATTCAGTTTTGTCTAGAGGCGCCACATGACGTTATGATCTCAAATCAGCTGGAAGCGCCATCAGCTTGAAAATATTGACTAGCAAATGCTGTCCTGTATATTGATTCACTGTCTTTAACTCAGTGCTGTAGAACTAAATTGATTAGGGGGGGGGGGCTCTCTTGAGGAGGGTAAAAAAGTGTGATGTCATCGTATGACGTCATAGGTATGCACCACTCATGCGCGAGGTGACTCAGAGATGAAAGATAACTCGTAATTAGTAGAAGGGAGATCACACCCCCCCGGTTTGAAGAAAGAGTCTCGGCTCCGAAGCGCCTTCCCTTATTTCGACAGCACTGCATTTCACTACTTCCAATTAAATATGGGCACTTCGACAGTTGTCTTTAGTAAGTTATAGTTCAGTGAGACACGAGAGTCCTGAGATCAGAGTTGCTGATCAACAAATATTTTCTCATAAAGAACATGTCCCCAGTCTCTTTCGTGGTATCGCGCGGTCAATTATCATCGACCATGTTTATATAAAATTTATGTAGAAATTTAAAAAAAACTTTTATTTTTCACACAAACTCGTTCACATCTCATGGGAAATTTACTTTCAAGTGTATGGGGTCGTCTTGTAGGTCGCGAAGACGTACGAATATTAATGGTTGGCCTTGATAACGCTGGAAAAACAACAATTTTATACCAACTCAAGTTTGGCAAGGTCATTTCGAGTGTGCCATCGATAGGCTTCAACGTGGAAACTGTCTCGTACAAAAATATTTCATTCTTTGCAGTATTAAATACTTACGTGGTGTACCTACAAGCTCTTTACTTATGATGTTACCATGCAAACACAAGAATATTAAGATACAGTAGTCCCCCGCTAACTCGAACTCGCTTAACTCGAACTCCTCGCTAACCCGAACTAAATCCAATTCCCCTTGAATTTGATAGTGTTTTTCATAGTAATTTACTCCGCTTAACTCGAACTCGCTTAACTCGAACTCCTCGCTAATTCGAACAAATTTTGTTTCCCCTTGGTCAAATATATCCGGTTAACTCGAACTTTGGTTTCGAATCATAGATCAGCAAACTTTGAAATGTGAGAAGATAGAATTTTGACAACTGGAAACTATCAAAATGACAAGTTGATCAGTGTATAATTGTATATAAATGCTTATAAATTTTAAAAGATTTTGTGCGGTGCTACGGTCGTTATTGATCTAACTTTTTTAGTTCCTTTTGTATTCTTTCGATATTTTTTAATTTAAAACGTCGTCCACTCTCGCTGATCAATCATATTGGGAGGCCTGCTATCCCTTGAAGAATGATTCGATTGGATTTTATATCTTATTGTATTACTTATATAATAAACGTAATCTGACACCAACTCCGGTTAACTCGAACCCCCGTTAACTCGAACAATTTTTCTTTCCCCTTGGGAGTTCGAGTTAGCGAGGGACTACTGTATTTGTTATCTTGAACGTTTAAAAGGTTTAGTTTTGATAGCAAGATATACTTTGATATACTTCAAAACTTTCATATATTTTACGACCAGATGTCATCATATTTTTTTGCCGCTTCAATCATTTCCAGAATCCACTACCACCCTATTACAGAAGTTAACTCTCATGAGCCATGAATTGCTTATATTTGTTCTCGTGAATGTGAAATGACGAGTTTTTCACCATGAATCAGAACGAGCTTTACATTGGCCTTGGCGTAAAACTAAACTCATGCTAGGCGACTCCGTAATGGGAGTTTTCTCGAAATATCTTCAGCTAAGGAAAGGATCGAGTCTGTCTTTCTGTGCGAATTTGTTGATTATTATTAAATTTGTTTTTGACTTTGATTATTTCCACATTTCCACTTTTTTGTATTACATTAAATCTTTCTGTTGAAAAACAATGGAGTTTCACATTGATCAGTAATAACAGAATTTAAATGTCGCACTCGGAGAGACTGTACGAGAGTGAGCTTTTTGAACTCAGGTTAACTAGTCTTATAAGACTATATTCCATACGTTAGAAATGAAATGGATCCAACAAAATTGGATCGAGTGAACAGACCTTGAAGCCTCTTTTTCACAGCGCGGACCAAGAAGGGATGGAGGGAATTTTTCCCCGCAAAACTTTGCCATGTTTAGTTTAATAATTTCGCATTGCTATTCAAATGTTTAATGTTTTTGACATTCAAACTCGCACTAAACTATATCACTGGTGTGGTGAAAATAGATTTGATATCACTGACTCAGTGATACATGGAAAGAATCGCTCTAAGACAAAGTATTTATGACCTGCCTGGCAAACAACGATATCAAACACATAGTGAATGTTTTTTTTCATTTCGTTCCAAAGAGAAATGACGAGAAGAAGTTCATTTGGAGGCTACGATGAGGAGAGATTCGTAAATAAAGTCGGCGCTAGACTGCTTTGTCCGATCTGCTTCAAGGTGGTCAAAGACCCAGTGCGATGCCCGAACGAACACCATTTTTGTCGCTCGTGTATTCAAAAGTGTTTGAACGAAACCTCCGAAACCTGTCCAACTTGTCAACACCATCTCACGGAAGAAACCTTGGCCAAACCAACGAGATTTTTTATGGAAACGTTGGAACGTCTCAAGATTCGTTGCGATCACGCAAGCCGTGGTTGTCGAGAAGTGGTCGAGCTTGAATTTCTTGATCGGCATGTCAAGAGATGTGGCTATTCACCAACACGTTGTACAAACACGGGCTGTTCTGAAGTCATCAGCCGAAACGAGCAAGAACGACATAAGAACGAACTTTGTCGTTTTCGTATCATTGTCTGTGACGAGTGCAAGCAACAAGTGACGCCCGAGTCAAGTCGTTCTCATCCTTGTTTCATGACAAAAGAAATTGACGAATTGACGGGAAAGCTGGAGAAAGAAAGGCAGGAAAAAGAACAGAGTCAAGAGGCAAATCGCAAGTTGATGGCCGATGTTGCCCGTCAAAACGTTGTCATTGAAGATCTTCAGCGCAAAATGAACAGCATGACGTCAGAAGTGAAATATCCAAGCAACGAAACAAGAGAAAATGGCGATTTCTTCACCGGAAAACGAAAGATATTTGTCTGCGGAGGGCGAGACGATAAATATTCCCTTATAAGAGTAGAATCGTTCAGCTGGCCTGAGAATACCTGGACACCAGAACCAGATATGTATAGGGGACGACAAGCTCCTTCCTCGTTTCTATACGACGGTCAAATATATGTCAGTGGAGGATGGACTGGATACCAGTTTACAGACATTATTGAAATGCAGAGAATGGATCAAGAATAGATCGAGGCTCCTGTCAAGATGCCAATCAAGTGTCAAGGACACGGAATGGTTTATAATTTTGATCGGAGGTTATAACGAGAAAGGCAAAACATTGAACACAGTATTCATGTACGAAGTGAAAACAGGTAAAATTAAGATGTTACCTTGTCTTAATCATAAAAAAGTAGGAAGTGCAGCAGTTATAACTGGCAATATGATTATCGTCATGGGCGGTTATGATTATGAAACTAAAATATTTCTCAGTTCGGTCGAGTGCTTAGATTTAAGTACCAATGAATGGAAAGAATTGTCACCAATGACAGAGAAACGAGGTTACGCAACTGCAGTTCTCATGAACTAGAATATTATATTGCAGAGAATCATCATCGGAGAGAAAAAAAACTGATAAAGCATTACTTTATGATTTAGAAAATAATAGTTAAGCTTTCATATGAATTCGTAAAATGCTTAATAAATATAAACTAGTGAATCTTAAAATATACCCGCGGAAACAAGCAGCTAATTTACATCAAGAGAGACGCAAAGCCATCTACGAAACAACAACAATGAGATGCACTATTCTACAACCGTGTATAATTGGTTCTAAAAAAACCAATTAACCAAAGTTATGATTTTAGGAGATCTACATTTCAAAATTCCTTTCTAAAATTAATAGACACGTGATGTTCTTTATTTCAAAGACATCCAAATTCATCCAACTGGTTCTTGCAGTAATTTATATTGATTAACCCTGGAACTCCAGCGAGTAAATCTGTTGTATTTCCGTTGACAAAGGTAGATACGAAATATATACACGTCATATACGTGCATGCACATTAACTAATATTAAAAATTAAAAATACATGACGGGATGAAGGAAAGTACGGTATTAGCTATTATGCCGACTGTTTTGAAGATTCATCCCGTGTGTTTGATAATTCAAAAATTCATGCCTGCAACACGCTTTGATTTAGTTAAAGACTTACAAGGGGTTAATGCCTAGTTTCCATTCAATCGTTAGCTGTCGTTACATGTCTTTCCGTGTCTTTGGAATAATCGTGAAAGACCGATAACGACTGAGAGAAACAGAAAACAACAGTATCGCTCGGATAGAACAAATCCTATCTCAACGACATAAAAAGACAGGAAACAACATGATTCTTCCCATAATTCGTTATCGGTCTTTCACGATTATTCCAAAGATACGGAAACAATGTAACGACAGCTAACGACTGAATGGAAACTAAGCATAAGCGTCACTTTCTTGTTTTGACTAGTTTTCAAGTTCGACTCTTTAGCTCCAGGGTAACCGAGCAGGTGGCTTAGTTGAGACGCTTTCTTCATTCAGTTTGGAAGAGAAATGGCGAGGAAAGGTTCCATTGGAGGCTACGATGAGGAAAGATTCGTAAATAAAATCGACGACAGGCTACTTTGCCCGATCTGCCACAAAGTCTTCAAAGACCCAGTGCAATGCTCAAACGAACACCACTTTTGCCGTTCGTGTATCCTAAAGTCTTTATACGAAGCCTCTGCAAGCTGCCCAACTTGTCAACAAACTCTCACGGAAGAAACCTTGGTTAAACCACCGAGATTTTTGGCGGAAACTTTGGAGCGTCTCAAGATTCGTTGCGATCACGAAAGCCGTGGTTGTCGAGAAGTGGTCGAGCTTGAATTTCTTGATCGGCATGTCGAGAGATGTGGCTATTCACCAACATGTTGTACAAATCCGGGCTGTTCTGAAGTCATCAACCGAAACGAGCAAGAACGACATGAAGACGAACTTTGTCGTTTTCGTATGATTGTCTGTGACGAGTGTGGAAGACAAGTGATATGGAAGTCGAGAGCTGTTCATATCTGCTTCATGCGGAAAGAAATCGATGATTTAGTCAAAGAAAGGAAGGAGTTCAAAGAGAAAGAGTTGGCTCAAGATGAGTTCAACCAAAAGCTGATGGCGGAAATTGCCCGTCAAAATGTTGTCGTTGATGATCTACGCCGTAGAAACGAAGAGATGGAATATGAAATGAATAATATGAGAGTAAACATGGAATATATCGCAACCGAAGCAACTGTGAGAAGCGACTGGTTCACAGGAAGACGAAAGATTTACGTCTGCGGAGGGCGTGATGATGAGTTTTTCCTCAAATCCGTGGAGTCGTTCAGTTGGCCTGAGAACTCCTGGACATTGGAACCAGAAATGAACGTGGCACGATCAGCTGCTGCAGCATTTGTTTACCAGGAACAAATCAACGTGTCTGGCGGATGGAATGGAAAGGAGATTGTCGACAGCATCGAATGGATGAATGCTGTTAAGATGCCAATCAAATCCAACGGTCACGGAATGGTTTGTCGTGAAAATACTGCGTTTTTAACTGGTGGCTGTGATGAGGACATCGTTTCTGATGGGATTTACGAAATAAAACTAACTCCCCCATACACGACGAGGTTATTGACCCAGTTGCCAGAGAGAAGATGTTTCCATGGTTGTCAAATCATTGACAACGAAATCGTGGTCGCTGGTGGACGGACATCGTATTCCTTTGAGCACGCTACCAACACTGTATTTGCATACGATATTAACAATAATGAATGGAAAACCCTGTCGCCACTGCCATTTCCTATCCTTGAGATGGCTACTGTTGGTTATGAAGGTAATATAATTTTGATCGGAGGTACTGACGAAAATTGCGAAACGTTGAACACAGTATTTATGTACGAAGTGAAAACAGGAAAAATTAAGATGTTACCTTGTCTTAATCATAAAAGAGCGGGAAGTGCAGCAGTTATCACTGGCAATATGATTATTGTCATCGGTGGTTATGATTATGAAACTAAAACATATCTTAATTCAGTCGAGTGCTTAGATTTAAGTGTCAATGAATGGAAAGAACTGGCCCCAATGACAAAGAAACGAGGTTATGCGACTGCAGTTCTTCAACCAATGTATTAGAATATATATTCAAGGAACCATGTAAGTTCAAAAGAACAAAACTGATCCAGTATTAGTAATCTAGCACGTGAATTAAAAAACTAGTTTCGAGCTTCCATGTCAATCCGTACGATTCATGATAAATAAAAGTTACTCTATATTATAGGTTTTTGGTAAATGTTATTAAATCGATGTAAATAATGCATGAATATTGAGTGTGTTCTGCAATGGTTCTACGAAAACCTTGGTAGTCTAGTTTCATCGTTCTGGAAACACATTGAAACTTCCTCTGTCCTAGCATGTCATATATTTAGTGAACAACAAGACTAGAAAACTATTTGGACTAAATTGTAATAGTTTCTATATTCAGTGTTTGTGTGTATGAGAAACGACTATTTAGCCTTCGTTATTTCAAATGTAGTTAATTTTAAGGTTATAGTAAAAATATAAAAACTAAAAAAATAATAAATATATCTATGGCTATGCCTAAGGACCCATTAAATAATTTGTTTCTCTGTGCAGGAAACCGGATTGGCGAAATTTTGCCAACACGATATTCAAGGTATCGAAAGAAACAACTCAAATGTGCAGTTGCATAAGCTATAAGATTATCATATTGTGTAGTTTGTAGTTTGATATTAAAGTGGGTTTTTTGTTCTGCATTTCCCCGTTAAATTATCTGCTGGAGAAAGACCACCTCTATTCCTTGCAATCCTAAGTTATCCTGCGTTGTTCATACGAGAATGGAAGTCGCCTAATCTTTCCGCAAACACTCTGTAACTCCCTCGTTTGCCAATGGTCCAATAAACACATTGCTCACACACTACTTCGAAACGTCACACACACGACTGCATCGTATATTCGACCCTCTAATCGGTTACCTAGCAACCACAACAACACATGACGTAACACGCTCTAACCTGACGATGGTTTCCCATGCTTTCCGATGCTTTCCGATGCTTTCCGATGCTTTCCGACGAGTCTCCGCTCATACCAGTAGGCTTTGTGCGCGGGCAAAATCGATCAGCGTAGATTCGCCAGGAAGCGATGAACCTGATGTTAGAAAAAAAATGCAAACATAACTAAAGTTTTTCAATAGAATTACGGGGTTCAAATGGCCGTGGTCGGTTGGGTGAGTCTCAAAGGTAGATTACCTTTTAAAAAATAGTCGTTGCATCTTCTTGGGAGCCTTGTGTGTGTCATTGCAAGCTAAACAGTCATATTAAAATAGGTTTTAAAAAATACATGTACAAGGTTTAAGTAAAGTCAGCTGTAAAACTTTTAAAAGGTTTCGCACCTTAAAACAGCTTTGCGAAAAGAAGTTTCTCAAATCTTCTCCTTGCAGATGTTCTAAAAACCTTCTTAAAGGCACGAGGTGACTGAATGGGCCTGTCCTAAAAGCGTGAAATGAGACAAGTTATATTAAGGTATTGTATTGTATAGTATGGTATATGGTATAGTATGGTATGGTATATGGTATAGTATGGTATGGTATATGGCATATGGTATGGTCTAGTATATGGTATGGTATGGTATGATATATGGCATGGCATGGCATGGTACGGTACGGTATGGTATGTTATGGTACATGGTATATGGTATGGTATATGGTATGGTATGGCATGATATATGGTATGGCATGGCATGGCATGGCATGGTACGGTATATGGTATGGTACGGTATATGGTATGGTATAGTATATGGTATGGTATGGTATGGTATGGTATGGTATGGTATGGTATGGTATGGTATGGTATGGTATGGTATGGTATGGTATGGTATGGTATGGTATGGTATGGTATGGTATGGTATGGTATGGTATGGTATGGTAGGTATGGTATGGTATGGTATGGTATGGTATGGTATGGTATGGTATGGTATGGTATGGTATGGTATGGTATGGTATAGTATGGTATGGTATGGTATGGTATGGTATGGTATGGTATGGTATGGTATGTACCCTTTCAGGCAGTGCCATGCCATACCATCTTCAAACAGAAGACTCTAGTCTGTGAAAAGATTCTTACCATTTCGTCAAGAAATCTTCAACAATGTGATGGATACGATCCGGCTTTGGCAGTGAATAATCCTTTCCCATGGCTGAGGAATACAACAAAAGAGATCATGCAAAATGTTAGGATAGAAACCCCATAAAAGCACAGGGCTGAATAATTTGCCTCATTTTTCCTCTGACATACCTTTGACAGGTTGGCGGTAAAAGTACAAAACTGGATGGAGGAAATTAGAGATGTGGGCACGTGAAGGATCCAATGTTGCCCGATCCTCGTGAAATGTATCGCGTCTAAAGTGGAGACACGAGAAGTTATGAACAAATTTCAAATTTTTAAAACAACAAAGTGTATTGCCACAAAATACTTGGCGAACACTGGCGAGAAATATCGTGTCTAAAAACACTAAATGATTTGCAAAATGCATGCGAATATGTTACAAATAACTGTGAAGAGTCCCTGGGTCGATATTTCGTGAATTACTTAGTATATTTCAGGAATTTCAGCCGACACATGATGCTTAACCACATTGACCAAATACAAATTGCTTACCCAGCCCCTGAAAACGATTTTCCATACTCCATATTCACCACAATTGTGGGACCGCTGGGCAAACCTGAATAACCTAAGATGAAGAGAAAGTTGTTAAAAACGAAAATCACTTCAAACTGGGGGGATTTCGTTATATCACATTTGTTCCTACAATCACACTTTTCACTGATTGATGACACCGACATCACCGACATCTCAGGGTGGTATCTTTACGGAAACTTACGTTCAAATTTGTCCAGCAACTTTAAAGGAAATTCTTCAATATATATGGCCTGGTCTTCGCTTACTAGATGAGATAAAAACAGTGAAAGAGTGTTTCATGAACCTCGAGAAAAACGGAACATCTTATGAGGATCTAAAATCAAACGTAATTCAACGCGAATGCGAAGATAATTAAACGCGCTTGGCGACACTTCGAATACGCGATAACTTTCTAAAAATATTAAATCTTACCGTAGATGACGACATCCACCAAAATACCAAACATTTGATAAATCCCCTGTGAGAAATGAGAAAGTACAAGTTGATAACTTTGGATTTTCTGGCAAAACTTGCCAACTAAAATAATTTCAACTTAGTATCAAATGTGGTATAACAACTGCCTGAAATAGACAAAACACTTCTCGACGTTTCGACCTGAGGGCCTTCGTCAGGAGAGTTAGTATGACTAAGGCTCTCAGGTCGAAACGTCGGGAAGTGTTTTGTCTATTTAGGCAGTTGTTATGCCACATTTAATGCTAAGTTGTTTGAAGACGCTGCCGGCCACGCTGCTCTCTGTTTATATCAAAATAATTTCACTCACGAATTGTTCAAGTATATGTTCGGGTAAATAATAAAAACTCAGCAAAAATGAAGATTCCCTCGCTGACAGACATGTGTTAACACAAACATAACTGGCAGTGCTCTTTCAATGACACATGAAAGGGGTGAATTTTCTCGGGACCCAGGCTTGAGAGGCCCCCAAAACGATGAAGACGAACATGATACAATGCACAAAAGAAAGTCAACTGAAATGCGCTCATGGGGAACGGGTCCTCTCTCTGAAAGGCTTTGGGAAAATCGTCTGGTATTAGACAGAGTAAATAAAGGGAGTGATTTTGGATGCAGAAACAACTGCTTAACGAGTTAAACAAACATGACGAGAAAATTTGCGCTCAAACGCTCATGAGATTTAGATAAAAACTCCACATAAAATCAAGTAAACTTGCAGAATATTTAACATCTAAGATATATCAAATAAGACATATTTCATGCTCACATACCGAGGCTTCGTTAACTCGTTTCGTGATATAATTCAAGATCTGACTTTGTGGGATGATGTGGTGTTTCCATTTCACTCCGTGATTTCTCCATTCCAAGATCCGATGAAGTGATCGCGCTAAAGACAAAAAACACGGTTGGAATGTCAACACAGTACCCGTGTCTGCTTAATCTAGCATCACTTCAATACCTGTGTAGCGATAACCATGGATGAATCCTCCAGCAGACTTCTTCCAGTCCAAAGAGTGCGCGGTTGCTCCCCCTAATAAAAGATTTAGTTAAATTTCTTTGTTACTGAAAAACACTGCTTATCCAAGACTTTTTCCACACGAAGCTGTCATAATTCTCGCTATGTAAGGCCAGCCAAGGCCAGCCTCGTACGAACCCAGGTGCTTCAGTAGAAAAACATAACGTTGCATTCAGGCTTTATACAGAGGTCAGCTGAAAAAAGTAAGCGCGCGGGGGTGCTTGGGGTGGTTTTGACAAAGGAAGCTAACCCGCTAAACAAAACCACCCAAGCACCCCCGCCTTTTTTCATATGACCTCTATATATGGGCTGAATGCAACATTATGTTTTTGTACCAAAGCGCCTAGGTACGAGGCTGAGGTAATGCCCGTTTCCACGGTACCTGAACAGGTTAAATTTTGTAGGCAATGAAAGGCAGTGAAGATTTTCATAGAAAATAACTCACAACTTGCAATAAAGCTGGTATTTCTGCATGCATAAACTCACCAAACCACAATCTTGGAACGTTGTCACTTTGATAATCAGGAGTTATGAGAGGATATTTGCTTTTCTTTCCTTCGCATTTGTTTGGCATGACCGTGTCGTTGAATATCGAGAAATCAAACTGAAATTCATCATAAATAATAACATTGACATCTTAGAACAAAGCATGGAACATCTTCTCTGAATGATTTCACCGAAAAACTTACCCGGAAACCGAGACATCTCAGAATTTTATCATACGGCTCGCGTAGGGAATAGTTGTCAGCTGAAAAGACACAAGGATCGTTTCTAAATGTCGTTACATTCGCTAGCAAGCTTCTTCTGAGAAATTACCTTTGATTGACCTTTTGCATTATACGAACTACTTTCTGATCTATGCAAGGAAATCCAAACAAAAATGCGGGAAATATAGCCCTGCAAAGTTTACAAATTTGTATACTTTTTTACTACAAACGGAATTTACTTTTTTACTACATTCAGGCCAAAAATGGTAACAATTTCCGCTCTTTTCAGCTGTGGTGATTTAATTGCATTTCCTTGCATAGATCAAAAAGTAGTCTACAATGCAAAAGGGCAATTGGAAAGATTACAGAAGAGTTTAAGGCATACTCGTGTCGTGGACAAACAAAACAAGGATGAGAGGTTAAAGAAAGCTCATTCAGAGAGTTCACCACCTCTCATTAAACTCTCGTTATTTTTAAGTCAAACGAGAAGAACTCCACCAGGAAAGTTCAAAAACATTCATAAAGTTTGATCTTGAAAGATTTGACACAAGGGTATAATCGACTCTGACGGAAAACGGGAATGATAAATATTTCTTAAGGAATATGAAATCACTTACGTGCAACGCCAGTCTTGTTTAAAATCTTTCCTTTTGTGTCATAGAAGTCCACGTAAAGTCTCCCGTTGTGTTTCACTATACTTATTTGCGAGAAGGACTTTTCTACATGAACGAAGAACGATGCATGCAAACTGATGTGAATCAGAAAAGAATTGAAGGCATTCAAATGAACAAGCACAAACAATACCTAGGTAACCGTCCAAAGATTTCAACTGGTAATTGTCCAAAATACGATTATTGACAGCTCTGAATAAGTCAAATAAAAGAGCAAAGTAAATATATACGTTGGGTAATGTGTGGTATGTATGGACAGGGATGCCGTCTGGGAGTGGCGTGTTGCATGGTTCGCTCTAGGATTGCAGATGATTCTATGGTAATACTTGGATAGGCGTGGTCTCGTATGTAATGGTGTGGTATGACATAGCATAGCATGGTATAGTATGGATGGTCCGCATGGTATAGTATAGATGGGTTACGGTATGGTATATTACGATCTGGTATGCTCAGGATAGGTGTGGCCTCGTATGGTATGGTATGGTATGGTATAGTATGGTATGGTATGGTATGGTATGGTATAATATCGTATGGTCTGGTCTGGCATGGTGTAACATGACATGGAAAATGCGCACTGTCGGTATTGAGAAAATACCAATAATATCGTCTTAAGAAATAACAGCCACCCACATACCTAACATCGCCAACGTAGTGAGTTGACCAGGCCAGTCGAACTCTTGATCTAGGTAAAAAATACGAAACTTAATCGATCAGATGGAATAATCAAGGCCAGGTTGAAATGACCCCGCTGGGTGATATCATTCGTCAGTGGAAAAGCACTTCTGGTTGATGGTTTAATCAGATCGTCCTCATGCTTACCTGCCCATAACATGAACGACATTCGTCGATTCCATGATAAAATCTGCAGTTTCGAATGCCGCATTTCCTATGAAACAAATACACAGGAGGGAATCAACTAAGACGAATAAGTGGCCGAGCATGCCGGTTTCAAGCGAGCACCAGCCGTGGCGCTGACCTGCTCTAGTACAGGCTCAACCCGGTGGTGGGAATCACCAGCCTACCCGCATCTGCCACCAGCCTTAACTTCAGTCACAGTGATCAGGCATGCAGGCAAATAAGCCTACGTCATATCGGGCTCGAGGATATTATAAAACACTACAGACCAACCTCCTCCCAGGATTAACACAGTTTGGCCCTCGTAATCTTCTCGATCCAGGGACATCTCGCCATAACTCTGTGAGGAATGAATAATTGGGAATAAAGACGACATCATAAAGGGAAATAGATGGTACGAAAAAACGATCCATGAAAATACGGAGGAAAGATTCAAAAGAAAATAATTACAAATGCTGACTACCTGTGTATGTTCGATGCCTTTGAAATCTGGGATATTCTCAATTGGGATCCCAGTGCTATATGAAAGCAAAGAAAGAACAATTTTGAATAAAAAAATAATGGTTTCCCATCAAGGATCAACCATTTAAGATCTGTTGGGATAAGGAAAATATGACCGTGCAAAAGTTCACAAACTTAGTATATAGTAACTGAAAAGTTGCATACTTTCTGCACAAAAATAATCGCAATAGTTATACAAAATTTGAGAACTCTACAGGCCAATGTTCCACGTTTCACAACACTTAACAACTTATTTGTCAAGTCATTTTAGGTGCTTTTTCTATCCGCAGTATGTAATTTCATTTTCCTTGACTCTATCAAAATTTAGTCGACTATCCAATGGCGAGGGATATGACGGATCCTCAGGTGATGCCTCATTTCTAATCCATATTTAACCCTTCCTTGAAGTAGTACACTGTCTATATATTCAGCTTTACTTAACCATTCTTCCTCACCTGACTATCAGGTCGTCACACGTATAAACAAAACCGTTCTGATCTTGAAGTATAAACGAATTATTCGCGACTTGTTTTGATACGCTTTTGACTTCGGTGTTGTAAGAAATCTTGAGATTTAACTTTGTGGCAAAATCGTTCAGGTATTGAACCTGGAATGAACACAAAAAAAGTGAATATTTTGACTGAAATTTCAAAGGTACGGTTTACGGTTTTGCATAGGCTGTGATACAAGGCCTGGGTATTTCGTGTGTTTTACCCACCAAAACGTCAGCTTTTGGAAACAGCATTTTACTGTATCTTGTCATACGAAGGGATTCGTCATCACTTAGCAGCGAGTTCCAATCATGCCTCATGTTGAATTCTTTATTTGTTTTACCTTAACGAAGAAAATATGACACATATAGGTGTCAGTCACATCGACTGCCACAGCAGAAACAGCAACAAAAACAACAACAACAACATCAAAAACAAAATCAGCAGCAGACATTATCCAAATAAAAAGATCACAACCTGTGTGCCTCTTGTTTATCGAAATCAAGCCACGATGACGAGGGTAGAACTTGTAGAATGAACCTATACAACACAGACTTGTATTAGTGAAGCTGTTTATCAGTTCATTGAAGGCGAAATATTTAATTTACTATGCCCGACATATTTGTGCGAAGAACGAAAGGTTTGAGTCAAGTTGAAGCTGTATTAGTCCTAAATCACCTAAAATTTTCGTTAAAACCTCAAGTTCATGGGAAATATTTGCGTATTTAGTCGATTGAACTGTTTCAACTGAAATTGTTACAGCTTACACGATCGAGCAAGATCAGCAAACTCAAATTTGTCGAGAGTCAGTTATAAAATTATACAGTGCACGAATACAAGAGTCAGTAGGCAAGCAGGAGAGTTTTATCAACCTGACGTAGGGCCAGTTAACGAAAGAAAACTTTTTACCCAGCTAAGATGATCGCGCGGAATGTTGATAAAAAATCTAGGCAGGCGGATTCTTATAGTAATTGGCAGGAGAGACTGTACCGGTCAAACGAGGAAAAATATTTCAAGAAATATTCAAAACATGCATTTTGCCGGTCATAAAAATGTGCATTTAACGCATTGGCCTTGTAACTCGTGGGAGCGTCATACAATTATTTTCCCAGCTTGTAATGAGCATCAACACACAGGTCTATTTAGGACCAAAATACTCAACGCTATGGAAAGCCCTCAGAGGAAGCCCCCGTGTTGAAAATTACATGGATTGGTGACCTCATTTAGAAAACGACAGCGACGTTGTGCAATGTTTTGCGTCCAACGGTGCAAATTCTTTTTATATCGCGCAAGTTGTTTTTCCTCTCGTTTTTTGTGTGACTATAAATACACGTAGATTGGTCTAAATTTAGGCGGTGTTTGCTTGCTATGACCTGCGACTTTCGTAAGGGCATTTCGAAATCTAACAATCCTCGCCTGAACAAAGGTGAGAATTGATGAAGAAGCCTGATTTTCAGGAGCATTTATTCAAGCTTTATATATAAGTTTTGCTGTTTCTTTTCTGAGGGTTTTCGTGCTGAATCAACAACTCCGTACAACAATACATTCAATGTTCTAGCCTGCTCTTCGAAGACAAAAGCATTTAAGATAATGCATCAGCCCCATTAGTTTTAAGTGTCTCAGATGAATCCAGAAAGTTAACCCTTAATTATCAGTGTGAAGGTTAAACACTGCATGCATACAGCAAGTATTATCATATGTAGAACGGTATGGAACAGTCCGAAAATAGTTACAAGCGATATAATGTGTGTCTAGAACATACTTAATGGTATTTTGATATTTTTAAATAGTTGTTCATGCAGTTAGTAACTGCGCAAACAGGAAGTGTTATTCAATAATAAATATGTATATACAAATTAAGAAAATAAACTAAGTCTATTTATAAATTGCTGAATGGATGCATCTACTATAGTAAACCTCAGTATTAATTTTGTCTAAAAAGCGTACTCCTTGAGGTAATAGATTCATCATCTGGCATAATCGATCAGTGTTACTACAGGAGGAAAACTAAACTAAACTAATAATTTATACTGAATAACTGCTCTATCAGTTCAAAACTGTTCTTCCTAGAGGTCCAGTAAGGATCGTCTCTTATTGATCCAGTGTTACTACAGGAGGAAACCTAAACTAACCTAACTTTATTTATACTGGATAACTCTATCAGTTCTAAACTGTTCTTCTTAGAGGTCCAGTAAGGATAATCTCTTATTGATCCAGTGTACTACCGTGAGGAAACCTAAACTAAACTAACTTTATTTATACTGGATCTATCAGTTCGAAACTGTTTTTCAAACGGATCCAGAAAGAAACCAACTATATTTATCTGCAGATGCCACAGTTTGCTAGAGAGTTGAGTGTTTATTTATCGTTTAAAAAGGAAAAGGGACCACCGGAGCCTACTTAGTCTCGCTGTACACATTTCTAAAGAATTCCCAATCTTTTTGTTTGCGGTTTCCGTACAATTCCTTATAAGTTAAAGGAATTTCGCTGTTTTGACATGGGGTTATACATATGGCCTTCCAGGGACATCTTATAAAGTTGCTAACACATTGTAATAGTTCGTTAAATGTTACAAAAACATCAACATTAAAAAAATGCAACAGTTTCTCCTTAAATTACTGACATATTTTCTAGTTTAGCGACATATATCTTTAAGGATATACCTCAAATGTGAGGTCCTGTGGTTCTGCAAGACTAGATGTATCTCTATTTAAGAGTAACTTTCCTGTAAGATCGAGCAATACACTGCAAGGCTAACGCGCTTGAATATATCAAGTAGCCTAAATTGTAGCTTGCATATACAGTAGAACCAGTTTAAGGAATCTTTCTAAGACTAAGTACATTTTCGCTGTAAAACAATCGGTTCTTCACTGTACTAGCGCTTACTTAGCTTATATTTTCGTTTATATAGTTGTTCTAATGATGGATGACGATTATAACTGCAATTTTTTTTAAAACTGAAAACTATGATTTTACTGAATCCATCTGAGCGTCTGAATAATTTTAATTTGAAGAGATATAGTAATGAATTTATGGTAGACCCGATATTGTGAAGAACATGTAGATCATATCGGACAGAGTTCAACAATCATTGATCAATCAAGTTGGTTCTGTAAGATTTACTTACCCGCTTCAGAATTGCGTTCAAAAACAATGTAATCCCGATTCGATCTTTTCAAAAAGTATGCAATTTGCAGCCCTGAAATGGACAATTTGGAAAATTAGAACAAACTCAAAAAGTGTGTTAAAAACTGCTAGTATTGTTAATATCAGAAAACATTTAATCATGATCTAGTTGAGAAAATGTATTCCCTATTTCTAGATCGTAATTCTGAACAGTGCATGGAATATAAACTTTTGAAATTATTTCAAAATTTCATCACGACATCAGGCATGCAAGAATTTCCCCGATCTAACTAGCTACAAAATTTGTGACATGAAATGTTCTCTAAAACGTTCCTTTTTCAGTTCGTAAACAAACTTCGCTGACCAAACCACCTACCTCCCGGACCAGCGCCTACAACACAATATTCATGGTGGGTTTTAATTTCTCTACAAAACGTCGTGAACAGACTAAGCAAGAACACAATGACGCCAAAACTGGACTCAAACTTTGCAGCCATATTTCCCAAGGACAGCCTCGCTCGGCAATGACTCGTCCGCAAGCACACAGAGGAATATAAATAGTTCATGCAACATTGGCAGTAACTTAAACGAAACATTAATGGATGGGCCGAATTAGCATAACAAATACAAACGAAAGAATAGAAGTTATCATTTTGCCAAATAGATCAACACAAAAAGATGCTATCAACTTCTATTGGCGATAGTTTTTGGGAACAGAGCTGGAAAAAGTACCGCTTTTGAAATACGCTTTCTCCGGGCAAAATTGCAACAATTCTTGCTAGAAATTTGGGGGAATTTTACAGCAGCTGTGGTCAATTGGGGGAAGGATACAATAGCCCGACATGTGTCCCGCCAACGCTATTTATTCGAGTTGTCTATTTTGACAGTTTTATATGAAGCTGTGAACGACAAATCACTTTAGGTAGACTCGATTTGTATAGTCGAACAATATATAGCCCAATGATTCTGTTTACTTTGGAAATTGCTACAGCACAACTCGCTACGGCGACAAGGTCATAAAAACGAGGCTTTTCATGTCTTCAGGTGTGTTTTTCCATTGAGGGTATGAGCGCTGAAGCTCTTACAGAGATACACAACCCATCACATCGGCGTGGACTAGAATTACATGTTTTTTAATTCATGCACACAACGCTTATAATCATACTCACGAGGGTTTAAAAAAGATACGAAAATTCTAGTCTTTTAACCGGTTCCCGGTTGTGCCTCACACAAAGAAAAAACAAACAATTTTTCATTCAGGAAAATACTACAGTTTAATAAGACAGTTAAATCAGAAAGATTTACTCTTGCATTCCATTTGAATAAAATGATAAATTTCAATCCAGCAAATAGTGTTTTAATCGTGTTAGAAAATCCCAAATCTAATTAAGAGTATTTATCCAGTACGAATACAGTCAGTTCAAGTTGGGTAACTGATACAAAGCTATCCAGCATAAATAAGGTTAGTTTAGTTTAGGTTCCTCCTGTAGTAACGCTGGATCAATAAGAGATGATCCTTACTGGACCTCTAGGAAGAACAGTTTGGAACTGATAGAGCTATCCAGTATAAATAAAGTTAGTTTAGTTTAGGTTTCCTCCTGTAGTAACACTGCATCAATAAGAGATGATCCTTACTGGACTCTAGGAAGAACAGTTTAGAACTGATAGAGCTATCCAGTATAAATAAAGTTAGTTTAGTTTAGGTTTCCTCCTGTAGTAACACTGGATCAATGATCTTACTGGACTTCTAGGAAGAAACGTTCTGGACGTAAAGCCTATACGAATTTGATGTTTTCTTTCCGCAGTTTAATAACAACAACATGGAACATTAAGGGACGATTTTTAAACAGTACCACAGAGCAAAATAGTTAAGAACCGATAAATCGATGAAGATTTCACAGCATGCAAATAAAAATAGCTCACTCAACAGCTGCGAACCTGTTGGCCTACAATTGATCATCGCGGCATTGGCACTGGGACATCGCAAAGCTTTCACTCGAATTCGCCCCAATCTCTCAGCGTGCCCGGGGTACGCGCGCATTCACGTCAAACCGAGCTTCAAGGCAGTTCAGCGTAAACACAAGATCCTCCAACCCAGAATCGCGTCGTAAAGAAATGCCGAATTGAATGACTAGCCATAGGCAACGGGGATGTTTGAAATAAGTTCAGGTGTTTTTGGCACAGTAGGAAAAACGGAGGAATGTTTTTGTCAGCGTGGAAAAATACGTATTAAAAAAATAGCTTCAACTTGCAGTGGGGATTGTTCGCTAGACAAAACATGCAAAATTTTCTTTGAAAAAAAAGTTAAATGTTTCTCTGCAAGTGGAAATCCAGCTTAGGAAAACACTTTGATAAGGGGATAAGTAAATAAACAGCAGAATATTGACCAACGATCTATCAGAATTTCATATCTTCCTATCAGTAGCTATTATAAATCTATTCTGATACTAAACAAAGTCACTCCACAACTAATCTGTACAATTTATATTCATAAATACTTTACAAAATTTTTCGTCTAAAAATCACTTTTTGGCTGCAGCCTCGTACCCAGGCGCTTTATCTATCGACAAACATGACAAAAAATGCATCCAGTGAAAATATAGAGATCAGTGGTACCACCCCAAGCATCCCTGCGTGCTCGCCATTCACAGGCACTGATCTCTATGTAGAATCTGAATGCAACCGGGTACGAGACTGCAGTTGCGCATTTTTAAACGAATTTGCAATTTAATTTGTGATATTTCTAGCTGTCACCCACACTTGCTCTCACCTAAGACTCAAATAGTACCGTGGTCCCCACGGGCTCTGGTTACATCCTCCAGAGATCGAGTATTGGTCCGCGAAACGTTGGACAAACGTTGAACTGTTGAATTACTCCTTTGGTGAAGTTGCATGAGTTTGTCGTATTTTTGCCTGAGTTCTGAGTACGCCTGGGGAAAGAGGTAAAAAGAGGTCAAATATAGACGGTTACAAGGGGAGGGGGTAAAAACTGGTCAATAATATAGATTTATTCCAATATAAACAGGGTACAGGGTGCTAGCGTTTTCAAACAACTTTTTGCATTAAATTCATTAAATGTGGAGTATAACAACTGCCTAAAAACTCTCCAGACGTTTCAACCTAAGCCAAAGGCAAAGGGCATTCGTCAGGAGAGTTCAAATCTCAAACTTCCAGGTTTCAACTCTTAAAATAAATTAAATTTGATTGGTTCGGAAGAGGCTTCTAGTAAATTTCGTTGCGAAATGTTGTAGAAGGACGAGCGATGCTCGATAAATTCACAAAAGACAACTACGAGGGCGGTCAAGGCTTGACGCCGCCGGCGTTAAACCTCGTGGTTGTCTTGAAATTCGAGATTATGAACCTTTCTGAAAAGTATAAAGTGAATCTACAATCGTTAAACGGGCTTCAAAGTCGACCTCAGTCTCAGTTGCTAAAACAATCGGTAAGCCTAAGTTGATAATCATAAAGTTAACATACCTTTGAGCATTCTTCCGTTGTTTTAAATCCAGAATGAACGGCAGAGTCTGTGCCCTTTAAATGCGAAGTTTCTTTCGCATTTACCGCGATCGTTTTTTGCTCTAAAGGCACCAACAATCCAGCGCTTCTAAACAACTTACGACGAAGCTTTTCGTAGCCTTGCATGGTCAGTTCTTCATGATAAAAACTTCGCTTAATCTCGTCCCATTCGTCTTGCTGTTCCCGAGACAACGCCGGGTAAACTATACGAGACAATAGAACTATTGTTTGAAATCATTAAAGCTTCATCAATTTTGACAGAACAATTCGGTGCACATACAAAACGTATTCAATTGAAACAAAGCAGTGTAATTTTCAAGATAATCCACCTTGCTCTCAAACAACAAAAGAGTTTACAATTTAGTGCATAAAGCCAAGTTTTTAAGCAAAATCAATTGAATAGGAAATTTAAGCATTTAAAAGCCACAAAAACTTTAGGAATTGTTCATGCATGTAGTGTATGTATCAAAGGAAGGTTTAATCTAAAATTCCTACTGACAATTATTGTTCTTTTAGAACAATATAAATTTTAGAATTATATTTGAAGATTTTAACAGTTTTATCGGCAGCTAAACTGACAATGGCGAGCTCACAACCGATTACAACGAGTTTCATTGTTTTTTTTATTACAGTAACTCAAAACAAGACCGAAATGTTATAAAACGCTTTTATTATTTATATTCGCCGTTGGTTTACGCGCCTGATTTTATTTCGACATTTCAGCAGCTAGAATACGGTTACAAAGCTTCGCAAAATTCAAACTTTTGTTTTGCAAAAAAGCAGATATTTATGAATATAATGTGTGGTTGTCTTTATTTGTATACATCCTGTTATATTTATGCTGTTTAAATTTCTTGGGAGGCAAAATTTCCATCCTTCTGTTAGAATTTGAATGAATGCCTTTTATAATGAGAAGTCTGTAATAAGCCTAAATTTCTTATTTTTTTCAGGTCTTATACAAAACAATTATAAACAGTTCAGATCTCATATGAAAACATTACCTAGGAAAGCATCAATTGGACAAGCCAGTGGGGTTTGAAATTTAACTTCATATTGACATGTTCTGGGTTCTTTAACACTCAACAGCTTGTCTTTTTCAGCACATTTTAAAAATACCTGTAAAAATATCAGTTAATTTCCATTGAATACACTGTCACTAATGCTGCATGGTCAAGCTGTTTGAGTTTTGCTGCTATCAATCAGTGAAGGCAATGGTTCTTGCCATTGGATTTAGGGCATAGAAGCAGCAAAGAATGGTTGAGTAAGAAACTCAAAGTGCCAACATTTTTAATCCATACTGTTAAATAATCAGCTATGGTAATTAACATACTTTTGATTGTGATAGTGCAAAGACTCAGGTGTATTAGTATATGTCAAATGTATATTGTATATGTGATGTTGCTACTCTGAGTCACAAACCAGGCAAGCTGAAAAATTAGCTTGACCACAGTGGGAATCGAATCCGCGACCTTTGGTTTGCTAATTTTTCAGCTTGCCCGGTTGGTGACTCAGAGAAGCAACATCACAATATTCATTTGACATACTTTTGATTGTCGTCGAAGACCACCAGGACATTGATCACCCTCAGTCATCACCATTGCCTCAAATGTGTTTTCCACAATTGACCATTCCTTCCAAATTCTATAAGAATATGGTGTGATATTCAAGACGAAACTATCAAACACAGACTGTGATGAAAGTCAACATTGCAAGACATCAACATAATACAAGAAGGTTTATTGAATGACTCTGCAAAACTAGCAAACCAAGACATACAAGAGTCATGAGATCATGACTACCATGAAAAGATTTGAGTCATGCTTACCCAAGAATCCCTTTGAATGCATTCCATCTCCATGTTTGTTCATGCTGTGTGATGTTGGCAAAGGGGCAAAGTTGATATAAATATCTATATGCAAGAATGAAAATTTGTTATAGAGAAAATTGAATTGCCAGCCATTAAGTGGAAGAACAATTTCACAGAAACTTCTGGGCTACATTAGCTCAAGTAGGGCAAATTTGAGAAGAATGCCAGACATTCCTTAGTTAATACAGTTCTGAATATGCAACCTATCAAACCTACTACAAATTAATAATATCACTTGTCTTGTATGCGAGCACCGACATTACTGATACGAGTAACATACACATCTGCTTACGAGTCATCTGTTAGAGAGAAGCACTTTCCATATAACCTCCGTAAATGCTTTGGTCCTGTTGGTAAAACAAATTCATCATTATCAAGAATGGTTGGGTGTATAGTTGGCTGACAAACCATTGTATTAATAGCGCATCAATTGAAGTGAATATTGTGATGTTGCTACTCTGAGCCACCAACCAGGTGGAAAACGAAACTACAATCTTTGGTTTGCTAGTTGCAATGCTCTTCCAACTGAGCTACTAGGTCAAGACGGTTCAAGTAATTGATGTTTCGAAATTAAATCTAGTCCCTCTTATATCTATGCGTCTTAAAACTGAGGTGTATTTATGAAATGAATATTGTGATGATTCATGATTCTACTCTGAGTCACCAACCAGGTACATAAGCTGAAAGTCACAATGGTCAAGCAAATTTTTTAACTTACTTGGCCGGTGGTGACTCAGTGTAGCCTCATCACAATATTTACTTCAAAACCATTATGTTTCCAATATATGATAGACTAGTGCAAATGTCAATAAATGGCACAACCATAGATCAAATAACTTAATCATCCTCTAAATTGACTTTTCATTTGCGTGTCCAGCTTTCTCTCAGCCCTAGTAAATTTTCTTTCAAGCATTCCGTATTAGTGATACTTTAGTGATACGTGGGTTGTAATACTGTAAACTGTGGGTGTATTTACTGAAATTTGCTGCTTTTATGAACGGCGGTGTACCCAACAAATATTTTATCTGAAGTAGTATCTCACCTGAAAACCCATATGGTTCTCTAAATGGTCTAAGAGCATACTATAAAAGAAAATAATTGGTAATGAATATCAGGTTTATACTCATTGATAAAGTTAAAAGCCATTATTCAATAACTTTCAACATACTGCAGCCTTCATCATATTATGGCTTCTTGCTTGCTGCGATTGTCTAAATAAAAAAATGACTTCAGCATGATTTCATTGATTTGATGTGCCGCAAAACTGCCCAAAACAAGACATTTTGTCATGGAATTTTATGAATTTGCAATGAAACTTCTGACATCATTCTATGTACAGCAAAGAATACTTACAATCCACCGTAGTTTGCTGGTTCTTGGACTATTTTGACCGGCTTTTTTGCAGGCATTGCAGGATGAACGCCGCTCCAAGCTACAAGAAGCAAATGGGAAATTTTCAACCTCATCGCATCCTGATAATTCGTAATGAACAAGTACAGCGAAATAATAAGAATACCATAAAAATACCTGTGCAAAAAGACAAGAATAACAGAGGCCAATTCATTCTTTACTTGGAAGAGATCGCACAAAACAAATGAAATCTACATCTACAAAACATCCATCTACAAAGTTTGAAGTTGGAACCAAGAAACGTGCCCGTTGACATATTAGGCAGCGGTTCTTCCTGTAAGCCTCGTGATTGGCTTGCTTATTATTATATTCTAATTATCAATTAGAATGAATAGAATGTCATCTTATTTTGTAACTTTCTGTCAGTATTCGAAACATTTTGGTCCGAAAGTCTGCGATCGGTTAGAAACAAGGGTCGAAAATTAATTTCAGGATCAAACCAAACTCACACGTACTAATTTATGAGTCAAATAAATGTAGTTTCAAATTGTCTAAGTTTATTATTGCGACGTATGATGAAATTGTTGTTGTTTACATCAAAATTAAGATCATTTCTCAAATTCCTGCGAATTAAAACTTCTTTCACGCGGTTATAATCCTATTATTTCAACCTCCAACCCAGTCATGCCGACTTAGCTCAGTTGGGAGAGCGTTAGACTGAAGATCTAAAGGTCCCTGGTTCAAATCCGGAGAACTCGCATGAGTTCTGAACATTCCCGGGAGTCGGCAAATGGCACATTTTTTTTCCTTTTAGATCCTTAATTTCCTTTCTTCCACCACCAAACACAAATACTGCAAAATACATTCAATTTACAGCAACAAAACCGAAGAAAAATATTTCCAAAATATTGTTTTCATCCAATAAAATGTTTCAGAACTTTAAAGGTTGAAGAGTCACCTTAAGATTTTCGTACCCAGGGACGTAAAAGGTACTCGGACTCGGCCAAAAAACATGGCGGATAAAACGACTAAACGTAAAGCGTTTGATATCCCCATTTTGGATGATTTAGACGAAGTGGTTCAAATTACACCAGTTTTTACACGTAGAACTAAAACGAGGAGACCAGAGGAATGCAAAACAAGTGTTTCCGAGCCAGAAACATCTAAAACAACTCAGAGATTGACGGCTAAATCAGATGGTGAAAACGCGCTAATCCCCGCTCCTCGGAGACGCGAAATCGAAACGGAAAAAGCTCCAGTTACGAGGGTGGAGACAACCCAGAGCGAGACCGATGTCACCGAGGCATCGGTGAGTGAAGAATCTGGAAAAACTGTTGGAAGGAATTTCCTAGAAACGTTTGCGTTTATTGAAGACACAAAATATTACGAGGCGCCACCAAGCAAACCATCCACTTCAAAATTCTCTGAAAGAGCGTAAGTCCAAGAGTGATCCATGAGTTACATCCCACTTTTCAAATGGTGGAGAATAGAGATCAGAATTGGAACGACTTTGAAAGTCCTGATATGAAATAAATATTTACTTGTTTTCCAGCGGTTCCATGCAAGAGCAGGAGGCTAAAAAGCCAGCTAATTCATCAAAATCAAATGCAGTTATTGTTAATCAAAGACAGGTAATACACAGTTTCTCCTGCGGATAGTTGTCCGAAAAAACCACCCATTTGCGAGTTAAAGAGTTCTCCCGCGTTCTAGAGGAGATCGCCGTATTGAACAGTAATGTTCTACCGTGATATATCAAGTTTTACCTCACAAAGACGTCTTGAAAACTAATCTCATAACTTGAGACTAACACCAGTTATTTGCAGAAAGGCAACCCGGTCCTGAAATTCTTTCGAAATGTACCCTGGGAATATGGTGATGTCATACCGGATTACGTCATGGGGCAGAGAATTTGCGCCCTTTTTCTAAGGTGAGAGTAGTGCATGATCGTCTCTCTTGACACCGTGAAGCCTGAAGGACTGTTCAGGCCTGAAGCACTGTCCAATTTTGTTAGACCGGCCAATTCACGTCTGATACATTAAATTCATAGAATTTATGAATTTGATATTTCACTATCTAACCAAACCGTCATCCCTGATGAAGAATATTATAAGTGACTAGTGTTGTGTATTTTATAAAAATACTCAGTGATTCTTGAAAAACTTCATTTTCTAAATTAAAGTAGAAGCTTTTCGTACGTTTCGATTCTCAGAACTGGTCCAGAACTACGTTACGGATGCGTTTATCTTTCAGTATTCGTTATCATAACTTCAACCCTGAATACATTCACGAGAGATTAAAACAGCTCGGGAAACGATACGACGTGCGGATTTTGCTTGTCCAAGTCGATATTGTAAGTGAAAATGAAAGTTAAATGACCTTGTTTACCGGCACGTAGTTTAAATATTGCAGTGATGCATTGGCGCACTTTAAAACAAATTGTATTGCAACAACTTGGCGCAATTACAGAAAGTCAGAATTGATTGGCAATCTTGACTTAATTGTCATTGTCATTTTTTTTCGCTTAGAAAGACCCACATAAAACGTTAAAAGAGCTTACAAAGATAGCCATTCTGGCGGACTGCACTCTGATTCTTGCTTGGAGGTGTGTACTACCGTAGAAAATATTTTCAAACCAGGGACCGGTTGTTCGAAAGGCGTTTAGCTTTATAAACGGTGGATAAGCCAAAGTTTAAAAATACTCTCATAGATCTTGTGAATGACTGAACCTGCATCTTGTGCAATTAATATGTACTTCCATTAAACCATTTAAACCATTTACATGGAAATATTTCAGCTCAGTTGTTCAATAAATAGATAGATAATTTTGTTTTCCATTTTTAACTTTATATCCACCGTTTAAGCTAAGTATTAGTGGTGTTTTTTAAAGTCTTCTAACCAAGTATGCATTCCGAATGTGCACCTAGCCTAACCCTCGTTCATTGAAATAGTTTGTTTTGCATAATTTCTATTCAATATAGCGCTGAAGAGGCTGCTCGATATATTGAAATATACAAGATCTATGAAAACAAGCCACCTGATGCACTCCAGGGTCAAACGAATACGGACTACCTTTCAAAAGTAAGGGTTTCCTTACGCGTGATTATCAACTGCATAAAACTATCAATGTCCATACCTACAATCACAAGTCATTAAAAATCATCTGATGGTAGGCAGACCCCATTGTAGTAGCAAGGTATATGTGTAGCCAATTAGGGATCACTGGGACATACGAGTATGATCCTGTCTTTTTTCCACAGCTTACTGATTGCTTGACTACAGTGAAGTCTGTCAATAAAACTGACACAGTGACCTTGCTATCTGCATTTGAGGTAAGCTTAGATACTAAAATCCTACGCACTTCCTGTCTCAGAAAGACCCTGAATAAATAAGTGTAAATGTATTTTAGTCCTTAGAAAATATCATCTCGGCTTCACAAGATGACATTGCATTGTGTCCTGGATTTGGACCACAAAAGGTAGGCACTGTTGCCCCACATTTACATATATTCCTTTTTTACACTTACTACAACAGTGTGGGGTGTTTGAAACCAGGTAAAGAACAGGTTTTAGCATTATATCTGTTTTAGCAAAATGGTTATAATATCACTAGCAAACAGCAATTATAGTGTTTAGTTTGATGGTAAGAGTACATCCATTATGATCGGCTGGTTTAAGATATTTGTTGAGATTTTAATAACAATATGACTGGTTAGCCTGTTCAAAACTGCTAACCTTTAAAGCAATTCCTTATACCTTTTTGTAGGCAAAAAGATTACATGAAGCATTTCACCAACCATTCCTTATAAACAAAAAGAAAGTTGAGAAAACTTGTGATAAAAAAGCAAAATCATGACACAGTCCACGAAAGCTGAACTTCCTGGATTATGATAGCATTCCTAGCAAATGTATACCATATCATTATACCATAATAAGTCTTGGAACCTTTACTTCATAGTCATAATTACTATAAAAATAATTCATTGCATAGACATTATATTATACTTATAACAACTGTAAAAATTCCTCTTAACTTAAGTCTTTCTTCCCAACATTCAGTGTTAATTAATCATCAATTTAATGGTGGATTACTTAGGCTCTGCTTAGAACAGAAATGGCATTGACAAGAATCGCATTTTCTGCTTAGTTTGAATTGCCATTTTTTGTCAAGATTAAGAACGGAATTAGCATTGATGAGGTCAAACTATCTCAACATCTGTGAACATTAATATTTTGTAAATTATCATGAAAATATGTACAGCTTCATATTGTATGGTGCTCATTTACCAATTTATGTTCAATTGAATGTTAAAGGCATAACTGTCATGTATCATCAAACGCTATCTTACGACTTTTATCAGCAATGCCAGGCACACTTTGAAAAATTCCTAGACCATATTCCACCTCACGCCATTGCACAGAATACTTGGCGTTTCCTTTTCACAAGGGAAATTTTCTACAGCAAGTTCTCTTTTGTTTGAAAAATACATTTTTAAAAAAAATTTTCCTGTATGAACCTTGTGGTTCAATTTTATCCAAGGTTTAGGTTCAATGACTGGGAATTGTATGTTCACTAAAAGTAAATTGCTAACTATGATGTTAATTATGATTATAAAAATTCAATTCCTTCAAACTTATAGCTACCAGGGATTTTCTTTTCTGTCATCAATATTCTCCCATGCAGATCAAATGCCATAATGTATGTTGCAATCTTTCCATCCACTTCTTGCGTCTTCAATGCTACCATTTGCTGCTCGTTAGTACCGGGAATGAACTTAAACGAGGAGAAACCGTGAGTGACATTAAGCGGGCCAACAAATGTTCTTTCACAGTCACCAAAATCAGCAGTGCACGAGAGAATCATGTTGGTTCCTCGGCGTTCATCCTCTTTATCATCGTATTTAAGCTTGCTTGCTCGGCGCGGTAGGAAAAACCATTTTTTATTCACCCTACTCCACATGGCAGACTCATGGATTAGGTATCCAGGTGGTTTGATGCCGGCTGCTTTTAATAACTTTGTATAATTGTCAACCCAACTAACATGCGTCATTGCACCACTTGGACCAATAATTTTCACATACTGTGGGTTGAAATTTAAAATTTCGCCAGTTTTCGTTGTCCATTCTTTGCCCAGGCCACCGATATAAAGTTGACCATCTTTGACAGTCGCCCATTCTCCCTTGAAGCCCTTTGTTTCACGGCCATCACCGTCTGACATAATGACCCATGGTGACACATGTCTGTCAAAAATTTGGTACACCACACCTGTACGGTCATCCATGCTAAAAATCCTACCATCAAAACAACAAAGTTCGGACAGCTCCATGCCACGGCCACCTTGCGCCAAATGGGAGGTCAGCACCACATTTTCATCCTCCCATTCCACACTGACTTTATTGTTGGCAGGATTCGATGCACCATTTAATATTAATTTGCCACGTTTGAAGTAACTTACCCATGTCGATAATTCACTAGGGTGTTTTGAGTTTTCATCTAAGTCAGAAATTATACCAATACGATACGATAGAGCGCCTTCTTTTGTTTTTTTAGGTTTTGTTATAGGACAAGATCGCTCTATTTTCGTCGGAAGTTGATTATCCAGTGTAGTTTTCGACGCAATGCCTTTATCAACGCCTCTGAAGTTGTTTATATGCAGTGAATAAACTACATAAAACAATGCAGTCAGCAACAAACCAGAAAACACGCAAACCTTAGACCTTTTATCCACAGGCATTCTTCTGACTTTGTTCCTCAGAGATATTCCGATTTCTGTCGTGTGCAAATTTGGCTTAGAAAACTTACTGGACATGGCATCTTATGGATGGCAACGAAAGGCCAAAAAAATTCTATTCCGTTTTGACAAGCGGTCCCAGCAACATGAATTCGTGGCAAAATGGAATGCAGAAGGAAGGACCAGTTGTCTCCCCCGGAAGAACAGCATACTATGCACAAATTATTGTTAAATCAGGGGGTGACATGCATTTAAATAAGGAAAACCAATACATTCACTGCTTATAAATTACATATGCATCATTATATACTATTGTTAATCACTTTCTAATGTCAAAGGGGGATTAGCTCAAATGGTAGAGCGCGCGCTTTGCATGCGCGAGGTAGCGGGATCGATGCCCGCATCCTCCAAGTTATTTTTCTTTTTATATTTCCATTTTATCTTTTAGTTTTATACCGGTACATTATCGAATACTAATAAAAAACCTTTTTAATCAGAATCAAAAATTTATCCGGGTTTAGAATCACCTTTTGGCGACCTTTTATGTAAATTTTCAAAACACAAAAGGTTTAACCTGCGTGTAGGCAAATTTGGAATATATATTTTGCGATAGTTCATCATAATTAAATTCTAGTATGAATTCATTGTTCTACATACAGTTTACTTAATTTGTTATTTAAAAAAAAAATAAATAGAAAGCGCACAAAATAGATAATGGTGTTTTAATGGCTTCCCAAAAAAAATCATCAATAGAGATCAATAATTTATTCCTAATCAGCCATGCTAACGTCTGCGATTTATACAGCTCAAATTACATGATTTTACCCTTTATATTTATGTGTGTTCAAAAGTAAAATATAGTTAATATATTCAAACAAGGCCACAAATATTTACTTACTATTTTTGTCTGAAATTATTTTTTTACCACATGTAAATCCGCGTGACAAGCGCGCCAAAGATCAAACGCCGTAAAACTGGTTTATCCGACAGGCTTCGGCCAATCAGAATTCAGCATTCTAATTCCGGTTGAGCCAACAAAAGCAATTAGGCATGCGTAGTACAATGTTTACGTTAAACCGGTTTTCCCCTGACAAATTTAAAAGTTGTTTTGGGAAATGATGAATCTGATGATCTTTCATCTTTGAGTCTTTGACAACAACACAGACAACAAACAATAGATCGATTCAAAGCACGAAGAAAAGGTTGGAAAGCACAGGAAGAAGCCCTTTAGAAAACCGTAATTGTATCCGTGGACGTTTAAACAACGACATAATCCTAGAAGGGCGACCGACCAACTTATATTTGGCGTGATCTTATCCCCGCAGTGCGCAACGTGTTGACAGTCTGATGAGGCATCCCATTCTTATTTTTTCGTATCCACGCGAAGAAATCGTCCGTGATCTCAGTTTTCCACATGGTTCTAAATAGCGCAATCGATTCAAAAGAAGAGGGGGCAGAAATCCCGAAAAGGTTAGTGATTTTAGACGAAAATAGGCAGAGTAATGTGGACATTTTTTTCATAGCGTGTCCGCGCAAATTAATATCAGGAAATTTGATGCAAAACAGATGAGCTATGCATGTCGCCTTTGTCTGCAAATTGCTGTTTGAAATAACTAAAGCAGGATAGCGAATGAAATAGTGAACATTAAAAGAAATACTCTATTCAGCATTCACGCAGAAATGTCAAAACATTGCTGTAATTGGTTTTAAAATTCTGTACCATTTAAAACACTATCACATGAACATATTTTTCGCTGCGAAAGGCGTAAAAAATCTGTTTGGAAATTTGAAACGATCATTGCGGCAAGTTAGCAAGTAAATGCGAGAAGTGAGACCCAGTGTTGTTTTGAATATTCCTGTGGTTTAATACAAACCGCTTTCCCAAAAGCAACACATTATGGCTTAATTTGGGCAGGGTTTTGTTTACATGAGATAGCACGGGTGATATCAACAATGCAATTTAGTGCAATATCATAATGCACAGCTTTTACACGCAAATTGTCTTTCCTGCGACGAATATATTTTGCTAGTGAGGAAATTGAGAAATATGTTATGGCAAAGGCATTTAGAAAAAAGATCAAATGCTAATTTTTTATATGAAAGAAAATTGCCAAATGCAAAGTTAATTTTGGACTGTATGCTTAATTACCCCAATTGACCAGTTAAAACTGCTCTTAGTAACCAACATATGTTGCTTTTCAATCATTTACTTTAACAAGAACCAAAGGAATAGGAATATTTTATTTTAATGATGATAAACAATAGTAAATAAATATACTAGTAAATGTTTGTTTGTGAATAACCGGCCACATTTGTTTGTTTCTATCTTAAATTTTTTCAGAAAGGGAATGGAAACCATGAAGGATAAGCCGGAAGAGAGCCCAAGTTTGAGTTCAAAAACCTCAGGTGCCTTTCCAGAAGGGGAATTTCCACCACAAAACATTGTGATGTGGATGATGGTATCGGTTGCTGTTGGTCTGTTAACCATATACACCATGGTCAACTGGATTTCTAATAAACTTGCAGAAGTAAGCCTCGAGGGTTGCCATGACTATGCAAGCTGAGATAATTAAGTACAGATAAGCTTAGTGACAATGGAAATTTTCCAGAACAGTTTCAAGTGCAACATGATAGTTCAATACAGTATGTTTACTTATTGCAAATTATTTTACTTCTAGGAAGCTAAAGCAGTGAAGAAAACAGACAAACAAATCGAGGAACTACAAGAAACATCATTGGAGAACATCAGTGAAATAGAGAGCAAGCACGACACCTTAACTCATAATAAAAATATTTTGTGTCACAGAAACTTGTCTACTCCAGAAAAAGTTGCATTAATCACCGAGAAGTCTCCTGACAACATTTCACTTAAAGATGATACGTTTCTCAATTGTGATGAAAACCTTCATCAATGTGACTCTCCCAAGCAACCTTTGTTGATGAGCGAAACATGTGAAGCTGACAAAATGGGAAGTAACAATTTGGCTGAAAAACCAGATGAAGATAAACACCCAATTTTTGATGCTGTAGAATGTCAAAAATGCCTGAATATTGACGAAATGAAATCCGTCCATATGGAACAGGCTCTTGAGGAGATGAAGGACTTTGTGCAAGGAAACAGAACTGCAGGTGAATGTCTGGTTGATGTAGATGTTAAATCAAGAGAATGTGCTATACATCAAAGTAATGATCAAACTACCTCAGTTCATGTGGGACCAGAGTTTTCTGGTAACCTTAACTTTTGTTCAGAAGAATCAGAACTGAGACTTGCAATCCAGTCTACCGATGTCACAAACTCATATGGCCAAAGTAAGGCCACAATCGACATTGACAACTCTGACATTGACACCAACCCACAAGTAACAATCAACTATTCACAAAACAAGAGTTCAATGTGCACTGATAAAATACCCAATACCAGTGTAGGAATCATCTGTTCAGAAAAACCCTTCACAAACTTTGACAGATCACACAGCATTGCAGCTGTTCAACAGTTGCCATCCAACACGACTTGGTACGAAGGTACAGCAAATCTACCACCAGCATCAACTATAAAATGTGTCAAAACCGTTGTCAAGAGTTTAAGTTGTGAGGCATCTGTGCCTCATAGCGTGCCAACTGGAAGGGAATTTTCGGAGAATGAAGCAAACTTGTCTGAATGCAGCATGCAAAAAGAAAACTGTCAGGCAACATTTTATACAACATCAGCTTCGGTTTCGAAAGATAGCTCAAATTCTAATTGTATGAAGGTTGAGAATGAGGGTGACCGTAGTTCACCACCAAGTGTTTCTGCACAAAATATTGGTACATCGGACACCAAAACGATATCTGATTCCTTGAACTACTTGACGAACTATCATACACCTCAAGAGCCGACTGACGGTTCAGTCTTGTCAAAAGAGACAAGTTCCGAAGATCTGTTCATGTTCCAACAAGATAACGGGATAGAAACGCCAAATGAAATCGCTGCTACGAACTGTCCCAAAGATGAGGACGATTTGGAAACGCGAAGATCCAAATATCTGAGATATATCCGAGAAGACCCGGTGCTTTCGAAGTCTCTGGATTCCCAAATAGAGAGCTTGAGAAAAGGATGCAAGCTTCTGGAAAAGAAACCATTGAAAAGTTCCCTGTCTTTGCCAAAAAATGGTGGTTCCGAAGGATCTCTTGTAGATCAGAAAAAGGTTAGTTCTCTCTTCAACACAATGACACTTCGTGTACAATAACTGACAGCTCAACCTGTTTTATGAGCAGTGCCCTACAACATAAAACGTGTGCCCTAAACTAAAAGTGGCCCAATACAGAACCTCGTTGTGGAAGCTCAGTTTCGCTCCACGCAATCCAGGTGTAACAAAGGTCTTTACTGACATGATTAGCATTTTTTTTTTAGAAAAAGTTTGTCCACTTTCCGCCAGATATACGCAACATCCGCAAAGTTTTTAAGTATCACAGTTTTGACGAGGGTTTCTATGCCGACGACTCTCCGAAATGTGACGAAAAACGAAGAACGCAAAGCTTCAACAATTGACGGTTGCAAAAAGAAAGAAATATCAATTCATTTCAACAAGAATGGGCGTTGTTAGTTATAAATATCTGACCTATCTTCATTGTTTTCCAAAAGCGATAATATAAAAATAGTACTGAATGAAATCAGATTCCTATCATGAATTCAATATTTGAGAATTGAGAGAAAAGAAAAAAGTTTATGTCAAATCCAATTGATTATCATCTTTCCAAATATTATCATAATAAGAAAGAAATATACAATTCATTTTTTGATCAGATGTAATTAAGTGTATTTTTATTGGGATATGTCTATAGAATTATTATAAAGTATGTATATTTTGTTACCATATTTGAGGAACTATTCCTCAAGTTTGTTTATAAAAGACTTTATTTCGACGTACATTTTATACCAAATACATTTCAACTGTCGAGGATTTTTGTTTGTTTATATCGTTTACTTTTAGCATGGGATGCAATATAGCGCTGCGTATTGGCTCCTCTGGTTAACACTGTTACATATGCTGTTACATGTGGCCGTGGGCCCATTTATTAATATAACTCTTAAACTACTTCTCCCTCCCATCTTCATCAATAGAAAATAGTTATTAAACTAACCTTTTATACGGCTGGCCAATCGTGTCCATACAGTGTCATCTTGTGTCACCCAGTGTTCCGTAGTGTCACCCTGTGTCACGCCACTGTTGCAAGTTGTGTGCCTGCCACCACAGTCTTACAAGAAGTTTTGTTCAAAACAATCCACCCATATTCACAGATCACAACACTAAAATACGGTATCTGTGGAATTAAACTTTTAGAGCTGAAACCATTCAAATAGTTCAAGGTTTTAAAAACAAGTTGAAACACGTGTAGCCAAGCTTAGCTCGTCAGAAACGAAAGTTGCGCACGACCGAAGCCTGAGTTCGAGACGATACATTCAAAATTCCTCATAAACTCGCTGCTGTGATTGGCCAATTCGAAAAATCCTCGCGCTCTCATTGGTGACAAAAACAAACAAATTTTAGCGTATCGGTTCCTTCTCGAATATTGCAAATTTCGTTTATTTCGAAGCCAAATTCTTTTACAATTTTGGCGATTTTTACCGGTAGAGACCGCGAGAAATACTCTACGATGAGTTTGGTAAGTGATGAATTAATATCATTTTATATTTTAAAGAAATGACATCAAAATTGTCACGTTTTTAAAAGAAAAGTTTAAAGATCCCAAGCGAATATTAAATAGTGTTGTAACTCAAAACATAGGAGTTTGAGTTTCGTTTTTATACATACCAATAAGGCAATAACAAACCTTAGATGGGACAGGAATAAAATAATTTTTAAAAAATCTTATATAAAGGCGTAGATTTTATTATTGAGGTCGATGTTGTTATGTTGAAACGATGTTTTTTTCTATATATAGCTTTCCAATAATGTGGAGAATTTTTCACCGCAAATTATTAAACGTGTAGCGAAAGAACTGCAAGAGCTGGCTACAAATCCACCGGAGGGAATTAAAGTTTTCACAAGCGATGACGATATTACGAATATTCAAGCAACGATCGAAGGGCCAGGTCTGTTCCGTCGTCTGTTGTAGTGAGATAAATGTAGAGTAATAATTTGCTATTTTGTACTATATCAATTTTTGTACAGCGTCAAATCTTGTGATATTTTGTATTCTACTAGCACATACATATATGCTACTAAAAAACAGAAAGCCTAAGTTTGCTTTTCCGCAGTGAAGGCTACACTTAATGTACACTGTATTACTATGGCTCCCTCATCAGGCACTTGAAATAGTATGCAGTCGTACAGGAATCAGGAAGTGTCTGTTAAACATGTCATATTGAATATACCTGAGTGAAATAAGTGGTTATCGATTTTTCCGACTATAAATTATTTTGTTTGGAGTTGGGAGTACTTTTCTAGGCTGCAACACAGTTCTGAGTAGCAAGCATGCAATTGATGGGACATTGCTCTCCAGACAATCAAAGCAAGGCTAATGTTATATGATGAAACTTTCTAATCCTAACTTTTCAACTATGAATTTGATTGACAATTTAGCTGGAACACCATATGAAGCAGGCATATTTAAAGTCAAGTTAGTCCTCCAAAGAGATTTCCCAGCAAGCCCACCTAAAGGTTAGTTACCATACGGTATGACAATTCTACTTGTCATCATTTGAAAGAACATCATCCTAGTTAAATCATTGACTGGTGTCTTTTAGGATTTTTTATGACAAAGATATTCCATCCAAATGTTGCTAGCAATGGAGAGATTTGCGTAAATACACTAAAGAAAGACTGGAAATCTGACCTGGGAATCAAGCATATTTTACTGGTAAGGTTTTAACTTTACGTCAGTCAACTACCCTCTGTTTAAGAGAAGTGGCACTGTTCCTCGATTGTCAATCTATCAGCTAGCAATGCACCTGGTTCCGTGAAAGAACTGAATAAAATTTGAAGCAAATTTCACACTTCCTTTGCAGACAATCAAGTGCCTACTCATTGTTCCGAACCCAGAGTCAGCATTAAATGAAGAGGCAGGAAAACTGCTACTTGAAGAATATGACGATTACTCTCGACGGGCGAAAATGATGACAGATATTCATGCGAAATCTTCACAAACCGACACGAGCAGTGCGGAGGTCAGCGACTCGAGTGTGTGTGGTAAAAAAAGAAGCCTTGCAGATAAAAACATTGAGAAAAAGAAAAGAGACAAAAAGCGTGCCCTGAAAAGGCTATGATGTAGATAATATTAGGCTAGTATAAAATTAATATCCTGTATCATAATATATAAAATATTAGCTATAGGAAAATACCTATAGTATTTTGTACTTTGCTAGTTAGTTCTATCAGGTGCCTGCATGAAAATCCACTTTGTGAGTGTGACGTACAGCATAATTGGAAATGAACGAAAATTTGTCTAGAGTCAAGCTCTTGTGATGACACAGCATTTCCATATATACACTTTAATCCATAGATAGGCTAAGCTCTCCAAGATTACGGTTAAAATTGATACTTCAGGCAAGCAATTTATAGCCAAATGATGTACAGGGATTTTATATATTTGCAGAAGCAACCATATTGCATTGTCAAACTTAGTTGAAAGCAAATTTACTTTAACTTACTTTATTGTATTGTCATAATTGTGAATTAGCGTTGGTTATAGTGTTCATATCAACTGTTATATTATTTTTGAATTCATTGTTAATGTTTATTTAAATCAAAGGTTATCAATGGTTCAATTTTTCTTTTGCAATGATGTTAAAAAGACTTCTGGGGGTGCATGGAGTTTATCTGCATAGATCTCAAACTCTGTGAAGAATTTATAGCATTGATTGTTAATTTAAAATAATTAAATCCTCTGTTAAGTGTCTGGTTTAATTGTGTTTGGACTTTAAAGCACCTTAAAATCCCATAGCCATTCCATCTGCCCGGGGGTCAGAGCCAGCCCAATACACACGCACCTTACCCTCATCCTTGCCTTTGCTCATTCTCTCCTGAATAATTTGTCCTCTGCCAAACATTGCAAAAGTAGTGTCATGTTCAACATTGTACCCCATCCTCCTCAAATCCTCAGCAACATGCCTTGATATCCCCTGCTCAAGCAGTATGGTGTTGCCAACAGTGTGGTCAGTGTTTGAAACATTTACTTGAAAACGAGGTTTGTCCAATGCTTCTTGTGGATCCATACCATAGTGGATCATGTTTAGCAATATCTAAGTGAATTAAGAGAAAAACTATCATCAAGATTACATTGTCTGATTTCAATATACACCTGGAGAGTTGGGTTTTAGCTCCGCATGTAATAAAATGAAGTTTAAAACAATTTGTGGTGTGTGTTTAAAAGTCTTCATGCAACCAAACAAGCACTGCATCACCGGATTCACGGCCTGAATCTTGCTATTTACCTGTTTTAAAACCTCAAGACATTTCGTACTTAGTTTAGCCTTGTAAAATAGCCCAAAAGACGGGTTTGATGTTGAGACGATTTCACCGTACACCGTACAAATCTTTTGAAATTTCACTCATCAATATTTCAGAACAGTATAGTCCGGATTGTGCTATCGTAAAATTGCCTCTTTTTACAAAAAATCTATTGTCTTCACTGCGAAATGTTTCCACAAGCATGAGAACAAAAGGAGAGATTTTCAACGAGTTCTTAAACCTGGTTTCAAAACGTTTTAGCTTTCAGTTTTAGACTTGACTTTGAGCTAGACAGTAAAGAAAAACAAATACCAACATAACTCACCTTTAAAAATAGTTCAACAAATGGCTAAACTGCAAAGTTTGCTTGTGAAATGTTTTAAAACGGACGAAGGTCTTGTAGCATATTTGTGTTAATTGCGCGGGAAAAAATACCGGCTTCGACTAAAAAAGGGCGGGTTATTTTTGCCGCGCGCTAATGTGCTTACAAAAAGAACTCTTTAATTTTTTGTTTTTAAAACTGTTCTAGCTCAGAGTGGCAAAAATAAAGAGGCGAATCAGACGTGAAAACCAGCTATATTAGTTTATCATAAGCCACACAAATTTTAGTCGGGCATTAGGCAGCTCAGAAGTTCTCTGGTGATCTGGGGCTCCTATCAAGTTTAGCCAATCACAGCGCTGAACAGGGGCGTAGCCAAGGGGGGGGGGGGGCAAAAGGGGGGGGGGGGCGGTCACCCCCCCAATCGCCTTGGTCGTATCATGGTCGTATTGGTCGTAAAATGACGAATACGACCATGGTCGTATTGGCCGTAAAATGACGAATACGACCATGGTCGTATCATGGTCGTATTGGCCGTAAAATGACGAAAACGACCATGGTCATATCATGGTCGTATTGGCCGTAAAATGACGAATACGACCATGATCGTATCATGGTCGTATTCGCCGTAAAATGACGAATACGACCATGGTCGTATCATGGTCGTATTGGCCGTAAAATGACGAAAACGACCATGGTCATATCATGGTCGTATTGGCCGTAAAATGACGAATACGACCATGGTCATATGATGGTCGTATTGGCCGTAAAATGACGAATACGACCATGATCGTATCATGGTCGTATTGGCCGTAAAATGACGAATACGACCATGGTCGTATTGGCCGTAAAATAACGAATACGACCATGGTCGTATCATGGTCGTATTGGCCGCAAAATGACGAATACGACCATGGTCGTGTTGGCCGTAAAATGACGAATACGACCATGGTCGTATCATGGTCGTATTGGCGGTAAAATGACGAATACGACCATGGTCGTATCATGGTCGTATTGGCCAGAAAATTACGAATACGAGGTCGAGTTCGCCGGAAAACGACTTACTCGACCATGGTCGAGTTCGCCGGAAAACGACTAATTCAACCATGGTCGAGTTCGCTGGAAAACGATTAATTCGTCCATGGTCGAATTCGCCAGAAAACGACTAATTCGACCATGGTCGAGTTCGCCGGAAAACGACTAACTCGACCATGGTCGAGTTCGCCGGAAAACGACTAATTCGACCATGGTCGAGTTCGCCGGAAAACGACTAACTCGACCATGGTCGAGTTCGCCGGAAAACGACTAATTCGACCATGGTCGAGTTTGCCGGAAAACGACTAACTCGACCATGGTCGAGTTATTATTATTATTATTATTATTATTTAATGAAACTAACATTGTAACCCAAAGGTTAAATTGCGTTAGAATTTACATACAAACGATATATTAAAAGCTATTTAAGTAAAGCTACTATACTAGACTATATTAAAAATTTAGAAAATTGAGGAATATTAAAATAATTGTTTTAAAACTCTTTGTGGAAAGAACGAGTTTTTAAATCGTTCGGTATGGCAGCGATAATGTTATATAGATTGTTATAGCGTAGTTCATAGTTAGTCACTCTCTTTGCAGGCAGATACTCTTCAAAGTAGGCACTATCAATATTATGTTGGAAGAACCTAGTTGAAAGATTCTCTCGACGCCCCTGCAACGTATCAAGATTCAACTGTTCCAATGCATCAGCATAAGTATAGTGAGGCAAAATAATTCTCAAAACACGCTTTTGAAAACTTTCAATCTCATCGCTTATATAGGTAGGAATATTATAATGCCAAACTTGTGCAGCATATTCCAAAACTGGTCGAATTATTGTGGTATACACAGTGATCAATGTTGCCTGATCCGCTTTTGCCCGTTTCAACAAGCGTAACATATAAAGTCTTTTACTCGCTTTTGTAAGTATATTATGGATATGCTTGTTCCATTTTAAGTCATTTTGAATGGTGAGGCCCAAAATTTCAACTGAACTGACCATTTCGACTGGTAATTCTTCTACGAGCAATGGCGTAAAAGATGATTTCTCGTTTGAAAACTGCACTATTAGTTCTTTACACTTGGACACATTAAGTTTCATATGATTTCGTGTCGTCCAATTCGCAATTTCGTCCACTAGGAGTTGTAAAGTGCTATTAGATTGAGGTGTTACAGTCTCACTAGCCGTAACGTCATCGACATACTTCCATCTGTCATTCCACTCAGCCAAAAGATCATTCACCATACCCAGAAAAAGAATCGGACCTAAAACTGTACCTTGGGGAACGCCAGCGTTAATAGCACGCCAATCAGAAACACATCCATTTAGTTTGACACGCTGCTTTCTATCGGTCAAAAAACTTCGAATCCAATTCCTCAAAATCAGTGGAATTTCCAAATTAGCCATTTTTTTGAGCAAGATATGATAGTCGACTCGATCAAAAGCTTTGGAGAAATCGATAAGAAGTACTCTAACCGAGTTGCCAGTCCCATCAGTTTCCTGCAACAGATGGTGAATAAGGGTGACCAATGCATGCGTAGTAGATGAGCCATTCAAAGATCCAAATTGCCGCCTGTCGATTCTATCACGTATACAATTGAGAACCCAATCGGCAACAAAACGCTCGCAACACATTGATAACGTTTGAGTAAGGGAAATCGGTCTCAAGTCCTGGTTAACATCATTAACATTATGTGATTTCGGGATAGGGATAACATTAGCACACTTCCAACGACTTGGGACGTGTTCAGATTGGATAGACGCATTAAAAATTGATGTTATCGGCAAAGCCAGTAATGGTGAATAACATTTCAATACCCATTTCGGGATATCATCCGGGCCAGAGGACTTGGAGACATCCAAAGAGGATAACGCGTTGAAAACCTCTTCCTCCTTAATTATATACTCTGTAGGAAGATCGCCAACGTTGCTGTTTGTAGGAAGTTGTTGGAGAGGAGCATACTCTTGGGAGATCTTAGAAAATTCATCATTAATTTTATTGGCAAGTGCGGCGCCAATCAGTGGTTGATTATCAGTACCCATAAGGATCACAGGACTTTGAGTCCTTTTGTTGTAGCCTGCTAATTTTTTAACTGAGTCCCACCACTTTTTTGGATTTGGATTTGACGCAAGGTGGTTAAGTTTCCTTTCAAAATAAGATGATCTGAGTTTTGACACTTCTCTCTTCACTCTATTGCGCAACTGCTTATACACGAAAGAATTTCCTTGATGAAACGCTTTTTGTCTATCACGAATTAATTTCTTAAACTTAGCAGTTCGCCGCAAAACGACTAACTCGACCATGGTCGAGTTCCCCGGAAAACGACTAACTCGACCATGGTCGAGTTCGCCGGAAAACGACTAACTCGACCATGGTCGAGTTCGCCGGAAAACGACTAACTCGACCATGGTCGAGTTCGCCGGGAAACGACTAATTCGACCATGGTCGAGTTCGCCGGAAAACGACTAATTCGACCATGGTCGAGTTCGCCAGAAAACGACTAATTCGACCATGGTCGAGTTCGCCGGAAAACGACTAATTCGACCATGGTCGAGTTCGCCGGAAAACGACTAACTCGACCATGGTCGAGTTCGCCGGAAAACGACTAATTCGACCATGGTCGAGTTCGCCGGAAAACGACTAACTCGACCATGGTCGAGTTCGCCGGAAAACGACTAATTCGACCATGGTCGAGTTTGCCGGAAAACGACGAATACGACCATGGTCGTATTGGCCGTAAAATGACGAATACGACCATGGTCGTATTGGCCGTAAAATGACGAATACGACCATGATCGTTAAATCCAGCGGAATATGAGGAGTGGGGATCGAGTTAGGTAAGCAACCCAATGATTACTTTTAAAAGCTCGTATCAGAATGCGGGAAATGGCGTTTTCAAGCCTTAGAAATCCCAAATTTTCCCCGGGGAGCATGCCCCCGGACCCCCCAGATAGTTTGTGGATTCCCCACTCACTAATTACGGATTGTATTTGTGATATATTTGACTAGCTGTGGTAAGACAGTGTCTTAAAGACACTCGAACTCAATCTCACCTGAACATGACCCTGTGGTTGCATAAAACCACCCATGACGCCAAAACTTGCATACAATTCACCAGTTTCATGGTACGTTGCCAGACCTGGTATGATCGTGTGATATGGTCGTTTATTTGGGCCGGCACAATTTGCATGGCCTCGTTCCAGCGAGAAGTTTAGGCCACGATTCTAAGAGAAAAATATTCAAACTTCAATCCGTGTTGAAATGACGTCCGAATTGGAAGAATTCTTCAAAGTCATTTTCACATAAAGTCATGCGTGCATTCTCGACTCTCGTGTACTAGTGTATCAATGTGTGTTAAAATATTTGCATGCAAACCCCCCTAAAAATATAAGACAGTTTGTATACAGTATATTGCATGAAATACATGATAGAAAAGAGTATTTTATGGATTATAACTATATAGCTGATGTCAGTTCGCTGGGAATATAAAGAAATTGGAGCCTGGAAGATTGAAAATCTATGCCGGCACAGTGACAACGGTCAACTTACTTGTAACGTGAATCCGCAGCCACAAGGAACAAGCCCCGTCCCAAAGCCACAGAAATTGCTGTTTATAAACGAACATGCATTGCCTTCGTTGTCCGCCACAGTGAAATACACTGTGTCCGAACCAGAATAGAAAGTGCCAGGAGAATGGATTTTTACACACCTGTATGGGAAGTGAAATTGGACTATATTCAGTTATGAACTAGAAAAAAGTCAAAAAACATTGCCTTTTACAGTCCCTTCAACTATATTTTGCACACCATGAACGTCCTGGAACACTGATTAACTTTAAAAAGAAACTTAGAACTCACTTTTCTTTTTCAATAAGGCTCGCTCGTTTCCTGCCATATTCTTCGCTCAACAACTGATCAACTGGCAATTCAGAGTGCTCGGGATCTGCGCAATATTTAAACGAATCGGCAAACGCCAGTCGCAACGCCTCTGACACGAGTTGAATGTACTCTGACGAGTTGTGTTTCAGCTCTAAAAACAAATAAAAATTCAACGTAAGTTCATACAAAATGTCCAATTTGAAAATTTCAAGAACTATTTGCTGTTGCAATCACATGTTTGTGATAGTGGTTACTGGTTAGAGCCACATACATAGGCATAGCATACGCACAACAGCTCTCAAAAGCGGCAAAAGGATTGAACTATACGCCATCATTCCTAACCTTTTATGGGAAATGTTTTCAAAATATTTAGAGCAAGTAAAACAGTTATTCCTTGGCTGTTTGGCGGAATTTCCCAGACACGAATTCCTTCGTACGTTGTGGAGATTGGATCGCAAAATGTACTGGAGTGATTCCCCAAGTCCTCCAATGTTAATCTGCCACCATTTTCATTGACAATGTCCACGATGGATTGAGCGACACAGCCTTTGTAGAAACCATCTTTGCCGATCTCTGCAAGCGTCTAAACAAAATTGATGATGGCTTAGTACAGGCACAAATAAAGGATGGATTATTGTCACATGGATTAGTGCTACAGACAGAATTTGCAAATGGAAGTATTGTACAAAAAACAAGCAGCAGTATAAAGTGAGAAAGGTATTTCAAATGTGCTTTAATTACCTTGAAGGTGTTAGCTAAATGAGGTATTTTCATCACTTCACCAGCGCTTGGGGATCTGCCATTGATTAAGAAACTGCTGCTGTCTGGATTCTTTTTGTGTGCAAAGAATGATTGAACACCTTGTGACCAGAACTCTGCGGTGATGGGTGACACTGGAAACCCTTCTTCGGCCAGAGTTATCGCTGGTTGGAGAATCTCTTTCAAGGATAACTAGATAGAGAAGAAAAGTCATTCATGAGAAAAATCACAACAAATTCTGCAGTGATAGACTGACATAAATCAGTTACCTTGCCATTACCTTTCCACTACCAAAGTTTTCCACGGAATCCACCCAACCTGCAGCTGCCCCGGGTACCGTTACAGTGTGTGCAGATATGGGGGGCATCCCTGTTTCAGCTGTTACACCATCCTTTGCCAACATATCCAGTGTAAATGCTGCACCAGATCTACCACTAAATGTATGAATATATCCTTAATTGAATATACTTCACACTCTTACCCAGGAATGACCACCTGCCTTGGTAACATAGTGTCATTATAGGCTTATTGTCTGACCAAGGATGGGGGGGGGTTAGCTGTTCAGGTCCCCAGGAGGTGCACACACACACAACCCAGGTGTGGTCTTAACCCATCAATATAAGAATGCATTTTGATTTAACCAATCAGTTTAACAGTGCTATTCACTATGAGGGTAAAACACACCCTCTAGCCCTGCCCTGGGTTAGATAATGGTCAAAAGTTATTAACCTGTTAATTAATTCTATCAATAATTGCTGATGCGGTTTTGTGACTTAAACAGTTCAATTCGAACAAACCTTCCATTTAAGCCCCGGACTTTCTTGCTCTGCGCTTCGTAAAACAAACAGAAGCAATCTCCTCCTATTCCAGTGCTACAAGGTTCAGTGACATTCAAAGCCGCAGCCATGGCCACACATGCATCGACTGCATTGCCTCCGGAATGTAAAATTCGTGTCCCAATTTCCGAAACTAGGGCATTTGAGCTTGCAGCTACACCATGCAAGCAAATCACCGGCGATCGCCGCGAATGGAACGGGAACTTTTCCATATTTTCGTGTTCAAGAATGGCTATTTTTCAAATTTTGATGTTCTTGATAACACGTGAAACGAATCAACGACGACACTTTCCGATTTTAGAATAAAAATGATAAAATATTCTAGCGAAATGAGACGGGTTTTGGTTACCTTATATTTACTCTCTCTCTTTTATTTTACGCTTTTAGTTACTTGGTAGAATCACAGACTAACCTAGCATAAAGTAATTCAAGAAACAACGAAGAATTTTTAGAAAAAACCAGATAGGTTTCGAAGTTAGTTAACATGCAAATCTCCGGACAGTCACGAATATGTCCGACCAAATAAAAACATAAAAACAGGTTAATATTTCACAGGAGATAATTAGACGTTTCAAAGGATATCGCATTATATTTCGCAATATTTAACAAGGTAAGCGGTAAGACTAGAGGGTCAGCTTGTATACAACAAAAGGATGTGTTGGAATTGTTTTGAGATTCGAGATGAATACGGGCATTGAAGATTTAGAGCAATATTTAATTTTTACCAGTTGACACGTATATTATTACACATATATGTGATAGGGTATTTATATTACGTGTGTGTTGATACGATATTAACACCTTGTTTTGACATTATCTAATTGTAGCCTTCAGGGCAAAAGCGTCCAAAATGACCGGATGAAACATCACCGATGTTTTAAATGAGAAAAATATCCACGATCGCCGAAAAGATGGCGGGTTTACATAGTTAATTCGTCCTGTTTTCCTTGTACATTATTTATATTGGCCACAATATTTATCGTGCGATAATCTCTAAGAATAATATTTATCAGAAACCGGTGATTTTTTTGACATTGATTTCTCGAAACAGGAACCTGGTTTTTATCATATCATTTGCAAATCATCCCAAATTGTTGATAATATGCGAGTGTACTAATATGATAAACACGCCAATCACCACAAGAAAAACAATATGAACCTCTCACAATCTAAACCATTGACTTGATTTTAAATACTGTTGACGAATACGCTGTCTGAGTGCGTCATACATACGTCTGGGTGCAATATCTGATAAACCTCGTATTTCAATATTTTTCAAACTTCGCTAAAAACAAGTTATGAGGTGAAAGGTTTTACCTTTTAAAACGTTCCCGACTGAACAAAACCCAGGCTACGCTTCCGCGATTAATCACCTTGACTACCGCATGGGGTGGACCCGTTGCCCAGAAATAACCATTTCTAAATAAAACATTTCTAAATTTCAGTGTACCTTAATAAGTTCCTTACCAAGCAACAATTCGAAGCTGATCAAGCCATGGACCAGGTTGACACAAGGGTCGAAGAAATTTTAACCAAATGTCATTCTGCCTTGCCACCATCGTTACAAGAGCTACCATGCCCAGAGGTTCTAGGACGATATCCACCTCTGACAATCTTTACAGCAATCTTTGCCATAATTTCAGCTCTACCTTTGTTCATTTTCTTGTGCTTTGCATTGAGTACATTCGTGTTTTTTGCATTTGTTTTTCTACTGGTCGAAGGAACTTTACTAGCTTTTGGAACTTGCATATTAATTTCGGCTTTATTCTTCACTACAATCGCCGCTCTTGGAATTTCTGCTGCGTTCTGGATAGCGGGATTTATGGTCTCAAATTGGCGGCAATTGGCAAATGAACTTGCAGGATGTGTTGATACACATCTTACGAAAAACCTTCCTGTGGATTTGAATGAGAAAAAAAGCTCTTGAATTTGGAAGCTAAACACTGTATATATTAGAATAAAGATTGCCAGGAAGGGAATTGCTTTTGCACAATCAAAAGCTACTTTGTTGTAGTGTCTGTGAAAATGGAACGAAGCAATGAACGAATGGCGACTGCATTCACAGAACAGAAAACACAGAAAAATTTTCACAACTTTGGGTTTTTAATATCAGATCATTTAAACCATTCATACTCAGTCATTTTAATGGGAAAAGCATGCAAGAAATTTGCAGATAATTTTTTCGATGGAAATGCGTGGGAAAAATGTAGAACTTAACTTTGTGCGTGTACGGACGTGAGATTAATGCCAAATGCGTTTGTCGCACGCAATACGCGTGAGAGTTGAAAGGGCTGACAAAATATTTAATGAGTTATATTTATACTCTCAACCGGAGGCGACCGTGAAAAAAGTAGTTAAAGTTAAATAGCACCTAGCGTAAAAATTAACGATGCTCGGGGGAGGGGTACCTCCCCAGGCTGTAGCTCTTCTAGACAACTTGATGGGATTTTCAAATACAAGTTTTGAAAAAAAGGTAAAAAAAAAACTTGACAGTGTGATTCTCTATTTAGTTAAGGCTTCGTCCATATGTCCCTCAAAGCGAAGCTTTTGCGTCACAACTCCTCCCTCGGGTATTACGTAAAGATTACCTCCGCATTACTTGCTTATCTTAAAAACAGCAACGCAAACGCGTGTTTTTGTCGAATACAATTAAAACTGCAAAATGAGAAATAAAAAATTGTTGTCAGGACATTCACACAATCGGACTCTGTTGGCAAACATGTTTGGCACGCTTTTTGGAGTAGACTTCAGAGCTTTCAAGAGGCGAAGATTGAGTGAACCAGAATGATTGAGGTTGGAATCTTTCTTACGTCGTTCCCAACATGCACAACGCTCATCACTACACTGATCTATATATGTGCCCATGATGTACATTAATTTGGATTCGGGACTTTTCCCGTGCTGCGAGCTCGAATATATTCAAAAATTACAAGTTTACTTTTATTGTTTTTCTGGCCCTTCACGGTCGCATAGGTGTAATCGAGAATCGCCATAAGACGCTCTTTCCAGCTGTGGGGTGACGGTGGTTCTTCTTGCTTGCATAAGACTTAGACTTTGGCTGGAATCATCTATTTGGGGTGGGTTCTAAAATCCAACAAACGTCCTACTTTCACAAATACGTTGCATAATCTGTAGGTATAAAATCTTGACACAAGCGATGGTGATACATTTGGAGTAATTTATTATAACTTTTGTACGCTTATAACCTGACGGGTATATTCGGCTTGTTAGTATGCCAACTAAATATTACCAGCCGAATTTAATTCAGATGAATTAAATTGAACGAATATTGGCTTAATTGCATTGTTCGCTTAAGAAAGGAACGCTCAAAACGAAAGAACACTCTACTCCAACCTCGTACCCAGGGACTTTTACCTGGAGCGTAGGTAAAGGACCCTGGTTACGAGGTTGAGAACACTCTTGCTCATATATGATACAGGGCAACCCTTGACGTATGTTGAAGACTGGGCGGTCAGCGATAAAACGAAATTCTATTCACCAACGAAAGGATGGTTGTCATTCAAAAGTTGGATATCCGCTATCCACAGGATATAATATATCGGCCTAAAGTTCCCCTTAACGTGCCTAAATGTACAGTTTCTCTTCAAAGTTTGGTCAATAGTGTAGTTTTACGACTTTCAAGTATATTTCAGAACGGTTAACAAAATAATTAATCACTATCTGTTGGACAGCGCAGTCCAGCCTTCTTACAACGGACTTTCTTAATAATAAAGGTGCATACAACTGAGTCAATTTGAAAAGATATTTCTAAAAATGGCAATCGTTTAATTTGAGGTGTAAATCTTATAAGCAACTAGGTTCTAGCAACATTCGTTCTGGACTACAATTAGTACATCAAAAGGATTTGCCCATGACTTTTCAAAGAAATTTCAGGGGGCTTGGTAAAACTTTGCAATTTGTGCCTCTCTGCCACGGGCACAATTTATCCCTTATTATTCAAACCTATGTACCTACAGCGTTTCAACCCTCCCCCCTTCTCGAGCTTGGGCCTGGAGCAAATTACCTCTCCCCAAAAAGCGGGATCATATGAACAAGCCCTAAGAATGACATATAATAAGTCATATAGTGTATATGAATCAGAAACACCCTCCCCCCCTACAGGTGACTTCTCTCGACAAACCCCTCCCCACTCCTCCCCCCCACTCAGACCCGTACCTATACGTTTAACCTACGATTAGTATCTTGTCCTAGAGAGATGATATACATTCGACATTCCTCTATCATTGAAGCATGAGCGCCTGTAGATTTTGACCCAGAATGATGTCCTTGACGGCGTGGAACACGAAGCGGATGTTCTCCGTGTCGGTGGCGGTCGTGAAGTGATGGAACAGCGCTTTGCTTCTTTCCCTACGACGATTGTCGAACATCTGTAGTATAAAATCTTGAACTGTGCCTAAATTATGCGGGTCGCCTTGGTAATTTGGAAAGTACATTTTAATCGAAGTGCGCTTCACTTTCTCTTCCAGTAAATCAGTCTTGTTTAGGAAGAGAATAACGGACACATTTACAAAGAATCTATTGTTTACGATCGTTTCAAAAATATCGCAGGATTCCACTAGGCGGTTGGTCATCCGGTCCTCCATAAGGACCTGGTCAAACGCGCTCGAAGACACGAGAAATAAGATCGCGGTGACTTTGTCGAAACATTGAAACCATTTCGCGCGTTGCGAGCGTTGTCCCCCGACGTCGACCATTCGGAAGGGGACGCCCCTGATGTCGAAATCGTGTTCCACGATTCCTTTCGTGGCCTTACGCGCGTGGAGCGCATCTTGTTTCGAGGGAAGGTAGTCCTAAAATAAACGACAGAAGTAAGACACAATTCATACAAAAATATACATGCGATTTTCTTCTTTTGAGAGATGTAATTGAGTAGATAAGTTACGGATGTTCGCACAAAGGCAGTTATAACGCAGAGCATTCATAACTGTGCACTCGTTTGCATCTGTCAGAAGAAGAGCATCGCTCTGAATCTATTCAAACCAGAACAGGAAAGGCGCGAGAATGTCATGGTTGATATTACCACGCATGCGTACCTATAATCCAAATCTAAAAACTGCCCCTAAAGTCAACAGGAAATTTGTGTAATAGATTAGGAATCGTTAATTAACCAAGTCTCAATTGTCCGCCCAAGTCACCTTAGATCTTACAAATCTGTATAGGGGGGTCCTCAATATCACTTGGTAAAGACGTAATGTAAAGGTGCGTAGAGATAAGAATAATAAAGAAATTCAGGCAATTTATCTCCGTTGGCAGCACTTCGAGGAGTTCCCCTTAATCAATAAGCCCGTACTTCCTAGTCGATGGGTTGCGTACTTGAAACTCTTAGACAAGAATTTTAAATAACATTCTCAAGATCTAACCAGGGAGTTTGGGATAGTTGAAAAAAAAACTTGATTCGCAGTTGCTTAGGTCAATGTTGTAAAAATACACCGATGTGGCAAACAGTATCTATCAAAAACGAAATGGTTGTTATTTGCAATACATCAGCCGACAAAATAGTTGTATATTTCACAGGCAATTCTCGAAAGAGTTTATAGCAGCAGATTTTGAAGTTGTTAGGCGGCTTCCTATCATGGTCCACAGGCATTACACGAAAGACTGTTGAATAAAGTCATCCTTGAAAAAGCCTTGTTCAACCTTTAAGCTGATTTCAACATTTGCAATGTAACTAGACACAGTTCATGTCCAATTTAAAACACGACGTTTTTTCAAAAAATTGAAAAAAATTCTTTTTGGGATTGCTTCTGTGCTCAATTATCGAAATAATCCCACTTGTGTTAAGCTTGAATACGATAAAAAATCAGGCATTCGATTTTTTCATAGTTGAAAAATCGTGTCGGGCTCCACGACTAAGTTCAAACGAAGCAGCTGATATCTTGATGTCGTGAATAATTCATTGACTCACATCGAAATTTCAGCCAGTCGATTTTTATGCCCACGTCGGAGTGTGTATGGCTTTTAAAACGTCACTGAGGGGAGACGTGCCAATGGACACCTTCCACCTATTGACGAGTGACGCGATGTGAATGATTCAAAGATGAAACTGATTAGCATAAGTTGCGTGCGTTCGAGCTAATGAGAATTAATCCACTTATTAGTCGATTAGCACAAGTTCCGATAAGTGGGGAACAAATTGAAACTTGACGGTTTTTGTGTATGCGAGAAGGCTGTCGTGTCGGTATCGAAACAACTTCAAAAATTCGATTTTTATCAGCGAAAATTCTTTCGACAGAAGAGTCTGATAGCAAGTACAAGGCATCGTGCTTTGGAAAAAAGGGAAACGATGTTTCGTGAGAAATTCAGCCACTGTTCACACGGTAATCATTTTAATAACGCCCACAGATATCTTCAAGACTGGAGAGCGCATCTGCTATGAATAAGCAAATAAGCAAAACAAATGGTGGCCATGCATATTGAATCGCCCTGCCCAAATCTACTCAGACAAACTTCGTTCCGAGTTTCTGGCGAGAAAATATTTCCAAACAAGGAATTCTCCTCAATAGTTGGCATTCTTCCTCGTGTGTTTAAAATGCATGCATGAAATAGTTTTCACGAGCGAAAAAATCACTTGTGAAAATCGATTTGCACAGTCTAATTTCAACGGCAAGCGATCACGCCTAAGCAGGAATTTGATATATTCATAAGTCTTATCTCGTTGAACTATTCTTGTTTTTAAAACCACTGCACCTAACAGGATGCGCGCGCTGTTAATAATATATCGGTGGCAACTACGCTATTATTTTAGGCCGTGGACCGCTTTAGAAGGAATGTGACGCATTGGATATTGTTATAGCGCAAACACAACTAGGATACCAGATATTGTTCATCTCTGTGTCAATATTTAAGCGTGCCTTGCCCAAAATAGGCTTTCGATACTACGGTATATTGTATCACAAATGACACACTTGAGAATGAATGGCCAAAGCATTCATTTGGTCTTGGACGTATCCGACCCACCCCATTAAAAAGAAAACGAGCCTAAAGCGTAAAAACGGTTTAAAAATCTACATTCACGCAATTCAAATATAACTTATTTCTACATTCGAATCGTTATATTATAATTAATCATACAAAACAACCTATTTTAATATCATACAACTCAGGAGACTACTTTTATAAATTAATGATCACTCGGCTAGCCTATGGTATAAAAAACATGTCTTTTGAGGCGTGCGCTTGATTATTCAGGCGCGCGACCCCAAAAAATTCGTATAAAAATATTGTTTCGTTTTAATGTTGAATGCACCCATTCATTAGAGTATGAATATTATTATTGTAGATTGGCTGAAATTTATGGAAAACAGTTCGACTTTGTAAGTCCTCATTTAGTAACGCCTATAATATTTTAAACCGATAATAGAAGAGATATTTACTTTGACGAGGGAAAACGTCGCTGGATATTGGAGAATTGCATTTTCCTGAAACTTGTAACGCAATTTTCAAACACAGGACGCAGTTATACACGCGCGATAGGTACATTTGACGCGAGAATTTTTCGCCAAACCCCAAAGGGTGTCAAAGGAACGAACGAAAATGAAATCTGTGAAATGTGGGTCATTATATATTATGTTTTTCTGTGCGAATACTTCTACATCCACTACGCAAGACTCCGACGATGAGAGAGTCTCAGTTTAGCACTTTGCAGAGAAAGCGAAGTCGAATGACGACCATATGCATTGCATAACAATGAAATCAAAATTGACAATCTGCTTGATAAAAAAAGGTTATTCCAGAAATAGGCATATTAAAATACGTAGGAGTTTAAAGTTTGATTGCGGATCGTCGCCAACTGCGGTAAATACAGCCTTGCAAAGTTCGTAAATATTTGTGCACTGATATATATATTCGGCGGGAAAAATTGCTACAATTCCGAACGATAATTGTAGCAATTTTCACGCGAAATTCCGAAGTAAACATAAAACTTGCGAACGCTTAGCAGCGCTACATTTATCGCATTTTATAACATTTCGCAACAAAACTTTGTAACCTTGCTTATTTTAATATGCTCTTTCTGACTGCAGCGATATTTTTTCATCCATTTTGCCAGATCAAAAATTAATCCGCGAAGCAAATTGTCTACTCAACTGTTTTTTGCTATCAATCGTGTTCCGATTAGAACGAACATTTCTTTGAAATGGTACAGAAGTCAATTGGTTAAAACCGTAACATAGTTTGTTAGCCATTTTAAGTTTTGAAAACACCGTATAATTAATTTAGACTCGAAATGAAGTGCATTTATAGTCAAATATGCCTTTGTAGTCGGATTGGAGAGGTTGTAACGCGATTTCAGTTCCGTATTAAGGTACAAAATGTCGATTTAGGGAGCATGCAAACTGTTCAAAACACAATTGTAGACAAGGTTATCTCGCCGTGGTTTACTGGAGCATCAATGCTTTTAAGTTATACTGTAGTATTGTATCTTTAACTGCATGGAAGACAAACTTTATATTCTCTGTGTCGATGGCCGTGGTGAAATGATGGAACAGCGCTTTAGACTTTTCCCTTCTCTTGCTGTTAAACATTTCGAGAATAAATTGCTGTACGTCGCTGAGCTTGTGTGGACTCCCCTGGTAGTTTGGGAAAAAATTTCTGATGTCTGTCGCTTGAACCTTCTTCTCCAGCAAGTCGGTCTTGTTTAAAAATAATATAATCGAGACGTTGCTAAAGAACTTATTGTTCACAATTGTTTCAAAAATATTACACGACTCGACGAGTCGGTTGGTTGTCCTGTCCTCCATGAGGACCTGGTCAAAAGCGCTCGAGGAGACAAGAAAAAGAATCGACGTGACTTCCTCGAAGCACTGAAACCATTTTGCACGTTGAGAACGCTGTCCTCCCACGTCGACCATTTTGAACGGTATTCCCTTGATGTCAAATTCATGTTCCACTATGCCCTTGGTTGCCTTTCTAGCGTGTAAAGCGTCCTGCTTTGTCGGCAGGTAATCCTGCAACGAAAACACAGAACTGTGGTCAATTTACGCCAAGGGAATGCAATGAAAATGACGAAGAAACGGTGAAGGTTGTTAGGTTAGTTCCTTAAGGAAATGTAATGGAAACATCCAGGCCTGCTAACTTTCAAAGTGTACATTTTTTACCAAAAAAAAATTCAAACTTTTTGCAACTTGAAATGAATGGAGGAGCTGCATAAAATATATGCTACAAATTTTAGCAATGCATTTTGAAAGGATTTTCATTTGTTGGAATATTGCAATGTTTGGAAAGACACTGGGTTTTTACGACAAAGCGACTGCGAAAGGCAACCATTCGACATAGCAGCTAAGAATTTGAATACAAAATATAGAAGCATTAGTAATTATATTACAATAATTACAATAGTTATTTAACAACATTGATCACCAGCCTCTGTACAAATTAATTTATCATTATGGACATTACTCCACACACAATATATTAAAAATTGAAAACCTAGAATGGATTACACTACAATTCTACTCGATATATTACATATTATGAGAATCTCTGCATATCTTGCATGCTTACAATACAGTGAATATGAGTACATCTCTTAAAAGCATCGCATATTGTTGCAGAGAGCTTGATTAACCCAATTATAATCGATACTACCCAGACGAAATTGTCTGCAATACTACAGCAGGGTGTACCCGGGAACATTGCCAGACATGCATAAAGCCAGACAATAACAATATTGATATCTTTGACAAGCCTTAAGATGGAACAATGCATGTTTGCAAGCACATTCACTGCCAATTAATGATTCACGAACTCTAATAAATTTAATGAGCACTGCAGCTATTTCATTTGCTTGTGGATTAGAGCAATGAGACCTTTGGTTGTTGTGGCTGTTTTTTAAAGGAAAGAAATCATGTCTGAAATGCACAGTTTGCAAACTTAGCAGCCTTTCCGAGGACCTAAATACCTCTGTTGAGGGCCTGAAGCACAATTTCGTTTCATTTTTAAGATGAAAATTAGGTCTAATTAAGGTTGTCATACAAGACTAGAAATTGCCAACTAACTTTCAACAAATCTAAGCAAATTTTTCATGGAAAGTTGTGCAAAATTAGATGATAATTCAGTTCTTGAATATTAAAATTCCCGTCTCAAAAGCAAAAGCACTTTTGTCAACACAAATCTACAATTAAAATATTAAGGTTGGCTAAAAAGAATTCTTTTGTTTGGGTCACAATACTTAATGAACTCTTTTTTATGGCTGATCGCTGTTAAGTTGTAATCTTTGAGCTTTCAAATTAGGCAAACCACGCACTTTTTCCATCGCAAATACGTTGGAAATAAGCAGGTGAAACGAAGGATGTGAATATATATATTGTTTAGACAACAATCTCAGGCGTTATTAATGAATAATGAAAGGGGAAAAATACGTTGGAATATTCATCGGTAAAGTTATTTGTGACGCCATGCAGTTAGTTCTCACGAAATTTTCCCCATTTTCGAAACCAATCAAGCAGTTTCATGCTTTTCGTTGAGGATCTTTTACGCTTCCTGACAACTATCAAACATATTTACACACTGCAGAGGCAATATGACCGATGAAAACACGCGAACTTTTTGCTCATATTTTGCCACTGATTTGCCGAATATTATCGCGAAATGGTCTAAAGATGCTAGCGTGTGTTCGATAATTATCAATAAAACAATATTCAACGATTGAATACGCTGAAATTTCTGGCGAAACCTCGCATTTCCACAGCGCTGAATTGCCCCATGTGTTAACGTTTAATGTCCATCTCACTTGAGTCTCTCTGAAGCAATTCATTAAACGTGCGATAATATAGACCAAAAATTAACGCCATCTTGTGGTAAATGCGGCTGGCCGCGCTTCAATTTCTTTCAAACCGATGCCCTCCTACTCGTTTTAATGAAATAAAAACCATCTCGTGCGAGCGAATCCCGGGCAATATCTCCGAATAGCAACATGCGCGAACGACATTTTGCCAGCCTTCTCTACACGGGATTCATATTTCTATATATTAATGATAATCTACTTAAAGAATTTATAGATCTCTCCAAAAACTCACCGGTTGCCCGACTCGATGCAGCTGATCCAAGAAGTACTTGGTCGAATCGCCCTGAGAAAACGATAAAACAACAGCGTAAATTTGCAATCATTTTTCCGAGGCGGCGAACGCGGCGAAGAATTGGAACTTCGGAGCATTCTAATTTGTAAATTGCGACAATATGCAGGCGAATTAATATTTTCGTAACGCAAAGCAGCAAATTAAAAGACTAAACTCTAGCAGATGGCTGCGATCCCTCGACTGTTTATTAAAGCATTATTAGAGGGAGACGAACAGCATTTACCAGGCGGACAAGTTCAAGGAAGCAGACTTCAATTTTAGAGCGCTTCGTGACGTGACATTGTCAGGCCGAGATATGCACTTTTAGTTGCTCTATGGCGGAAGCCGATCATCAAAGATCGATCAATGATCAATACTCTGGGCTCATTTTCTAAGCTGTTTAGGGCCACAATAGACCAAACACGATATTAAAAGGTTTTCATTAGGCAATAGCGTACATTACATTAACCCAAACCTTATGTTTACCAAATGATTCTATTGAAACATGCGATTATATAGTTACATACTTCATATTTGTCTAAACAACGCCACAAACTCCGAACCGAATACAAGTCAAAACAAAAACCTACCAGCTGAAACTCTCGCCGTCGATCGTACGAGGTCTGAATACCCTCGTCCTGCCATAACTTGTTCACGGCGTCGACGTACTGAAGAAATAAGCTCGTCTCGATTTTCTGAGGAGCTTGAAAGTCCAGTATAGTTCGGGCATATCTCTGATTGTTTGGGTCTCCCCATTCAATACCAAGCTTTCGTCTAGCATCGGCCAGTACCTTCATTCCTTTTAAAATATTACTATAGACAATCGGCCTGAACTCGGCGAGTGCAGCTACATCGTAGTCTTCACCGTGAATAATTCTCATTTGCTTCAAGAAGGTGCTCTTTCCTGACTCACCGGCTCCTAAAAGCAAGATCTTAACTTGTCTTCGAAGCCGCTCCTTTTCCCGATTAAGCCTTTTATCGATATCCTTGGACCTCTGCTTCTGCTGTCTCGTCTCTTCATCGTCGCAACAAGGTAAAACCATCTTTTAAACGCACATAAATTCGCTTCAAAACACAGCCGTAGACATTTTTCCACACCCTCAGATAGCAAGCACACCGAAGGATGCGATGTTTGGGAGAATTTCTCGACCGATCGGCAACTTCCTGCGCGCGCCTGATTGGCTGCGTCAGTGCGACAATATTATTACCAGATTCACACACACACACACACACACACAGGGATTTCAATATTCAAACACTGTTCGCAAACAAACAGACAAAAAAATACTAATTAAAAGCCCGGCAAACTTGCCTGCCCATTCGCGGGGCCTAAATAACCGACATCTACACCCATAATTCGGCGTAATAACAAACTCGTAATTATATTTATATTGAAAAAATTTCGCAAGTACAAGGACACTTCAGCCCGCATAACAACGTGGCTCATAACGCCGCCCGCAATGACGGGCGCCAGTGGGCGTATGACGTCACCGCGGCAACAATCGTACGCTAATTACGCAAAACAACTTGATATAACTGCTGAATTTTTCATCAGATGAAGCCTATGATATTTTCATATTAAATAAACAAAACGAGCCCCAAATGTAATGTGTGGGCTCCGACGATTAATAATAAGAATGTCAAAAGGTGAAGAGGGGTGGGGTAAGGGGGAGAGGGTAGGCCACATAAATTATAAGCGGTCAAATTTTGGTCTAAACATTCAGTTTCTGTTAATTTTTCATTTTGAAAGCTCGTTTACACCTGCAACTATTGCTGTGATTTTCGGCCAGATCTTCATTTGACAGATGCATACGAGGGAATAGTTAATGAATGCGTTGATGTGTGAGCGCCCTTATCTGAACATTCATAACTTAACCACTCGTTTGCATCTGTCAAAAGAAGAAAATCGGAGCGAAAATTGCAGCGAAAACCGCAAGTGCAAAGCCGTAAGAGTCTGTTTGCATAGTCTCGCTTACTGGCGCTTATTCGAGATGAAACGAAGCGTCAATGACTTTTGAGGTATTGAAATGAGTATATAATATGATCCTGGCAGTCGTGTACTCATCTCCCCAATAGCTCGTGCTTGTTTCTTTCATCAAGACTTATTTCAATAGCTCAAAATCATCTGAAGCCTCGTTGAATCACACATATCGGGTAACCGGGCTCATGTAAACAGCCCCCGCTAAGTATGGCTCAAACATTGAACCCTGCCATACGTTATTTACTTTCATTGTTTGAGATATTTCTCGATCGCCAATCGAAACTAATACACAATCAAAGACAAATTCGAGCCTAAAACTCCATTTTAAAACGATTTTTTACGCATGTAATGAGAAACAAGATGTCCTCAAGGGCAGTCTGGCAAAAGTCCCACATTAGATGCGATATTTTTGTAAGGGGTTTTATCAGATTGGCATCGCCCGATCTATTAATAAAAGTCTTCCCACATCCGCACGCTTACCAATAAGAATATATGGTCAGCTGTTGTAAGCGTGGGCTTGCGCGTATATCTCCTGATATAAATCTGTATAATTGCATCAGAACAACAGTGGGGTCACTCGGCTGAGGGGATAACATTGCCAAAACGGGGGACGCTAAAAAGCAAGGGAATTATAAAGGGGTGGGTGTGTAGGGTGGGGGATGGATGCGTAGGGAGGGAGGGGGGTGCTTGTGTAGGGATGGAGGACGGGTGGATGTTTGGGGAGGGAGGGTGTAGATGTGTAGGGAGGGAGGGGGGTGGATGTGTATGGAGGGAGGAGGTGGAGGTGTAGGGAGGGAGGGGGTGGAGGTGTAGGGAGGGAGGAGGGTGTAGGTGTAGGGAGGGGGGGGGAGGTTCGGCCTCCTCAAGCTTGTTTTCCACCAGGAGAACTTGTTCACTCGAACTGGTAAAAAGTAGGAAGCGATTTTTGCGGCGACTTTTTTCACAAACCAATCACATCATAGGATTTCAGATATCGTTTCGCGCCGTGTGAATAAATATTCGCCAAGTGGCGACTATAATTTACCACAGAAAGATCCGTCTACAAGAGTTTGGTTCTGCTGCTAGCTAACTACGTAAATTTCTTCACAAAAGACGAGTTAATATGATTACATCAACGACTAGCTTGAACGTATGTGCCGTTGAGGCTGTTTACATGATCCCGCTTAGACAAGATTCAACGAGGTTGAGATGACTTTGAGGTATTGGAATGAGTGTATAACATGATCCTGGCAGTCGTGTACTCATCCAGACAATAGCATGGGCTTTTTTGGTGTCATAAAAACCAATTTTAATACCTCAAAATCATCTTACGCTTTGTTGAATCTCGGGTAACCTGGCTCATGTAAACCGCCCTTAATAATATCTCAGCGAAAAATTCTGAAAAGGCAGTCACGATTTAAAAAGGTTTTGTTATTCCATAAATCATAACGATTGCTGTCAATGTCAATGTCTGTCAATGAGCATAAAAAAATTTCAATATCCAGCATAAGCCGCATTACTATAACCTTCGTAAACAACAGTATGCAGCCGAAATGACGTTCACATGATGACGTCAAACTTTTTTTACTGTTTCAGTTTATATTGCGGGATCAGAGGGCATCCGCGGCACGTAAAGAGCAACAGGAAATGATAAACTGGGAATGTTTGAACAATAATTGCTATTTCGTCATCCACTGATCATGCGATTGCTGTTTGCGTGTTTGTCGTGGAGAAAAAACAGCTGAAAAGATGAGATATTTCGACGCGAAATTTGCTGAGCTACGCGAAGCTAATGCAACTAGTGGAAATCGATTTTATATTTTGCTTCGGGAGGATTGGATGAAAATTTCAAACGGAAACAATGTAATAGGCTCGAGGAATGAACAGGATATTGCCATTCAATGCACTTGCACGTTATAAGCACATAAACATGGTCGAGGTATGCAGCCTCGAGGGCCTGGTAGTTCAGCAATGCATTCACGAAATTACTGAATATATTTTCCGCGTTCCAGAGTGGTGCGACAGATTGTTTATGAAGATCGAACCATGTCGTAATTGGCAATGGCATATATGGTTGAAAAAAACTCAACTCAAGCGTGGTACTTGCTTAAAGTTGCCAGTGTTGAGTAACACCGCAGAAATTGGTGTTTATGAAGTTTCAACCCGAAAATCTAGCCACTGGTTCACATTGTGCATTGCTGTATCGCTATCAAAGAGAAAACTATTGAATAACTTTAAAAAGTTCGGTTTTCTTTCCAATAGGCATTCTGCAATCTTTTGACAGCTCATCATACACATCTGACAGCTGTGAAATGGCCATTTTGAGGCTTAAAGTATACACAAGGTTATTAATTCAGACGATTCGTTTTTGCCATGTGCAAGCTTCAAATCTTTTGTGCAAGACATATTTTGTGTAGTATCTATAAATCTTTTTTCTCACCAAGTTTCTCGCCTAAGTATTGAGAATTGCGGCTAAGTATTTTTCAATTCTACCAATTTCCGCGGTGTCGTGTTGAGTTGATTTTGAATGATTAATATCGATTCTTCTCCCAGTCAGTGCATATGCGGTATGTTTACAAGGAAGTGGATTTCAGTTTTAGGAAGTGAAGACGGTGAACATTGAGTGATCAGGAAGCGACATGTCGCAGCTCTCGGAAGCTTTCGTCCAATTGGACAATGCTTTTCTACGCTTTCAAAAGAATGAAGCTATGCTATTGGTTGAAACAGAAATGTATTGTAAAGTTCAGCCAATGAAAATCGTTCTTGCGAGGAGCTGCGACACTATCCATCAGGAAGATATAGTTAGAGCTATTTATAGGCAAATAGGTAAGATTCTGCAATCACGTGAAATCACCAGATATCGAGAAATGTTCACGTGAAAATGCTAAACAACTCTAGCCTGCTGTTAGTGCTGTACCCTGTCGCTGATGGGTATACAATTGTCTGCCAATTGTCTGAGGTAAATAGGAGGATGTATCAGCCATCAGGGGACCTGAATAGACCTTTTTCATAATGACGTCAAACGCGGAAAGTCTGATGTTACACGAAACTTGATTGGCTCGATAGTTTTGTGGAGCCAATCAAATTTCGCGTAGGTCGACGCTTACATTGATGAATCAATTTACTTTCTTATTCAATATAACCAAGAAGCAGCGTGACAGCGTCTTCAAACAACTTAGCATCGAATGTGGTATAACAACTGCCTAAATAGACAAAACACTTCTCGACGTTTCGACCTGAGGGCCTTCATCAGGTGAGTTACGTCGAGTGATACTAACTCTCCTGACGAAGGCCCTCAGGTCGAAACGTCGAGAAGTGTTTTGTCTATTTAGGCAGTTGTTATACCACATTTGATACTTTCTTATTCGGTTTAGGATGAATGAAAATTCAGTGCTCTACGTCGGCAACTTGCTCAACACTTCCAGTTGTTGATACCATTCATTTCTCGGCATTCCACAGCATGTCAGATGTTTCGAAGATCTAAAAGTCTTTGTTGTATTTTTATCTCTTTGCGCGCGCCATTTCATCGCAGGAATGTATTTTAAATCTATATTTAACATCGCACATTGTCCAAAGAAATGCCCCCAAAATAAGCACAAAAACCACACACAGCGGGTAAGATAAACGTTTCTTATCGTTCGTATAATTACCCTCGATCACTTACATCGTCTATCACATTACATTATCATTTACTTGTTAAAGAAATAAGCAAATAGACATACAATTCCAATCTTACGTTGAACTCTGAAAAAGTGGCAACGTTTCTGGCGCGTAATGATATTCTAAAATAGTTTTCGGCCTATACGAAAATTTAACTCATTAAGTCCAATTACTGAACAAAGTTTTACCGATATTCCTGAATGGTTCCGATCAAACACCATCCATAATTTTTCAAGGTTTCAAGGTAATTTAATAATAACTCGTGGTCAGTGGCGTAGCCAGCCTGACGATTTTATCCCGTTATGTAAATTTCGAATTATTATAATTATTCATGTCTTTAGAAATCTATTGTTTTCACAGTCAGTGAACACTAAAATATTAGCATAGCGGGACAAATCGACAGGCTGGCTACGCTACTGCTCGTGGTCTCAAATACTAGGCAGTATGACATCTAAATTCGAGCAAGTTCTTAAAAAATTTTGATTAAATCCTATATTTCTATAATTAAAATATAGCTGAAAAGTTTATTAAGGCTAATATGTTCTAAGTCTTACCAAGAAAACTGTCGCTAGTTTCAATGAGGGATTTTTTGCATCATGTATCCAAGCTCAGGGCTTCTCGAATATTGCTGCGGTCATCATCGAGGCCCAATTTTTGTACAACGCCAAAGACATCAAGAACAAGCGAAGGATGGACCCGAAGGAAGACGTTTTCATCCAGATATTTCCTCGCCTCGGGCGTTCTCTCTTGCTTGTGGACGTAGGCATTGCGAATGAATCTCAACAAGTCGATCGCTTCATCAGTACGATATTTCTTCTGTCTCCACGCTCTTGTCATCTCATCATACAACTCGTCGATGTCTTGATCCCAAGACACAATCTCGACTCTTCGCCCAGTGTTTGTCGTTTGCAAACTTTTTTCCAACGTCAAAAAAGGGAAATTTCCCGGATTTACAGCTTCAGGTTGATCGCCAACTGCCTTTAGAAACTCAATCTTTTTGCTCTCGCTCCAGAGAAATGGATGCTGTTTGAGATAGGCCGCTGGCGGTCGCTTGGAAGGATCTTTTGTTAAAAGAACCATTAGGAAGCTAGTAGCCTCCTGTCCTAACGCCCGATCGAAGTGGATCTGCATATCTACGATCTTACGCTCAATAACGTGAGGTGGTTCTTCACTCTTTGATGCAAAAGGATGTTTTCCGAGAGTGAGAAGATAATGAAGTACCAGGCCTAGAGCGAATACATCAGACTGTTCAGTATGTTCTCTTGATGTCATGCTGACCAACTCTGGTGCCATCCAACATCGCGAACCGGGTGCCATGGCAACACCACTCCCTCTTGTCGACGTCATCGTGCAAGAAGTGGACAGATTCTTCGTCAATCCAAAGTCGGCGATCTTGAAATGCAATGTTGGATCAGTTGTGTACAAGATGTTTCCAGGCTTAAGGTCGCGATGAATAAACTTCTTCTCGTGAAGGTAAGTCAAACCATCGATGATTTCCTTGGCGATTTGACCATGAATTAACGGATCTTTCATGATAACTTTATTGGCGCGGTCGTTGTTGACAAATTCGTTAAGATCACCGTCCATCAAATCGAGGCAAAGATATTGAAAGGAAGGATCTTCCTCAGCTTCGTGACATTTGATGATGTTCTCACACTCGCCAGATATTTTTAGCAAGGTCGTGACTTCTCGTTTGATTTCCTGCGGATTTATCTTCGCCTTTTCAAGCCGTTTCAACGCGTACGCGCGACATTCGATTATCCCAGTTTTGCTGTCGACAAACTCATCTTTAATGGCGATAAAAACCGAACTAAATGCTCCAGTGCCGATCACAAATTGATTGGAATAACGATATTTCCCTACGACAAGGACGTCGGTTGATGGGTTGGTTAAACGTTGGGCGTTTTCCTTGTGACGCTTCGGACACGATCGTAGCTTTCGTGTTTCATTCTTAATACGCAAATTGGATATTCCGTGAAGCAAGCTGGATTGAGGAGAGGGTGGCTGGTGTTTCAATGCCGTAAGAAAGGAATTGTTTCCTGCGGTAGTACATCTTCTTGTGGCTCCGCGTTTGATAAGAAAGTCAGCGCATTTTTTGTAAAGAACCTGTCCTTTATCGAGATGCTTGAGAGTGACATCCAATGGGGTAGATCCCGTTGAGTCCAATGCATTTACGTCTGCTTGGTGGTCGAGAAGAACTTGGACTGCCTGTAAGATGAATGCTTCTCTAGTAAACTTTTTTTTGTTTTTGTCGCCCATGTCGAGTAGAACATGAAGAAAACTTTGGCCTTTTTTGTTTTGTCGTTTCATATCAACTGGAGTCGCAGATCGCAGTATTTCACGCAGTAATTTCATCAATAATGTTGGTAATTCGGCCGCAATGTCTCTAGAATGCGTGTAAACATCATGTGATGAAATCCTGATAGCAATCAGCAGTAGATCAATGGCGGTGTTCCCCTGCAGGTCAGGAATCCACACTGTTTCCTTCGCTTCGTCATTTTCTGATATGATCGTTTTTAGGTTTCCCAGTAGTTGAACAGCTTTCTTCACAGATTTACGCACCATTATCTCCACATAACCTTGATCCTTGAGCTCAGCAGCGGCAGACGTCTCGGCAAACGCGAGTTCGAGCGATTTTTTCAGGATGAACAAAACTGGTGTTTCATCGCGATCATTTCTTGCCCGACATACGGCGCCATTCTGAAGAAAAATATCAAACACTGAGGGGTTATAAGCGTAATGAAGAGGCGCCTCGCCAGCGTCGTTTTGAGCTCTTAAATTTGCACCAAATTTTAGCAAATTTTTTCTTTAATAAGCTCTTGTTGAACGATTGTAGACATCGCGTATTCGTGTAGTACTGTGTTGCCATTTTCGTCTTGTGACTTTCCCAACAGAGCAATGTCTTTCTCTGATAGTTCTTTGGAGAGCAGTTCTAACAGCTTGACTCTATCCTTAACGAACCACTCTGTCTTAGCAACGCGTTCATTCGTCAAACGCAGCGGAACATAGTCATCTATCGCTTTAAATCGACCAAATATGATGTGTAGAAACGTTTTGCCGTCTTCGTTTGTCGCCAGGGGATCAACGCCAGCTTCTAGTAAACATTTCACTAAAGTGTTGCAGTCTATGCTAACACCAGGAAGAGCGGCCATAAAGTGCAGCGGAGTATTGCCAAATTCGTCCTTGCAGTTCCTCAAGTCATACAAATAGTTTTCCATTATTTCACAACATCTAATCAAAATCATCTCTCGATATTTTGCGACAGTACCTTCCTCGAAGTCTGTGTAATTAAATTCTTTGTAAACATGCTCATCTTCATCTTGGCTGTCTTCAGAGCTGCTGTCACTATCGCCTTCGACAGATATTATATACGTGCCTTTGACACCAGGGATTCCCCTTATAAAATCGAACCATCCGCCATGGGTGATATTACCCAAGCCAAAGAAATCCATCGGTCGATAACCAGTCTTGTCCTCGAATTTCTCGCTCAATTCGCGATAGTCAACTTCATCCTCATCGTAGACGATATTATAAAGCAATTCTTCGGTGACTTCTATCAAGAATGGTTTTATCGACTCCATTGTACAGTCCGGCACAATAAGACAAAATTCCTTTACGTTTAATTTCGCAATCTCATGAACTATTTGTCGATAATAATGCACTTATTTCATATGAAACTCGAATATTTGTAACAAACGTTCTGTCGTACGGATATTGAGTGGTATTTTTAACCCTGGAACGAATTGATCTTATATCTTTGAGATGTATTACGAAAATAATATTTGTTATATTGTCATGGTTTTCTTCGAAAAATGGCTCATTTTTCTGGGTATTCCCAGCAGTCTAAAAATAACAGATCAGCAGGTGTAATACGCGGATTGATTTCAGCAAGGATAATTCCGTAAAAAGAGGAATTCAACGTATATCATACCGATTCATACTTAAGACCTTTGGACTAAGAACAAGATAATAGTTTGTCTGAAAATCCTTCTGCGTTTTCTATGTAGAAACAAGGGCAGATGATCCAATACTCACACAAACGGAGACAAATATTGTCTGGTGGTTTTCAAACGCACACATGTGAGACATTATAGTATGATAAAGCAATATAAGACCACATACAAGTAGTTTTGGGAAAACTAAGGATTCTATATTGTTTATGCCGAGGAATTCGCATATAGAAAGCTTCACGAAAGCTTCCTTATCAAATGTTGTTTTAGGAACTGCCTAAAATGTCTCCAGTCTCAACGAGTTCATTTACTGAAGCAAGCTTTATGATTTCCCGAAATAGTTCTGATTAATTAAACACCATCCCCGAATTTAATGTTTCAACGACAAAGGTACAAAGATTTAACAAAAATTTTTTAACAAAACTAAACATACTCGTAGTCCCCTGCTAGACTATGATATTTAAATTCAAACAGGTTCCTAAAACGTGATAGTGCGTGCATGTTACTGGTGAATTAATATTGTGATGGTGCTACTCTGAGCAGTGACGTAGCCAGGCCGACAATTTAGTCATGCATGCTAATATTTTGGTGTTCATTGACTGTCGGAAAACAATGAATTTCTAGAGAAAAGAATAATGATAATAACATAGCTTTGCATGGCATAACTAAATCGTCAGGCTGGCTACGCCACTGACTCTGGTTCACAAACTGGGCAAGCTTAAAAATCAACTCAAGTATAACAAATAATCTAGTTCCTGGACATCTTTGTCGATCATGTCCTAAAAAGCATTGATTAAATCTTATTTCTACAGTTCAAGTACATATAAAAAGTTTATTAAAGTTTCTAATTTTCTAATATCACCTAAGAAAACTGTCACTAGCTTTTAATGGCGCATTTTGTGCTTCTATAATGTCACGTGTTCATCATCCTCAAAACAAGAAAAACTGGTAATACGATCACCAAAGGTAAGGGTTTTGAAAGCATTTATTTCTCCAATGTCATAAATTTAAGCTCAAAGCTTGGCGAATATTGCTGCGGTTTTCGCCCAGCCCAAACTGTTGTACAACGGAAAATACATCAAGAACAAGTGTGGGATAGACCCGAAGGAAGATGTTTTCATCAAGATATTTTTGTATTTGGAGCGATCTCTCTTGTTTGTGGGCGTAGGCATTGCGAATAAATCTCAGCAAGTCGATCACTTTATCAGTACGATATTTCTTGAATTTACACGTTCTCATCATCTCAGCATACAACAATTGAATGCTCCTTTCCCAAGAATTAATCGTGACCCGTTGCCCAATGTTTGTCATCTGCAAGCTTCTTTCAATTGCTGAATTAAACGGATTAACAGCTTCGGGTTGATCGCCAACTGCTTTCAGAAATTCAGTCTTTTTGCTCTCGCTCCAGAGAAATGGATGCTGTTTGAGATAGGCCGCTGGTATTCGCTTGGAAGGATCTTTTGTCAAAAGGTTTTTAAAAAGGCTAATGGCTTCTGGACCCAACGCTAGGTCGAGGCTGATCTGCATATCGACGATCTTACGTTCAATAAGATAAGGTGGTTCGTCATTTCTGGTTGCGAAGGGATGTTTTCCCAAAGTGAGAAGATAATGAAGAACCAGGCCCAAGGAGAATATATCAGACTGTTCAGTGTGCTCTCTTGATGTCATGCTGACTAACTCTGGCGCCATCCAACATCGTGTACCGGCTGCCATGGCAATACCATTCCCTCTTGTCGACGTCATTGAGGAAGAAGTGGACAGATTCTTCGTCAATCCAAAATCGGTGATCTTGAAATGTAATTTTGGATCAGTTGTGTACAAGATGTTTCCTGGCTTAAGATCGCGATGAATAAACTTCTTCTTGTGAAGGTAAGCCAGACCATCGATGATTTCTTTAGCGATTTGAACATGAATCGATGGATTTTCTTCCATAACTTTGTTGACGTTTTCATTGTTGACAAATTCGTTAAGATCACCGTCCATCAGCTCGAGGCAAAGATATTGAAAGGAACGATCTTCTACAGTTTCGTGACATTTGATGATGTTGTCACACTCGCCAGATATTTTGAGAAAGGTCGTGATTTCTCGTTTGATTTCCTGGGGATTTATCTTCGCCTTTTCAAGCCGTTTCAACGCGTACGCGCGACATTCGATTATCCCAGTTTTGCTGTCATACTCGTCTTTAATGGCGATAAAAACCGAACTAAATGCTCCGGTGCCGATCAAATATTGATTGGAATAACGATATTTTCCGACGACAACGACTTCCGTTGATGGGTTGGTTAAACTACGCGCGTTTTCCCCGTGACGCTTCGGACACGATCGTAGCTTTCTCGTCTGAATACACAAATTGGACATTTCTGGAAGCAAGCTGGATTCAGGCGATGGTTGATTTGAGAATGATTTACCCGTTACTGCTCCGCGTTCGATAAGCAAGTTAGCAATTCTGTTGTAAAGGGCTGGTCCTTTGTCGAAGTGTTCACGTGTGATGTCTAGAGGAGTGCGTCCCTTTAAATCCACTGCGTTTACATCCGTTTGGTGCTCTAGTAGAATTTGGAGGCTTTGGAGAACGAATATTTCTTGAATGATCTTGTGTTGCTGGTCATCACCCATGTCGAGAAGAACATGTAACAAACTTTGACCCTTGCTATTTTGGTGTTTCATATCGATTGGTGTTGCATGGCGTACCATCTCGCATAGTAGTTGCATCAAAGATGTTCGAATTCCCATTCGATGAGTGCATCGAGAGCGAAAATCATACGATTCAATTCTAATAGCAATCAATACCAAATCAATTGAAGTGTTGCCGTGTAGGTCAGGAATCCCAAATGTATTTGTCGTTGGTTTTTTGTATGAAACTGTGTTCCTTAGTTCTTCCAGTATTCTTTCAGCTGACTCAATAAACATTCGGTCGCTTGCTACCTCCACATAACCTTGACTCTCGAGCTCAGCAGCGGCAGACGTCTCGGCAAACGCGAATTCGAGCGCTTTTTTCAGGATGAACAAAACTGGTGTTTCATCGCGATCATTTCTTGCCCGACATACAGCTCCCTTCTGAATGAAAATATCAAACAAAGAGGAATAATGAGCATAGTGAAGAGGCACTTCACCGGAGTTGTTTGGAATCCTCAAGCTTGCACCAAAACCCAGTAATTTCTCGCATAGAATGAGTTCATCTTGAACCATTGTATTCATCGCGTATTTATGTAACACTGTGTCGCCATTGCAATCTCGTATGTTCACCAACAGAGAACGCCTTTCCCCCGACAGTTCTTCGGAGAGCAGCTGTAACAACTCGGCTCTATCCTCAACGAACCAATCTATCTTATCAACATATTCTTGTGTTAAACGAAGAGAACTGTCAATTTGTCGACCAAATATGATGTGTAGAAACGTTTTGCCGTCGTCGTTCGTCGCCAGGGGGTCAACGCCAGCTTCTAGTAAACATTTCACTAAAGTGTCGCAGTCTACGCTAACACCAGGAAGAGCGGCCATAAAGTGCAGCGGTGTATTGCCAAATTCGTCCTTGCAGTTCCCCAAGTCATAGAAATACTTTCTCATTATTTCACAACATTTAATCAAAATCTTCTCCCGAATTTTCGCAACGAAACTTTCGCCTAAACTTTTGCAATTAAATGCTTTGTAAATATTCTCACTACCATCTGTGCATGCGATCTCGCGAAATAAAGGTAGAGATATTGCGCCTTGAGGGAAATCATTTATGACATATTGTACCCTCCTACATTCTATACCAGGAATTCCACACATGAGATCAAACAATGTACGGCCAGTGATATTACCCACACCAAAAAAATTCATGGGTTCATGGCCAGTGTTTTCCCTAAATTTCTTGCTTACGTCGAAAAGGTTGATTCCATTCTCATCGTAGACAATATTATAAAGCAGTTCTTCGGTGACCGTCTTCAGAAATAGTCCTTTTGACTCCATCGTATATAGTCATAGGTCGCGGTCACACTAGCGCTAGAACTTTACTTTAATTTTTTCGTCGAAAATTGTTGGCTGTTTCTGGGTATTCCCGACAATCTAACAACAACAAGTCAGCATGTGACAATCTCATACATGAATTGTTCCGTATTAAAAAGAATTCATACTACCAAAAAGACTGTCAATTTGGTGTCAGTGGAATGACTACTTCATGGCCTAGCCCGAGCTAGAAAGCTAGAAAGCCCAAGCTAGAAAGAAATGGTCAACTATACCAGTTCTATAAAACAATAAAGACAGAACAAAGCAGAAATCAGTGAAGGAATTCTTTTGGAAAAGGAATTCTACATTCTCCTTGACAAGGAATTCGCAATTACCGTGTATGAGGAAGCTTAAAGGGGTTATGAGGAACTGGTCGTCCCATTTTGACATGATTTTATAGATATAACTCATATACTGCATCTACAAAACGCAAATTCGTTTGAATCTGGTTGAAATTATCCAGAAATGCCAATTTAACTTAGTACATGCAAAATTGTTCATAGTATTTTTAAAACAGGAAGAGCGCACTGTGTCACACTGCATACGCCATCATGACCCCTTGGCCTTGCGAGGAATTTCATCAATTTACACTTTCATAGCCCAACATTGAATCTAAAATCTTCAATTTCTGGTTGGAATTATTTGACAAGGATGGTATTGAAATGAGCCGAGAAGATTGAAGTTTCAGATGATTTAAAAGCCTGAAAATCGACATTTTCATTGCATACACACTCTGTAAAAACTTCTCGACGTTTCTACCTAGTAAATAGGCTTCGTCGCGAGTTTTTATTACGGAAGTGGTATTCTTATTCAGATTATCCACTAATCTTGGCAACAGGAATTCCCACGATTAGCGAGATTGTAAAAGATACAAAAAGAATTTAATTCAACTAATAATTTACAGGATAAAAATATAGATTTATATTTATAAGGGGATATCTTAACTACCCTCATCTTTCGGGAAAACATGGGCATAATGATATAGGTTATAAAGAAAAATATTTGCTCAGGGGATAAATAACGATCAAATATGGATACTATGAACTATTCGCATGTTTTATCTAACCGTGACATATCCCAGGTCGAGGAGAGAGTGTTCGTCGCGTCCAGTTCCTCTTGCAAAACATCAGCACGTGACTGCAGTAGGGAAATTTGCTGACGTAGCGAACGAATTGTATCCTCGAGTTCCTATATTAAACAAGAAAACGTTTTGAATAATCCACTAAAACGTTATTACATGAAGTTTCTACATGATAACGTGAGCGCGCATTTTCCCTCCTCCAATCACAACGCAGAAAGCCAGGTTATGCTGTGTGCAAAACTTTAACTAGTATTAAGAATTGCTTAAGTCTTGAAATTTTAACACTTTTTGCACTGAACAGCTTTTTCCAATAGCTGAAGATTCATATGAAGAACGTTAAAACAATCTCGGTGATTCGTGGACCACAGGAAGACAGATTTTAGGATCAGGTTCATCAAACGAAGTGTCCGCAGATGAACTCAATCAAGATTATATGCAACAACAAACCTCTTTAAGCTCTATTGGCAACAGGCTCGTCATTCTCTCCTCGTAGTCATATTGCAATTTAGAAATCTGAAAGAAAACAGTATGTTGTAGCGATTTTCTTCTTTTGATAGATGTGAAGGAGTAATTAGTTACGAATGCTCTGATGATGAAAGCTCTTACTAAAATCGCAGCATAAATCTCAAGTGTAAACACGCCTTAAAAAAGGTATGAGTACATATTTTTCAAGTGAGAAGCATTAAAAAACTATAAATCCAACTTGCTTTCACAAACCTTCTCTTGCAACCTGATTTCGGCATTTCTTGCATGTTTTTCAACCTCTTTTGTGACAGATTTCTGTCTTTCAATGTCTCTCTCTAGCGACTGCAGAAAAAAAAATTTAAACAAAATTTAAAAAATGACGATAATTTCGACGTACCTTTTTTATAAATCCCTCTAGCTTTCAAAATAGACTGCTGTTTAACAGAAAATTGAGATATATACTCGCTTAATTTCGTGAAGAAATCCCAAATTTAATTTCAAATTGTGGTTTATCGCAATTGGATTATGCAACGGTTGTATTTCACGCGGTTGTATCACAGTTAATAGAATATACATGGTTTAGAGACTACATAAAAGTACAATAGAACTCATTAACTATGTCGGGGAACATTTATGCAAAAAATTGTCCCTTAATCGTCACGTGTCTATTGTATCTTGAACAAATAAAGCAATGGTAAGGTCTGAATTAACATGCTGTTCAAGTCACGGTTGAGGAGCTAAGCCAAGCCATTCCTATTGGTTAGTTGGGCAAAAATACAATAGACATGTGACGGATAAGGGACCGTTTTTTGCATAAACCTGGACAATAACATAGATAATGAGTTTTATTGTACTTCCATCTAGTCTCCAAAACATGTATATGTGTTGGTATTGGTAACTGTGGTTGTATTTACCTTGACTATTGATGAATGGTGGTGTTTGAGGCTTGCTTTCTCCTCCTCGTGTTTACGTATGGTCGTACTCAATCGTTTCTCTTGGGAGCTCTGTAACCTGAAACAATATTCCAAGTAGTAATATGGCTTAGATCTCGAAAAAGTTCAGAACTTGAGATCCGACCAGCAGTAGCGTAGCCAGCCTGTCGATTTGTCCCGCTATGCTAATATTTTGGTGTTCATTAAGTGTGAAAACAATACATTTCTAAAGACATGAATAATTACAATAGGTCGAAATTTACGTAGCGGGACAAAATCGCCAGGCTGACTACGCCACTGCCGACCAGTTGGGTCTGAGGCATGCACGCACACTGGAAACCACTTGTGCGAAATCCTCGAATTTCTCCGGTTTACCAACCGAGAAATTTGAGCATTAGTCTCGGGATTTTTCATTCTCCTATATAGCAACGTTGTTTTAACCTGCAGGGCAATGGATGGATTCCAACGATTCGCTAACTTTAGAACTGGTTAAGAAGAATGAATTTCAACACCACTGCTGAAAAGAGCATCTTACAACCAATAAGACAGTGATTTTTATTTCTTTCTTCTTTGGCTGTGGCATTTCACTTCAATTTTTTTACCGAGATCAAAGTTCAGTCACGCAAATTTTAAATCAAAGTACGGGATTTAGGGGGAGAAAAAAAACCAACAGAATTTAACATACGTGATTCTTTCATTTTTTAGAGTTTGTATTTCCTCTCTCAGCGCATCCATTGTCTGGAAGAAAATAAAAGAGAAATCGGAAATAGGAAAGATAAACTGGATTTTCCCAGAGATTTAGAAGAAAAGGGATACACAGGGTGAGTAAAATGTACAAAGGATACTGGAGGACAGGGGGAGTAAGGGTGCAGCGTTGGGAATGCAGGGTGCATAGGGGACGTTCAGTGGGTATGGAATACGGTGCTTGTTTTATACAGGGAGGTGCAGGAGTACTAAGGTATAAGAGGGAACAAAGGGGGGAGTTACAAAGTGTGTTGTACCTCCTGCATTTTCTGTGATCTGGTAATGTAGTCTTCTTCCATTTGTTTGAACCGACCGTTTGTCTACAGCGCAAGATTGAAAAAAAAAGTTATACCTTTGACGTTTAAATGTTTTGATTCTCGGAACAAAAGGTTTTGGAAGATGAAACCATTTTAAGCACAACAGTACCTTGTCCAAGATCTGCTCCATGTCTGTGCTGTGCTGCCGTTGAAGTTGTAGTTTCTCCTGTTCAAGTTCAGACCTGAACTTTGCAGCCTGTTTAAAAATCAGAGTTCTGTTGGCTGACTGAATGTTGGCTGTTGCTACTAATACCAGTCTGACTATAGTCTATCGTATTTTGTGAAGTATTTCGTTCAACATTCAATTCTATTTAAAGTTCCTTGTGCCTACGAACCAACCTTGAATGCGAGCCTCCATACCTGCAAGCCCGCAACAGAATCGTTTAAAATCAGCTGATGACAACAATATACCTGCGATTCTTCTTGTCTCTTAAACGTTTGCTTTTCTTCTTCACGTAGCATTCCCAACTCGACCAACTGCTGTTTGTACAACGCTTCCTTTTGCATCAACTGAAAGACAACATCAGGTGAGCATCATTCAAGCCTGGTCGTTCAAAAAGACACTCACAAAAGGTTGCAAACTTGCAAAAGGCGTCTTGCATGATTGCATCGTATTATTGATCATCGTCGTATTTAATTACCTCTTCACGAAGGGAGACGTTGACTTGCTGAAGGTCTGCTATCACCTGGGCAAATTGATAGGAAACAAGTTTAAATATTTGCTTTGGAATAAGCGCGGGAAACCTCTTTCAACTTGACTTACATTTGAATGCGTTCAGCCGCATCTCTAGTCAGTCTATCCTAACAAGGAGCTTGGCTATCATTTGCGGAATTTTAAAATATGATCTTGGAGAATACAACTTGGTTCTTGTTGTTCAAAAAGTGCAATAGTATCATTAAACAAACTTCGATTGTTAACAAGATATAGGAAAAAGCAGCACAAATACGTTATGATTTTGACAAAACAGCATTGCATGGTACAATTCTGTAGAGATTTTCTATACTTGTCATTCTCAGCCTTTATGAACACATCAGCTCAGTGAGCTCACCTTCCCGTCTTTGGACGATTTACTGCGGGACTGAGCTTCGAGCTCTTGCACTTTGCTTTGCTGTTTCTCCGTATAAAGTTCCTAAGACAAACATTATAAATTATTACACAAGATTGCATTAAAAGTAATCTCTAGAAAGGACAGTTTGATAGACTTATTGTCATCAAACAGGAACCCAAATCAAACCAGAGTCCTGGATTATACAATGTTAGTGATATACTATTATAGTTTTAAAGTTTGTTCACTATCAGAGATGATAATAACGTATTTTAAATACTCAAACAATGAAACATGTTTCTCGTAATCATTGCAAACCTTTTCACGTTCGTGTTCCCTCGTTAAGAGATCTTTTTCGTGCTGGTTTTCACGAATGAGGTACGTCTTTTCTTGTTCGAAAGAAATCTTCAACTCTGAAATCTTAAATTAAACCACTCAAAATTGATAACGCGTTCTGAACTGCATGGAAGTACAACAAGTCTCTTCTGATGAGCTTTAAAAGCTTTAGGGGAGATAAAACTAGACTTATTGCTTATTCACACCGGATATCAACCAATGTTTTGAACGTACCAATTTCTCATTGCGAGCGCGTTCGTTTTCAATTTGTCTCGTAAACTCCTTGGCTTGTTTCTCGCGAGATGTTCTGGACTTCGCCAAGTCTTGCTCAACTTTATCCATCTAAACACAACGATTATAATTATGGCATCAAAAACTAAGCATCATTATATTTTCCCGAGGTCTAATAAGGAAGGTCTCTTAACTGTTCTTCCTAGAGGTATAGTAAGGATCATCTCTTATCGATCCAGTGTTACTACAGGAGGAAACATAAACTAAACTAACTTTATTTATACTGGATAGCTCTATCAGTTCTAAACTGTTCTTCCTAGAGGTCCAGTAAGGATCATCTCTTATTGATCCAGTGTTACTACAGGGGGAAACCTAAACTAAACTAACTTTATTTATACTGGATAGCTCTATCAGTTCTAAACTGTTCTTCATAGAGGTCCAGTAACCATCATCTCTTATTGATCCAGTGTTACTACAGGAGGAAACCTAAACTAAACTAACTTTATTTATACTGGATAGCTCCATCAGTTGTGAACTATTCTTCCTACAGGTCCAATAAGGTTCATTTCGTATTGATCCAGTGTTACTACAAACGGAAAACCAATCAAGTGATTTGAAAAGCAGGAAACTCGCACCTGGGTTTTTGTATCGTCAAATATCTTCTTTGAGGTCTCCTCCATCTTTCTTTTCAACTCTTCCAAGGTATTCTCAGCTTCTTCTTCTTTCTGTCTTTGTACTGCAACTGTCTTCTCCAGCTCTGCATTCTTCTCCCTGCAAACATCCCCGCCGCGATGATTAATAAACACACAAAAGATTTGAAGATGATGCACGAAAAACGTACCGAAGAACTGCTTCAAGATCACAAATGCGTCCATCGCTTTCTCGCCTCACCTGAGCGAGTTCGTCTTGCACGCTGCGAACCTGGATTGGAGGAACGATGATGTTATAATCACAAAGTACTGCCACAAGGCCTCGTATCAGTCGATTCTACAAAGTTTTTTTTCTGGGGCCAGTTGTATAGAACCCTTCAACAAAATTTCGCATATAACCAGGGAGCAGCGTGGCAGCGTCTTCAAACAACTTAGCTCTCCTGACGAAGGCCCTCTGGTCGAAACGTCGAGAAGTGTTCTTGTCTATTTTAGGCAGTTGTTATACCACATTTGATGCTAAATTTTGCATAGTACTAATCCTAGTTAACTCAGAAATACACAACTCTGAATGGCCAATTCTGTCCTTAACTACAGTTAAAAGTTAACTATATAGTCTTCTATACAACTGACCCCTGATTTTCAAGAACACAACACGAGTTTGTTTTGTAACTGTTTAAAATATCAATTGAAAACAGTTATCAATATCGTGTTATGAGTGACTATTTGGCAAATAGCAACCAACGCAAATTTTGGAATAAGAAACAGTAAATTACAGATTATTTTGAAAAAAAATTCATCTCGCTGGAAACTCTGGAATTCTCTGAAGTTATATAATAACCCCACACGTATCCACAGGAAACACGGGGTATCCCAAAACCTTGCTTTAGATCCCGTTGCGATATTTTGATGATCCCTACCTTGTTTTCAAAATTGTGTTCAAGATCAGTTCTCTCCTGACGATGAAGGCTGGCGAGTTGTTGAATTTCGTCTTGTTTTTGTTGTTCGAGATTCCTCAGTTTCCGCTGCAGTTCGCTGACGTCATTCTTCAACTTGGTGATTGTTGAAGAGGCCTGAGGAGAGAGATTATAATGATCTATTTTCAATTTTATTATTACCCAAGTCGAGTATACCATATTCCGTATATTCGACCTTCACTATTTTTTTACCAAAGTCGAGTATACCATATACGGAAATATTCGATCTTCACTGGGATTTTATCACCAAGGTCGAGTGTACATGAACCGTCAAAGCAATTGATTGTGTATTTGCAACACTGACGATGTCATGGCGACTTTTAATACCATGAACATTCTAGAGATGTTATTCAAATCGTTAGAAAAATGTTGCAAATGTGTTTCGCTTGCTCAGCATAATTATGGCGCCTCCCGTTTCGTTGTTATTGATCTGCTGTGTGCTCACGACTCATCATTATCAGCTGAATATAGTTGGAAATTGAGTATGAATAAAATCATATGACAATTTTTGATATAATATTGGCATTTCCATGTATTTGCAAAGGTCACGACCTCAAATCACAAGACTTATTTCGCAATTTGCATTTTCCTGGAAGAACAATTCAAATTCCTAGTATACATTGCATGAGTTTGAACGAAGAAATTCGACTTGAAAGACTTTCCATCGTACTAAAAGACAAACGCAAAACAATTTGTTCAGGTCGAACAGCAAGATGTGAGTTTATTTTAACGTGAAGAAAACATATGGCTTCAGGTTACGACACAGCTCGTTTAAAATCATTCTTTGACGAAGGCTTTGTCTGCGCGATATGTCTTGGTGTTTTAAAAGATCCGATGCAATGTGAAAACAACGAACATTATTTTTGTTCGGGATGCATCAAGGAACATCTAGAGAAGACCTCGCACACTTGTCCAGTCTGTCAAGATAAACTGACCGTAGAGACGCTGAGAAAAGCACCCAGAATTGTCGAAGATTGTGTGTCTCGTTATAAGATTGCTTGCGACCACGAAGGAAGAGGCTGTGCTGCAGTTCTCGAGATCGGAGCTCTACAAGCACACATCCGAGACTGCGGCTTCACGCCTGTCTCTTGTTCAAACGATGGCTGTGATGACGTCGTTAACAAACAAGATGTGGAACAACACGAGACCGAGTTATGTCGTTACAAGACGACAACCTGTGATGACTGTGGAGAAAGAATGGCTCATCACAAGTATGGCGGGCACGGCTGTGTTTTACGACGAGATGTCGATGAAATGAAGAAAGATCTGGCGGATGTTAAAACCACGCAAAATGAAATGATCAATGAGATGAGAGAAAGCATGAAACGAATGACGACCGCGATTGAAAAGATTGAAAAGTCGGGTCAGAATGTAAACAGCGTGGTCGACTCCATGATTCATGATATTGTTGACATCGCTGGTAAAGAATCCAAAACAAACAAGCTCCTTTCTTCCGTCGAACGATTCAATCTGTTCAACCAAACCTGGACCCCACTACCCGAGTTGAAAATAGCACGATGGGGTCATGTGATTGTTGTATTTGAGAACCAACTCCTTGTTTGTGGTGGTTTTACCACTGAAGCTATCAATGAACCCACAGATAGTATAGAAGTACTGGATTTGAATCGTCATCCTCCAGAATGGAAGACGTTTTCAGTCAATCTTCCAATCAAAGTTGCTGGTCACAAGTGCGTGGTTCACGAGAATCGTTTGTTGATCATTGGTGGTTTTGACGGAGGCACGTTTTTGGATACGATCTACGAGTTGTTTCTTGTTCCTCCTTATTCGTCCAAGCTGCTTTGTCACATGAAGACCAAACGGTCTGACCATGGGGTAGAAATGTTCGATGATAAAGTTCTCATTGCTGGCGGACAAAAAAAGAAAACCGACGTGGAAATATTCGACATAAGAAAAAATCAATGCATTGAAATGCCACCATTACCATTTCCTGTTTACTTCATGGCGACAGTTCGTCGTGATGAGACCATGTTGTTGATTGGAGGAAAAAGCAAGAATGACAAACCCAGCAATGAGATTATCGAGTATGATTCTAAAACTGGCCAGAGCAAGGTTCTGTCGGTCATGGAAAATAAACGATTTGCTTGCTCGGCTGTCTTACATGAAAACACGCTTGTTGTGATTGGTGGTACTGGCGATGGAAATGCAGTGGATTGTTTCAATTTTTCATCAAATTCTTGGAGGAAATTACCCCCGCTCGCTCAGGGGAGATACAGTGCTTCAGCAGTTATTGTGAATAAGAGTTTCGGATTTTGAGAACATTCAACTAGTTATATTAGAAAAAGCTAATAGTAAAATAGTACCTGAAGTGTATAACCAAAATTTAACCGAACAGACAATATTAATATTCATCGAACATTTAATTAAGAAAATATAATCGTAATACTCTTGGGTTATTCTGTATTTCGCAGGAAATTCTTTTTTATTGATTTGTAGTTAAAAATAAACAGTATCGCAGCTGAAATCAATATTTCAACCCAGAATAATCGGGATTCCCACCTGCACCATGAATTCAGCAAGGTTTTCGCTTACGAATCATTTCTTACTAAATTGCAAAACAATAGCCCGCTTTTTGAATCACGTTCTCCCCCCCCCGGCCACACTCAAAACCTCCTGCTCCCCCCGGCCCCACTCAAAACCTCCTGTAAGAAGCTTTTATTCCTGAACTTCCATTAAACAAATCAACTCCCGCGCCAATAAAATTCGACACATCCAAAAAAATCCTATTTCATGAAACCTTTCAAACTAACTACAAGCATTCTCCTCTAGAGTTGAGAGGTAATAAAATTTAAAAAATAGGCACTCGAGGACTTCATAAGGATTTGCAATTTTGTCAGTTTTATAATGCAAGAAAGATGTGGAAAAATATTGCCCAAAATGTTGTATAACAAAGCACAACATGATGTCAACTTGAAGATCTTTTAGCGTTTTTAAAGACGAAATACTTGAATAAAACGACAAACGCACAACGAAATTGTGCTTATAATAAAGTATTTGCGATTGTATTTGCAAAGGTCACGACCTCAAATCACAAGACTTATTTCGCAATTTGTATTTTCCTGGAAGAACAATTCAAATTCCTAGTAAACATTGAGTTTGAACGAAGAAACTCGATTTGAAAGACTTTTCGTCGTTCTAGAAGACAAACGCGAAACAATTTGTTCAGGTCGAACAGCAAAATGTGAGTTTATTTTAACGTGAAGAAAACATATGGCTTCAGGTTATGACACAGCTCGTTTAAAATCAGTATTCGACGAAGGCTTTGTCTGCGCGATATGTCTTGGTGTTTTAAAAGATCCGATGCAATGTGAAAACAACGAACATTATTTTTGTTCGGGATGCATCAAGGAACATCTAGAGAAGACCTCGCACACTTGTCCGGTCTGTCAAGATAAACTGACCGTAGAGACGCTGAGAAAAGCCCCGAGAATTGTCGAAGATTGTGTGTCTCGTTATAAGATTGCTTGCGACCACGAAGGAAGAGGCTGTCCTGCTGTTCTCGAGATCGGAGCTCTACGAGCACACATCCGTGACTGCGGCTTCACGCCTGTCTCTTGTTCAAACGATGGCTGTGATGATGTCGTTAACAAACAAGATGTGGAACAACACGAGACCGAGTTATGTCGTTACAAGACGACAACCTGTGTTGACTGTGGAGAAAGAATGGCTCATCACAAGTATGGCGGACACGGCTGTGTATTACGACGAGATGTCGATGAAATGAAGAAAGAGATGAGAGAAAGCATGAAACGAATGACGACCGCGATTGAAAAGCTTGAAAAGTCGTGTCAGAATGTAAACAGCGCGGTCGAATTCTTGATTCCTGATATTGTTGTCATCGCTGGTAAAGAATCCAAAACACAGAAGCTCCTTTCTTCCGTCGAACGATTCAATCTGTTCAACCAAACCTGGACAACACTACCCGAGTTGAAAATAGCTAGACAGGGTCATGCAGCTGTTGTATTTGACAACCAACTACTTGTTTCTGGTGGTTTTAACACTGAATCTGCCGATAAAACCACAGATAGTATAGAAGTACTGGATTTGAATCGTCATCCTCCAGAGTGGAAGAAGTTTTCTGTCAATCTTCCCATCAAAGTTGGTCATCACAAGTGCGTGGTTCACGGGAATCGTTTGTTGATCATCGGTGGTTATACCGGACGCGAGTTTTTGGATACGATCTACGAGTTGCTTCTTGTTCCACCTTATTCATCCAAGTTGCTTTGTCACATGAGGAATAAACTGTCTGCGCATGGAGTAGAAATATTCAACGATAAAGTTCTTATTGCTGGAGGAATTGGAGCAAAAACTGACGTGGAAATATTTGACATAAGAAGAAATCAATGCATTGAAATGCCACCATTACCATCTCCTGTTTACTTCATGGCGACAGTTCGTCGTGACGAGACCATGTTGTTGATTGGAGGAACAGGTAAGAATGACAAACACAGCAATGAGATTATCGAGTATGACCCTAAAACTGGCCAGAGCAAGGTTCTGTTGGTCATGGAGAAAGAACGAGCTGGTTGTTCGGCTGTCTTACATGAAAACACGCTTGTTGTGATTGGTTGTTTGGGTGGGGATGCAAATGAAGTGGATTGTTTCAACTTTTTATCAAATTCTTGGAAGAAATTACCCCCGCTCGCTCGGGGGAGATACGGTGCTTCAGCAGTTGTTGTGAATAAAAGTTTTGGATTTTGAAAACAGTCAACTAGTTATATTAGAAAAAGCTAATAGTAAAATAGTTACTGAAGTGATATAACCAAAATTTAATCGAACAGACATTATTCATCGATCATTTAATTAAAAAAATACAATCGTAAAATGCAGGGGTATTTTTGCATTCCATAAGATATTGTTTGAAATTGATTTGTAGTTAGAATAGTAAGTATTGGTATAATATAAATATCATTTAAACCCTGAATGATTCTGCATATTTGAGTTTGGCAAGGTTGTTTCTTGCGCAAAATTCGATTCTCAAAATATCAACAACATTCCGTTTAATAAATCCCCCTGCTCCTACCCCACCCAAAACCTTCTGAAACAACTTCTCACCCTACCACAATCCTTTGTGAAGAAACCTCTCAATCCCATTAAAACCTGGGACATACTTTGAAAACCACCTCTCACCCCACAACAATCCTTCTTGAAGAAACCTCTCAATCCCATTACAACCTGGGACATACATTGAAAACCACCTCTCACCCCACCACAATCCTTCTTGAAGAAACCTCTCAATCCCATTACAACCTGGGACATACATTGAAAACCACCTCTCACCCCACCACAATCCTTCTTGAAGAAACCTCTCAATCCCATTACAACCTGGGACATACATTGAAAACCACCTCTCACCCCACAACAATCCTTCTTGAAGAAACCTCTCAACCCCATTACAACCTGGGACATACTTTGAAAACCACCTCTCACCCCACCACAATCCTTCTTGAAAAAACCTCTCAATCCCATTACAACCTGGGACATACATTGAAAACCACCTCTCACCCCACCACAATCCTTCTTGAAGAAACCTCTCAATCCCATTACAACCTGGGACATACATTGAAAACCACCTCTCACCCCACCACAATCCTTCTTGAAGAAACCTCTCAATGCCATTATACAACTGGGCCATTCATTACCAAACCACCTCCAGTTTTGATTCATTTTTCCTATATATCGACTTAGTTTACCACCAGGGGTCGGTTGTATAAAACTTTTTAACTACATTTTGCTTGCATAGTTAAATCCTCAGAAATGCACAACTCTGGTTGGCCAATTCTGTCCTTATGCTTGGTTTCCATTTAGTCGTGAGTGTCGTGAACATGTCAAGGTGGCTGATGTTATAGAATCATTTCTATACGTGTGCAGTCATCAATGACAGATTTGAATACAGGAATGAAGACGAATTTACATCCCGGCAATTTCTCATCGGTGAAAATGACATGTTCACGACAATTACGACCAAATGGAAACCAGGCTTTAACGACAGTTAAAAGTTAATTATAGTTAGTTATACAACTGGCTCCTATATATTTCCTATAAATTTCCTGGATTCTATAAAATTCATCGATGAAGCGAAACTATATTGAAATAATGATAGTGTTTCTTTACTTCCGCGTGGTAGATTTGGCGCATGTTAATTAACCTCGCTATTGAACAAAGTCAGGTAATGAAATGCATCGTAAAAGCAGGTTTTTTTTCCAAATGTGCTTGTTGTTCTCGAGTAGATCTCCCCTTATCGTTGTTTTTCAATCAGTTGTAGGAAAGACAGTCAGGTTTCTTCAATTGCTTAACATTCAATATAAAGTATTTAGTAATTATACTTTCGTTTTAACCACGTAGAACAACGATGTCATAGCAACTGTTCACCACCATGAAAATTTTCAAGATATCATTCAAATCGTTAGAAATATGTTGCAAGGGTGTTTTGTTTGCCCAGCATAATTATGGCGCCTTGCGTGTCTCTGGCATTGTTATTGATCTACTGTGAGATCATGACTCGTTATTATCAGCTAAATATAGTTGGAAATTGAGTATGAACAATGATCACAAGACAGTGTTTGATATTGTGGGGGGGGACAGGGGGGTCAACATCTCCCGCCTCCCGTACCTCCTCTTCTGCCTCCCGTACCTTTTTGCGAATTGTCTCCCGCCTCCCGCCCATTTTCTATTAACTTGGCTATGTTGCTATATTAAGCTGTCCTATGTAATTTTGCTCATGACTGGCATCGAGTTTCAGTTTAACAGCTAATACGCCGAAATTTTGTGGCAATTTTGCAACCTATTGATTTTGTAATATCACGTTTTGTAGTTTTCTCTTGTCAGAAGGACAATTACTAGCACCGCCACGCTTGGCCGCTTTGTTGTATCAGTTATAATACACTGTAACTCCGAATGGAATCTTAATCTTAAAGGGAAAACTCGAAAACGTGATGTTACCATTCATTTCCACAGCAAACCATTCAAATTTCTTTGATATTGCCAAAGAATTTCCTTGAAATGAGACGCAATTTCTTTGAAATTTCCTTGATTAACTGAAGTACTATTGGACACTATTCGTCAGTACTCATCAATACGTATATAGAGCAAGACAGTCATACATTTTTGGCGCAACTCTTAAAATGAAAGTACACGAGAATTTTGAAAGCTCTGAAATGGACTAAAATGTAAAATTCTAGAGTTTTAAAATTGTTCTCAACGGCTGGGTTTCAGTCACGTGGTACATTTAGACCATTTAGCGCTTGGTGGTCGACTCCAAAAGACCAAAAGGAAACACAGTTACCAGAGCAAGTTAATTTTTCATTGTAAATCCTAATGACTTACTCATAGACTGCAAAACAGTTTTTTTATACAAAAAATCTTCAAAACAATTCAGTACAATTTAGTTACTCTAAAATTCCTTAGATTTCCTTGATTCATTTTTGGCCCTTTTCCCCTCCTTGAAACTCCTTTTTTCGGTCAAAATATGTTAAAAAGGAAATTTTCTTCAATGTGGAAACACGCCGACAGAACTCCAACCACCTGCGGATTTAGGCGACTTAAGCCGAATGCCATTTATAGACATTAAAAGGACTAAAAAATGCCTCCGATGACTGTCATGACTGACAATAAAGTTTAATGCCAGTTAAAATAGTAAATAGTCAATATTGTTTGGTTCTGATTTTTGATAGTTTGCTTAAAAAGGGACTAAAAAGTCATTAAAAACTTAACGTCCCTCATTCTTCTCCCGCCTCCCGCCCTCGCATGACTCCCGCATCCCGCCCCGTCTTCTCCCGCTTCCCGCCCACCTCCCGCCCTTATTCTCCCGGGTTCCCGCCCCCCTGTCCCCCCCCACGATATTAGCATTTGTTTGAAGAGCAGTTCTCGGTAAACAGGGTGTAATTTCAAATCTATACCGCTACACATTTCGCTGTAAATTCTGCTTAAAAGACAGAAAAATTTCCATGTGTAGAAAACAAATAAGTGTTCTGGTTCCACAATAAGATGTGAACTTACTTGAAAACAAACATGGCTTCCGGCTATGACACAGCTCGTTTAAAATCAGTCTTTGACGAAGGCTTTGTCTGCGCGATATGTCTTGGTGTTTTAAAAGATCCGATGCAATGTGAAAACAACGAACATTATTTTTGTTCGGGATGCATCAAGGAACATCTAGAGAAGACCTCGCACGCTTGTCCAGTCTGTCAAGATAAACTGACCGTAGAGACGCTGAGAAAAGCACCGAGAATTGTCGAAGATTGTGTGTCTCGTTATAAGATTGCTTGCGACCACGAAGGAAGAGGCTGTGCTGCGGTTCTCGAGATCGCAGCTCTATCACACATCCGGGACTGTGGCTTCACGCCTGTCTCTTGTTCAAACGATGGCTGTGATGATGTCGTTAACAAACAAGATGTGAAACAACACGAGACCGAGTTATGTCGTTACAAGACGACAACCTGTGTTGACTGTGGAGAAAGAATGACGTATCACAAGTATGGCGCACACGGCTGTGTATTACGACGAGATGTCGATGAAATGAAGAAAGATCTGGCGGATGTTAAAATCACGCAAAATGAAATGATGAATGAGATGAGAGAAAGCATGAAACGAATGACGACCGCGATTGAAAAGCTTGAAAAGTCGTGTCAGAATGTAAACAGCGCGATCGAATTCTTGATTCCTGATATTGTTGTCATCGCTGGTAAAGAATCCAAAACACAGAAGCTCCTTTCTTCCGTCGAACGATTCAATCTGTTTAACCAAACCTGGACACCACTACCCGAGTTGAAAATAGCCAGATGGCGTAATGCAACTGTTGTATTTGAGAACCAACTCCTTGTTTGTGGTGGTTTTACCGCTGAAGCTGCCAATGAAGCCACAGATAGTATAGAAGTTCTGCATTTGAGTCGTCATCCTTCAGAATGGAAGACGTTTTCTGTCAATCTTCCCATCAAAGTTGGTAATCACAAGTGCGTGGTTCACGGGAATCATTTGTTGATCATTGGTGGTTTTGACGGACGCGTGATTTTCGATACGATCTACGAGTTGCTTCTTGTTCCTCCTTATTCATCCAAGCTGCTTTGTCACATGAGGAAGAAACGGTGTGCCCATGGGGTAGAAATATTCTATGATAAAGTTCTCATCGCTGGTGGAATTAGAGCGAAAACTGACGTGGAAATATTCGACATAAAAAGAAATCAATGCGTTGAAATGCCACCATTACCATCTCCTGTTTACCACATATCGACAGTTCGTCGTGATGAGACCATGTTGTTGATTGGAGGAAGAGGTAAGAACAACAAACACAGCAATGAGATTATCGAGTATGATTCAAAAACTGGCCAGAGCAAGGTTCTGTTGGTCATGGAGAAAGAGCGAACTGCTTGTTCGGCTGCCTTACATGAAAACACGCTTGTTGTGATTGGTGGTGCTGTTGACGATGCAAATGCAGTGGATTGTTTCAACTTTTTATCAAATTCTTGGAGGAAATTACCCCATCTCGCTCGGGGGAGACACAGTGCTTCAGCAGTTGTTGTGAATAAAAATTTTGGATTTTGAGAACTGCAAACTAGTTATATTAGAAAAAGCTAATAGTAAAATAGTTACTGAAGTGGTATAACAAAAATTTATTCGAACAGACATTATTCATCGATCGTTTAATTAAAAAAATACAATCGTAAAATGCAGGGGTAATTTTGCATTCCATAAGATATTGTTTGAAATTGATTTGTAGTTAGAATAGTTAGTATTGGTATAATATAAATATCATTTAAACCCTGAATAATTCTGCATATTTGAGTTGGGCAAGGTTGTGGTTTGCGCAAAATTCGGTTCTCAAAATATCAACAACATTCCGTTTAATAAATCCCCCTGCTCCTACCCGACACAAAACATTCTGAAACAATTTCTCACCCTACCACAATCCTTCTTGAAGAAACCACTCAATCCCATTACAACCTGGGACATACCTTGAAAACCACCTTTCACTCCACCACAATCCTTTTTGAAGAAACCTCTCAATCCCATTAAAACCTGGGACATACATTGAAAACCACCTCTCACCCCACCACAATCCTTCTTGAAGAAACCTCTCAATCCCATTACAACCTGGGAAATACATTGAAAACCACCTCTCACCCCACCACAATCCTTCTTGAAGAAACCCCTCAATCCCATTACAACCTGAGACATACATTGAAAACCACCTCTCACCCCACCACAATCCTTCTTAAAGAAACCTCTCAATCCCATTACAACCTGAGGCATAGATTGAAAACCACCTCTCACCCCACCACAATCCTTCTTGAAGAAACCCCTCAATCCCATTACAACCTGAGACATACATTGAAAACCACCTCTCACCCCATCACAATCCTTCTTAAAGAAACCTCTCAATCCCATTACAACCTGAGGCATAGATTGAAAACCACCTCTCACCCCACCACAATCCTTCTTGAAGAAACCTCTCAATCCCATTACAACCTGGGACATACATTGAAAACCACCTCTGACCCCACAACAATCCTTCTTGATAAAAAACTCTCAATCCCATTACAACCTAGGTCATTCATTACCAAACCACCTCCAATTTTGATTTATTTTTCCTATATATCGACATAGTTTACCACCAGGGGTCGGTTGTATAAAACTCTTTAACAAAATTTTGCATAGTTAAATCCTCAGAAATGCACAATTCTGGTTGGCCAATTCTGTCCTTAACGACAATTAAAAGTTAATTATAGCTAGTTATACAACTGGCTTCTATAATTTTCCTTTAAATTTTCTGGAGTCTATAAAATAGATCCATGTAGCGAAACTATATTGGAATAATGATAGTGTTTCTTTACTTCCGCGTCGCAGATTTGGCGCATGTTAATTAACCTCGCTATTGAAGAAAGTCAGGAAATGATATGCATCGTCAAAGCAGGTTTCTTTCAAATGTGCTTGTTGCCTCCAGTAAATCTTGATTTATCGTTGTTTTTCAATCAGTCGAAGGAAAGACAGTCAGGTTTCTTCAATTGCTTAACATTCAATATAAAGTATTTAGCAATTATAGTTTCGTTTTGATCATGTAGAACAACGATGTCAAAGCAGCTGTTCACGACCATGAAAATTTTCAAGATATCATTCCAATCCATAGAAATATGTTGCAAAGGTGCTTTGTTTGCCCAGCATAATTATGGCACCTTGCGTGTCTCTGGCATTGTTATTGATCTGCTGTGAGATCACGACTCGTCATTATCAGCTAAATATAGTTGGAAATTGAGTATGAACAATGATCACAAGACAGTGTTTGATATTAGCATTTGTTTGAAGAGCAGTTCTCGGTAAACAGGGTGTAATTTTAAATCTATCCCGCTCTATAAATTTCGTTGTAAATTCTGCTTAAAAGACAGAAAATTCTCCATGTGTAGAAAACAAACAAGTGCTCTGGTTCCACAATAAGATGTGAGCTTATTTTAAAAGAAATATGGCTTCAAGATACGACACATCTCGTTTAAAATCAGTCTTCAACCAAAGCTTTGTCTGCGCGATATGTCTTGGTGTTTTAAAAGATCCGATGCAATGTGAAAACAACGAACATTATTTTTGTTCGGGATGCATCAAGGAACATCTAGAGAAGACCTCGCACTCTTGTCCAGTCTGTCAAGATAGACTGACCGTAGAGACGCTGAGAAAAGCACCGAGGATTGTCGAAGATTGTGTGTCTCAATATAAGATTGCTTGCGACCACGAAGGAAGAGGCTGTGCTGTGATTCTCGAGATCGGAGGTCTACAAGCACACATCAAGGAATGCGACTTCACGCCTGTCTCTTGTTCAAACGATGGCTGTCATGATGTCGTTAACAAACAAGATGTGGAACAACACGAGACCGAGTTATGTCGTTACAGGACGACAACCTGTGTTGACTGTGGGAAAAGAATGACGTATCACAAGTATGGCGGACACGGCTGTGTATTACGACGAGATTTCGATGAAATGAAGAAAGATCTGGCGGACGTTAAAACCACGCAAAATGAAATGATGAATGAGATGAGAGAAAGCATGAAACGAATGACGACCGCGATTGAAAAGCTTGAAAAGTCGTGTCACGATGTAAACAACGCTGTTCGTTCCATGACTAGTGATATTGTTGTGATCGCTGGTGTAGAACCCAAAACAAAGAAACACCTTTCTTCCGTCGAACGATTCAATTTGTTAAACCAAACCTGGACACCACTACCCGAGTTGAAAATAGCACGATGTGGTCATGCAGCTGTTGTATTTGAGAACCAACTCTTTGTTTGTGGTGGTTTTACCACTGAAGCTAGCAATGAAACCACAGATAGTATAGAAGTACTGGATTTGAATCGATCTGCTCCAGAATGGAAGACGTTTTCTGTCAATCTTCCCATCAAAGTTGGTAATCATAAGTGCGTGGTTCAAGGGAATCGTTTGTTGATCATTGGCGGTTTTGACGGAGGCGAGTTTTTGGATACGATCTACGAGTTGCTTCTTGTTCCACCTTATTCATCCAGGTTGCTTTGTCACATGAAGAAGATACGCTATGTCCAAGGGGTAGAAATATTCGATGAAAACGTTCTTATCGCTGGTGGATTTGGAACGGAAATCGACGTGGATATATTCGACATAAGAAACAATCAATGCATTGAAATGCCACCATTACCATCTCCTGTTTATTTCATGGCGACAGTTCGTCGTGATGAGACCATGTTGTTGATTGGAGGAAGAGATAAGAATAGGAAACCCAGCAATGAGATTATCGAGTATGATCCTATAACTGGCCAGAGCAAGGTTCTGTTGGTCATGGAGAAAGAGCGAGCTGCTTGTTCGACTGTCTTACATGAAAACACGCTTGTTGTGATTGGTGGTGCTGCTGGCGATGCAAATGAAGTGGATTGTTTCAAATTTTTATCAAATTCTTGGAGGAAATTACCCCCGCTCGCTCAGGGGAGATACAATGCGTCAGCAGTTGTTGCGAATACGAGTTTTGGATTTTAAAAACAGTCAACTAGTTATATTAGAAAAAGCTAATAGTAAAATAGTGACTGAAGTGATATAACCAAAATTTATTCGAACAGACATTATTCATCGATCATTTAATTAAAAAAATATAATCGCAATATACTTGGGCTTTTTTGTATTTCATAAGATATTGTTTGAAATTGATTTTTAGTTAGAATAGTAAGTATATTGGTATAATATAAATATCATTTAAACCCTGAATAATTCTGCATATTTGAGTTTGGCAAGGTTGTGGTTTGCGCAAAATTCGCTTCTCCAATATAAACAACATTCAGTTTAATAAATCCCCCTGCTCCTACCCGACCCAAAACCTTCTGAAACAACTTCTCACTCCACCACAATCCTTCGTGAAGAAACCTTTCAATCCCATTACAACCTGGGACATACATTGAAAACCACCTCTCACCCCACCACAATCCTTCTTGAAGAAACCTCTCAAGCCCATTACAACCTAGGCCATTCATTACCAAACCACCTCCAATTTTGATTTATTTTTCCTACCTATCAACTTTGTTTACCACCAGGGGCCCGTTGTATAAAACTCTTTAACTCCATTTTGCATAGTTAAATCCTCAGAAATGCACAACTCTGGTCGGCCAATTCTGTCCTTAGCGACATGTTAAAAGTAAACTATAGCTTCTTACACAACTGGCTCCTATAACTTTCCTATAAATTTTCTGGAGTCTATAAAATTCATCGATGTAGCGAAACTATATTGGAATAATGGTAGTGTTTCTTTACTTCTGCGTCGTAGATTTGACGCATGTTAATTAACCTCGCTATTGAACAAAGTCAGGCAATGAAATGCATCGTCAAAGCAGGTTTGTTTTTCAAATGTACTTGTTGTCTTTAGTAAATCTCGCCTTATCGTTGTTTTTCAATCAGTCGTAGGAAAAACAGTCAGGTTTCTTCAATTGCTTAACACTCAATATAAAGTATTTAGCAATTATAGTTTCGTTTTGACCATGTAGAACAGCGATGTCATAGCAACTGTTCACCACCAATTTTCAAGATATCATTCCAATTCTTAGAAATCTGTTGCGAGGATGCTTTGTTTGCCCAGCATAATTATGGCGCCTTGCGTGTCTCTGCCATTGTTATTGATCTGCTGTGAGATCACGACTTGTCATTATCAGTTAAATATATTTGAAAATTGAGTATCAACAATGATCACAAGACAGTTTGATATTAGCATTTCCTTGAAGACCAGTTCTCGGTAAACAGTGGCGTCGCCAGCATGATAAGTGGGGGGACTTATTCATATATTCGGGTTTTACATTATTCATTTCTATTCAAATTAAATGTTTTAACGGCTGTGAACACGAATATATGAATATGTCCACCCCACTTATCGATGCTAGCGACGCCACTGTCGGTAAACAAGGTGTAATTTCTAATCTATACCGCTACACAATTCGCTGTAAATTCTTCTTAAAAGACAGAAAAATTTCCATGTGTAGAAAACAAACAAGTGCTCTGGTTCCACAATAAGATGTGAACTTATTTTAAAAGAAATATGGCTTCAGGATACGACACAGCTCGTTTAAAATCAGTCTTTGACGAAGGCTTTGTCTGCGCGA